CTCTCACCCGTAAACATACACGCTCATACATACGGTCACGCATTCATGAAATTCACGCTCGAGAATTCCCCACCCTCACCCCATTTACCAACCGGAAATGAAACCGTACATATCAACCCCCTCCCAACTCCCTAATCTATCACTCTTTCTCTCTCTCTCACTCTCTCTCTCTCTCTCTCTCTCTCTCTCTTTCGTCACTCGAGCACCGAGTCCTCTACAAGAGCGTGGTTTATACTTTTATATATATCTATATATATTTATATATTTATACACAGCGTATAGATGTATAACATATATAAATATATGCATATATAATTATATATTTATATGTATATTTAATATCGTTATGTATAAAGTGTGTCTCGCTCGCACGACGACGACGACGACGACGTAGATCGGTCGAATCACTTTGCGCGCGTCTCGTCGAAATTAGTTTCCTCGTCGTGTGTCTTCGCAGTGTCAAATATACTTACAATAGAAATATATTAAAATTGCAAAGTTTCGCTGACCCGGCCGGTCAGTCCGCCGCTCTCGATTCCCTTATATACGTATGTATCATCGGTATATCACTTAACATAGCGAAGATATCCGCTAACGTAAATCCGAACCGAGGTCTCCTCTTTGCCATTCATGTGCCATAATCGCGTGCGCGTTGTATGCAATGTATGTGTGTGTATCGTGTGTGAGTGAGTATGTGTTGGGCTAATAAAAACGGCTCGATCGATCTTCTCTTGGCGCGCCCGTTCGAATTTCCAGTCTAGGTCCGGCGCCGCACCGGTCGGTCGATGAACGAAACGATCGATAAGTAGGTCACTTGGTCGGCAATGCGATTAACTTAATTTATCGACGTGACCGGTCCACAGAAATCTGTTAACGAATACGCGGATCTCTGTGGTCCGGTCGTTCTTTTACAAGTTTTGTAGAGCTCGAAGCGAACTGGAAACACCTGTCGATAATTGTGAGCGCACAAAATATCCACCTTCTAGTAATACCCGTTTTTTTTTAATTGGCACAGTGTGACACCCATTTTGCGACTGCGATCGTCGTCTCTAAAACAGAGCGGTCTCTATGCGGATGCTAAAATGGGAAAGAATATTGCGAGACACTCGCAGCGAGTCGCAGCATTACCGACAGTGCAATCTGGATCAGGCCCTTGCAGCAGGCAACCCGTTCCGCTTCCGTGAGATTACACGGACGCGTTCGAGGCGCATCGAACGAGCCGTTCTTACTAGCACCCTCGCTGGTGCCAATGCGATTAGGATCGGGCAAGAACGATGCCCGACCCTTCGATCACGCGATCTCTGACAAGAATCTTGGGAGAATTTACGTCGGCGCTGATTGAATCGTGGTTTCTGTTCTCCTCTTACATTCGTTCAGCCTCGGTTGTCTCGCGTCTCTGGCTAGTCGTTCGTCTTCCAAGAAACATTTTCTTTTCTCTCCTATCGCTTTGTCGATCTTCGATCGAAGGGCATCTCGCCCCTCCCTCTTCCACTCGCTCTTTTACGATATAATCGTTTCGTCTCTCTCTCTCTCTCTCTCTCTCTCTCTCTCTCTCTCTCTCTCTTAACATTCCTCCCTCCCACTGTGTCTCTTCGACCTCTTCGTTATCTGTCCTCTTGTCTGTTCAATTTTTTTTTAGATAGGGCAGTGTTGTGGACGGTTACGGAATCAATGTCCGTAATCCAAAAAACGTTTCCTACAAGTATACATACTATTTAATAAGTACATACTTCAACAACCGTCTTTAGAACTAAGTTTATAAGTATCGTATGATTTCATATCGTGTTATTTTTTTTTTGCTCTTTTCTTTTCCTCGCCTCCGTACGACGTGCCCGTTCGCGTTTTATTATGAAAACATTTTGAAAAAAATCACGTGTCGCTGCTTCACGTCCCACCCCCTCTGTTCCTCACGTCCCCGCAATTTTCTCGATCCTCGTCTATCTCGTTCACGAATCATTTGCCGACTGCCGCAGCTCTCGATACATAACTAGATTTAATAATAACCATTAATAGGTGTATAATCTATCTATCTATCTATCTATCTATCTATCTATCTATCTAACTATCTATCTATCTATCTAGTAAAACAGCATCATATTAAAGTCTATCCTCCTCCTCTTCCTCGTTATCCTCGTTATTCTCCTCGGACTCTTCCTTATAACCGGGATGCTCGGAGATCGCGTAGTAGTTCCCGTTGTAGATCACCCCGAGCTCTCTCAACACGTCCCCCTTGATGATCGCCTTGATCGTCCAGTTGTAACACTCTTCGCTTTCGCTCTCCCGATCGAGACGTTCGACGTCCACGATCTTTGAGCTGAGGCGTTCGAGTATGATCCCGATGTCCTTGATACTTAGGTGTTTCTGGTCTACGGTGAGCTGATCGATGAGCAGTAAAAACTTCTCCGAGGTCACGATCTCGTCCTCCATGATCGTGTTCTCGGTCTCGGACTCGGAGCTGTCGTGCTCCTGGTGATGATGATTGTGATGGTGGCGCAGGTGGAACCCAGCGCCGCCACCCGAGTTTCCCGCAGCCAGTCGGGAGCCGCCGGAGTCGTCGTCCGCGGTGTCGCAGAACCTGACGTGCCCCTTGGCGAGGCCGACGCGCCTTGTCCCGTCGGACAACGACGACGGCGGCTGCGGCGACGGCGTCTGCGTCTGTGTCTGTTGCTGCTGTTGCTGTTGCTGCTGATGGGGATGATGGTGCTGCTGGTACTGCTGATGCTGGGCGTCCTGGATCGGCGACGTAGCCACAGATTTATGCACCGCGATCCTGCGACCCTCTTCGTGCAACGCGCAACAATGGAAGTCGCACTCGCCGCTGGCGCCGCTATCCGCGCCGTTCACAGGACTCCCGTTCCTCACCACCGGTTGGTGGATGTGGTTCGAACACTCTGGCGTATGGATATGGATGGTGGTGCTGTCGAACGAGTTCGTACCCTGCTTCACCAGGCGGCCGGGGATCCCGTGGGTCTGCGGTTGCGGCTGCTGCTGCTGTCGGCGACCACGGCGACAATTTTAAACGGTTGCCATTCCCGGTTACGGCTTAGGCGCGATACGGAGCGACATATCGAGACTTCCGGGTTCCTTGCTCCACAATTTTCAAATACAGTGGCAATCCCTACAACGCGGTACTCTTGTAAAACGACGACAATTTACGTTCCTGCTGTTTCATTGAAACGAAACGAGGTCCACGGTATTTCGACAAATATTACAAACATTTGGATTCGTACAATACGCGGAACGTATATCCTCGCGTTATAGGGGGTTCTGCCGTATACGAAATACGAACTCCTAGATCCGTCTGTCGTACCCGGAAGCCTCGCGTTTCTCTCGGTAAAACAGACCCCGCGACCATATACAACCGTACGGAGAATAGATAGGCAGGGAGGTTAGCGTACCATGTCGTCATGATTTATCACAGTAATTTGGGGGCTGGTGTAACGGCTGGGACCGATCTCGCCCGCCAGGTGACCCGACTTGGAGTAATTGAGCTTGTCCAGGCTGGTCTGGATCACCAAAGATGGCCGCTGCGAGCTGCTCAGGTCCGCCTTCTTTGTCGGCGAATACTTGGAGCTGGCCGCGTCCGATCCTTTCTGCTGCTGCTGTACTTGCGATGACGTGGACGAACGCGGGTCCCACTGCAACACCACGGTGACCCGACCCTTATTGTCCATGATCTTCCACGACGGCGTCTCATCGTGCAGCTCCAGGGCGTGAATTGTTTCGCAGACTATTTTCGGAATCGCTGAAATCGCTGCAAAATAGGGCCACACACCATTTTGTTTTATAGACGGGGATACTGGACCGGTTCCCCGTGCAAAGGACGGGGGTTATCTATCTTAAGGGGACACGGCGCGTCGAGACGGTTGCCCGTCTTTAGGAGCCTGCCCCGACGGTTGCCGCTTCTAAGGGGACTAGCGCGTCCGTTGCCTATTTAACGGGGACCGACGCGGTGAAACGGTTGCCTGTATCGAGGGGACAATCGTGCCATGCCGGTTGCCTATTCTACTTCGGCTAGACGGTTGTCCGAATTAAGGGGACTGTTACCACGACGTTCGGGACAACGCGATACCATGCGGATAACTACTGTAAAGTGACATAGGCTGGCGTCTGGTCAGACATTCGAAGGCCTGGGCGGCACCTTATCAAAATTCTGGTGCACGTGAACGCGTATCGATCTTTTTGTAGCGCCACTGGCTGACGTACACCCATGCCTGCTGAACAGATCGTTATCCGATCGCCCCCTCGAACGAATCTGCACTTTTGTCTTATTGTACTTATGAATCGATACTGTCTTCTATTCATGGAGAACGAGACCGAACGAGCCCCGGCGTCTCTATTATCGTGCGTCTCGCACCCACGCGTTCCAAATATTAGACTAATGAAAGATGCCCCTTTTTTTCTCGTGCAAGCGAATGCAAAAGTGGTCAGACTCGTGGAAAGTTGTAGCGCGATCCTGTAACTACGGGTCACGCCTTGTGGCTCTATGGATCGACTCTATGGATTATTTCGGCCAAAAGTTTGGCAACTTATTTTTTGCTATTTACCCTGCAGTATATATAGTAAATAAGATCGCCCTGGTAAATAGGAAACTACATACCCTAGAAACGACACCCAGACACTACACAACAAGCCCGAGAATGCATCGAAGATAGCACAAAGGGAATACGATCCTCTCTCGTACAAGCGACGAAAGCTGTTCGAATATTTGATTAGCTTCTCGACGAACCGAGCCTAAACGGCCTGTTTGTCTACTTTCGACAGCCGCCCCCTTCCGTAGCTGCCTGCCCAACGAATCTTCCACTTTTTGCTCAGTTTCAACGGAATCCGTATCCGAACCTAACCGAGCGCTAACCCGGGCCCAATCGATGTTTCACCGAGTCTCTCTCAACGACAATTTACAAGAGATCCTCTCTATACCCTCGCCGTTATTTCGTGGACAGACGTTAGTCTCGTTGCTGTAATTCTCTAGATAGATACCGGCGCGTATGATGTCAACACCGGTCGGACACCAGCGTTCACCATGCCTCAGCAACAGCAGGATTGTGTTGTTCGCTAGGGTCTTGAAATACTCGCCGTCCTCGACCTGCGTCCCGTCCGACTCTAGCACCAATGACACATTCTCGTTCTGCGGAACGCCCAGTTTCTCCTTGCCTGGGGGACAAAAATACCCTGCTATAAGACTCTGTCGCCCGCGATCGTATCGCTCCGAACGACTCGACGTCGATCACTTACCCCTGTGTATCAGTTCCTCGAAATTACTAACAACCAGTCCCTTTCTAACGTTACGCCAGCTGTCCCATATCTTAAAAGGTCTCTTGCTCCGTAACTCCTGCACAAAAATCACAGCTGTCGTTACTACCGGCCGAGTAGGAGGAGCCTAGCTACTACTACATAAAACGGTTCGTGTCCGAACGACCGGGCAAATCGTTGACAACATCAAAGAGAAAATCTGCTCTATATTTTCGAAAAATGAACAACCAGAGGTGCGTAATAATAATAGCCCGCGATCGTATTTTTAGCAAGCGAATCGCGGGCTTCTGCGAACTATCGTGGCATCGATTCGAGCACGAGGTGGGTCTCTAGGATGAACATTAATGAGAAAAAAAATTACATCGGATGCAACAAGGTGCACCGGCGAAGGCTACGCACAGTTTTCCGAGGGTGCTCGCGGATCGGCCCTTGTCTTCGGGGCCAGTATCTGCGACACACACGCACGCGTTTCAGAAAAAGAAAGCGGAGGGAAGGCGAAAGGGACAAAAAGATCTCGTGCAAGGTATCGCGGAAAGAAGCCGCGTTGCGGACGCCTAGGAGACCTCCGGGGAGGTAGAAAGAGAGAGAGAGAGAGAGAGAGAGAGAGAGAGAGAGAAGAGAGAAGGGAGAAGAAAGAAGAGAGAAAAAAGAAGAGAGAGAAGGAGATGAGAAGAGTCTATCAATGGGTGGATAGGTTGAAACGAGACGTAATTGCGTGTAAAGAAACCGTAAAACCGTCGAGCCCGCCGGTGGAGAATGCTTATCGCCTAGATGTTAAGCGAACCGAAGTGTCTGCGCCGGGTCAACAGGCAAGTAATTTACCCCCTCCCCCCTCCCCTGTCAGCCCCCCTCTGGCTCCCGTCCCGCACCCTGCACTCTCTGCCGCGGACGGTGTTTTATACGCGATAACCAAGTAGAACGAACTATAAACAAAGCGCGTGCCGCTCCACCGCGGGGGAAAATTATTATCGAATACCTATACATCCTTGCGCCAGTTTATTGTTGTTGTATTTTATATATATTTAACATATATTATATATATACACATATATACGTATATATGTTATAAGTATACGTACACGTATTTGTCATATATATATATATATATATATATATATTTTTATAAACGCATCCTGCGGCCATGCTATTTTTCCACGATCGAGCAACAATCATGCACGCGAATGACGTCAGGGGAGTGTACGCTGTCCGCGGGAGGGGCGCGGACCGGGGTGCGTGCGTCCCCGAAGGAAGGGGATGAAATCTTGCGAGAATTCTTTTCGCGAGGAGGCTTCGAGGACGGTGGGCATCGGGCAGGAGGGGGCCAGACTTGAAAATTGGGACGTGCAGGACCAAAAACAATGTATCCCGAGTCCGATTGGGTTGTTCGGGGTTGCGGAGAGGGAATGGGGCTGCCGAAAACGGGGAACGGGGCCACGGGTAGCGGCCCAGGGTCGAGGTAGGGCACACAGCGATCGGTCGATTATAGAGGTTAACGGGTCTGTGGATCGGGCTCTCGCGGGCCAGCACACGCCGCCGATATATATTAGAACAACGCGATAGAACTCGACACACGGAGAGAGGACCAGTATATTATGTTTGGGTTGTCCCTAGTTTTCAACAGGGAGGCGCAGAGCGGGCGGGCAGGGCGCAGACGCGGGCGCAACTTATGGTCGAAAACACTGACCTGATTCAATCATTTTCGGGTTACCGATCTGATAAAAGTACGGAGGAAACGTTTGCACCGCGGCCCACCATGTGTCTCGATCGACGGCAACGAATTTCGGGGGATGCTGGGCTTGCACCGGGATCGCGGAACGCCGATAGCGCACGGATCGCGATGCTGGGCGATGCAGGCGGTTCAACATCCTTGGGAGACCCTCGATAAACAATGCCGAACGCGTCCGCGGACCGGGATCGAGGTCAGCTCCGATCCCTTCGCATAACCTAAAATGGTTGATCAAGGTTCTCCGGGTCGCAGCCTGGATTCGGGACGAACCAGGACGCGCACCGCTCTATGCGACAAAGTCTACGAGAGCTAGAGGACGATGCGCGTCGATGCGTGGACCCGAAGGCGGAGAATGCGGTGGATGCGGAGGATGCGGAAGATACGGAGGATGCGGAGGATGCGTGGTTCCTCCGGAGGGGACGATGCACCACCGGGGACGATCTGTATAGAGAAATCGCGGATATGCAGGACTATGGATTTTGTCATGTGGAGGAAGGTGTGCAGCAGTAGCGGACAGGGCTCGCGCGGTTCAATCGGACGCGGATTACGAGAAAGCAAAAAATTGCGTACCTCTCTTGCCATTACGTCATATCCCTGCAGGTAAGGGACCGTCCCAGCAAGCACTTATTCAAAAGGAACGAGCAAAGAAGCTGCACGTCGCATTATCGTAGCGACGGGATGCTCTCGTGCACTACTGTCCGCCCACCCTTTGCTCGATCTGTCTCTCTCTCCCTTTCTCTCGCTCCCTCTCTCTCTCTCTCTCTCTCTCGCTCTCTCTCGCTCTCTCTCTCTCTCTCTCTCTCTCCTTCTCCACCCTCCTTCGGCCCGTCTAAACCCGTTGCTTTCTCCCCCGATTCCCCTTGTTTCACAACGTTTCCTTGGACCTTCTCTCGCGAAACTTGTCACCGAAACAACACACTTTTTCTTTTGGTTTTCTCTCTGTCGGAATGTTTCCTCTATTCGAGGGTGGGGTGGGCAGTCATCTCTTTCCGTTATCTACCCTATGTGCGTGCGTTCCACCTCTCACTCTATTTCCGTCTATCTCTGTCTGGCTCTGTCTGGCTCTGTCTGGCTCTGTCTTGCTCTGGCCGTCGTTCCGTTCTACCTAAAGTTCTCCATCTTCATCCAACCTTGTTCTGTCCGTTCCTCGGGTCCGACACCGTCCCGTGCAATATTCTGACGACCGAGCAACACCACCGAAGAGAGCTGGCTCTTCATTCGCGTGATCAACGCGCGGACCGAACGCGAGCCACTACCACCTCGCGGGAACACCTCATTCTAGCCAGCCTCGGCGTACAATTACCCGATCTAAGATTTCACTAGCGCATATGGGGGCAAATTGTAACAGTGGCTTCCTCCCAGCGGTTACTGCGGCGACTCCTAGTTTTAGATCGATTCTCTCTCGGTGTACGTACAGACACCCTCGCCCTCACCCTCGCCCTCTCTATCTCCACCGCCGCGCCTCCTCCTCCTTCTCCCCCACGAGTTCGCCCGCAACACAACCTCGCCCCACAACCGCCTCTCTCTTCCGACTGACGACCACTGCCTCCAACGTAGCCCCCGTGATCTCTTCCAGCCACCCTGTTTGCTCCTGCCTCCTGCCTCCCCCAGACAGTGCTGCTGCTGCTGCTGCTGCTACTGCTGCTGCTGCTGCTGCTGCTGCTGCTGCNCTTGCCATTACGTCATATCCCTGCAGGTAAGGGACCGTCCCAGCAAGCACTTATTCAAAAGGAACGAGCAAAGAAGCTGCACGTCGCATTATCGTAGCGACGGGATGCTCTCGTGCACTACTGTCCGCCCACCCTTTGCTCGATCTGTCTCTCTCTCCCTTTCTCTCGCTCCCTCTCTCTCTCTCTCTCTCTCTCGCTCTCTCTCGCTCTCTCTCTCTCTCTCTCTCTCTCCTTCTCCACCCTCCTTCGGCCCGTCTAAACCCGTTGCTTTCTCCCCCGATTCCCCTTGTTTCACAACGTTTCCTTGGACCTTCTCTCGCGAAACTTGTCACCGAAACAACACACTTTTTCTTTTGGTTTTCTCTCTGTCGGAATGTTTCCTCTATTCGAGGGTGGGGTGGGCAGTCATCTCTTTCCGTTATCTACCCTATGTGCGTGCGTTCCACCTCTCACTCTATTTCCGTCTATCTCTGTCTGGCTCTGTCTGGCTCTGTCTGGCTCTGTCTTGCTCTGGCCGTCGTTCCGTTCTACCTAAAGTTCTCCATCTTCATCCAACCTTGTTCTGTCCGTTCCTCGGGTCCGACACCGTCCCGTGCAATATTCTGACGACCGAGCAACACCACCGAAGAGAGCTGGCTCTTCATTCGCGTGATCAACGCGCGGACCGAACGCGAGCCACTACCACCTCGCGGGAACACCTCATTCTAGCCAGCCTCGGCGTACAATTACCCGATCTAAGATTTCACTAGCGCATATGGGGGCAAATTGTAACAGTGGCTTCCTCCCAGCGGTTACTGCGGCGACTCCTAGTTTTAGATCGATTCTCTCTCGGTGTACGTACAGACACCCTCGCCCTCACCCTCGCCCTCTCTATCTCCACCGCCGCGCCTCCTCCTCCTTCTCCCCCACGAGTTCGCCCGCAACACAACCTCGCCCCACAACCGCCTCTCTCTTCCGACTGACGACCACTGCCTCCAACGTAGCCCCCGTGATCTCTTCCAGCCACCCTGTTTGCTCCTGCCTCCTGCCTCCCCCAGACAGTGCTGCTGCTGCTGCTGCTGCTACTGCTGCTGCTGCTGCTGCTGCTGCTGCTGCTGCAACTGCTACTGCTGCTGCTGCTGCTACTTCTGCTGCTGCTGCTACTGCTACTGCGACTGCTGCTGCTGCTGCGGATGATGATGATTATGAAGATGATGTTGATGTTAATGTTAATGATGGTTCTGCTGTTGCTGCCAAACTCCGCTAATCCCCATTTGCTACGACCCTCTGCACAGTCGCGCCCCATTTACTTCTACAGTTACCCTCTGACGATACTTCGACCCCTTCGATGTACGCTAATCAAAATTTCAAACCAGCGAAACTATTCAAAAATAAAGGCCGAAAAACACGGTGGAACTTACTGCACCTTGGTGGAACCAGCAGATCCTTTAATCTTCTTCCATTCCCTTTCTTAGTTAAGTCAATTATAAGTCACCCCTCGACAGCCAACCATTTTTTCTAAACTATCGATTTTTCAACACGATCTCGAACGTTTCCAAAAATCTAATCATATTTATCGTAAAGCGCGTTCTTTAAGCTTCGATTTGAGCTATAATATATTGAAATATCTCAACGAGAAGGTATTCAAATGTATTTTCTAGTCGATTTACCGTTTTGCGTTTCAATTCGGAAAATTGGAACAAATGATTCGCGCCGTTTCTCCCCGATGGAACAATACAAAATTCGGCACGAATTTTCTGCTGCTTTCAAACATTCGAACAGCGCCAATTCGCGCAGCGGCAAAACGTCCAAACTGCTGGACAACGTGATCGACGAAGGAGAGCAGTCGGTAATTTCTGCGTCACCTATAACATAATATGAAACATGAAATACCATATTTGTTGACGATCGATAATTTCAGCATCCTCTAAGTCAGAAATTTGAAACGAATTTATAAAAAGCTTGGCCACTGATATAAATGTTACCATTCATTGAACTTTTTATTATCAGTGACAAATTTTTGTTTTCATATTACAAATATAATACACATATGCGCATATGTACATAAACATGACTGATGCCGATGAATCTGCGCTTGGATACGAGTAAACATTTCATGGTAACAGACATTAGTTATTAACATGGTGAACAAATGAGGCTAAAAAGTTAACGTGTCTACTTTGATTTAGGAAATCGTAAAAAAAGTATGGCTGCTAGACCTGATCTAGAAAATCCGGAAGAAACGGAAACCAAGCTACAGCTGACACTACGGTTTCTCAAGATTTATTGGAAAATTGTGTTCGCCCTGGTATGGGCAATTATTCTAGTGCCGTTCGTTTTCATTTACACCGATCCAGTATGTATATATATATACAAGCGAAACCAACGCTATTACTATCCCTCTTTACAATTTGTACAATATTCGTAGCAAGTTCGATGCGCATACACTATCCTCGTGATGGCTGGATATTGGATCACCGAATGTTTTCCCATGGCGGTCACATCGCTCATCCCACTGGTGTTGTTCCCAATGTTGGGAGTGCTGAGCACGGCGGAAACTTGCAGCTGTTATATGAACGATACTATAATGGTTTTCATAGGAGGCTTGGTTCTCGCATTAGCCATCGAACATAGCAATCTCCACCTAAGAATCGCCCTTGGAGTAATGAAGGTGGTCGGTTGTAGTCATGCCAAATTGCTAGGTGGTGTCTGCGCCGTCACAACATTCATATCTATGTGGGTGTCGAACACTGCAGCTACCGCCATGATGGTACCGATCATATACGCGATCCTCAACGAGCTGGAGCAGGTTTGACTCGTCGACAAATCCCTAATTCGGCTATAATTATCCTATCATCTTTTTATTCGCATCCACGTCTAGGCTGGACTCTGTAGAGTATTCGATACCATAGTAGATCAGGAGAGGCCTGGACAAGAACCGTAAGTATGTAATAAGCAAATAAACAAAGTTAGGATATTTGAATCTCCAAATTAGATTAAAACTCTCGCAGAGACTTAAAACCGACGAATCTGACGAAGGCTTATTTAATGGCTGCTGCATATTGTTCGACATTCGGTGGAACCGGAACGCTCGTAGGCACAGGCACCAATCTCACATTCAAAGGAATATTCGAAAACACATTTCCGGACGCTGAGGGCATTAACTTCACGCAATGGATGATAGCCAATGTCCCCCAAATGGTGATCAATTCGTTCCTGACTTGGCTCTATCTTCGTATAGCATTCATGGGATATCTGAGACCAAAAAGTGCAGATGCTCAAATGGCGACCATCGGAGAGGAAGGTGAAGCAGTTACGAATCGAGTAATGCTATACCTTTAATAAGCACCTGCTTCCTCTCTAGTTTTTCACCTTTTGCTATTACTATTATCGTCATCGTGCTGCAGGTAATGCAGGCAAGATACAAGGAATTAGGCGGCATTTCTTTCCATGAAACCGGTGTTGCAGCCCTCTTTGGTTTTTGCATAATACTTTGGCTATTACGTAAACCTGGTTTTGTCACGGGATGGTCCGAAGCGATCACGACTATGTTAGACACTCAGCCGTTTCCTTACTCTCCAAGGAACTCGTTACCCTATCTTATTTATCTTTATTAATAGAGACATCCGGGATTCCACGCCTGTTATATTGGTCTCTATTCTGATGTTCTTCATCCCAAAAGATCCTAGCTTTATTCGCAGTTTCAGCAAGGATCGTAAGTATCGATGTTTGTTCCATTTGATAACTCGGACACCGTAATTGCATGTTTCTTGAATCCTATAGCTGCTGAAAGACCGCACTTGTCGTCGGACGGTTTGATAACTTGGAAAGTGATAGAATCGAAAATGCCATGGAGTCTGATGTTCCTTTTGGGAGGTGGATTCGCGATATCCAAAGGTAGCATCGCTTCCACTTTGGCCAAAACCATTGGGGGCTCCCTCGTGCCTTTAGGAGCATTGCCGCCTCCACTAATCCTCATCCTAGTATCCTTCTTCATCGGTTGTATAACCGAATTTACCTCCAATGTCGGTATAGCAAACATTACCCTGCCTGTTGTTGCACAAATGGTACATTGAATATAACGACATAGTTTTAGGAACCCACGTATCGCCGCATTTCATTGAATTCTGTTTTCTTGCAGAGCGTAGCGATGAAGATTCACCCTATGTACCTGATGATACCAACCACCATAATGTGCTCTTATTCGTTCCGGTTACCGGTCGGTACACCTCCGAATGCTATCATAGCCACGATGGGTCGGATTTCGACGAAATATCTGATTATGGGAGGATGCGGTCCTGCTGTCTATGCTCTTATCGTTCAAAGTATTTGTTTCCTTACTTGGGGCAGCTGGATCTATGGTGCCTACGATTTTCCAGAATGGGCTAAGGGATCCGACGACACGTCCGCAAACGAGTAGTCATTCTAAATTATCCTATGCCCATCGCTTGTTTCTTTATTCAATTCCGGTTCCATTCTTTCATCTATTGTACGAATGGGGAATTAAAATTGTTAAGTCTTTGGCACAGCGGGAGACTCAGTCTTTTTAGGACTTAAATTAATTTCTTGCTGTTCCAATCTACGATGCCTTAGCATGGTGGAGAGCACCCCATTGAAGCTGGCTGTTTTTTTCTTTGCGCTTCCTTTTGGAGTGCTCTCACCTATTCTTCTCACTGGCAGTCTCGGCGAGGACATCTCGTCCATAAAATCAAAATCTGACTTTTCTTCTGTCCTGAAATCGAATAAAATATTGTAATAAAAAATACATAATTAAATAGATCGAAGGTACAGTTTGAACGTTTATACTTGTACTCTTGTGAGCCGCTGTCCTGTTGGCGATTGTTCGAGAGAATAGGGGATGGACCTCTTCTGCCAGGACATTTCCACTCTAGGTCTAGCACTCTATTATTCGCTTCCAAAGCCTCGATCAGCGTTAATATATCGTCAGGCTTCAGACTCCATTCGTTCTACGTCCGACAAGAGAAATTACTGCGAAGACCAAATCTAAAAATATAAACTACATATTTGCTTACCTTCCCATCTGTTTCGTATTTCTCGTCATCTGAACAATCAATCGACCATTCCTCCTCACTGCGTTCCATTATTTTCCTCTGATACACCAATAGAATCACGCTAAAATTAAGCTAAACGTCAAACATAAAATCCAATACATAACCTGTTACAGAAAACAACACCTCCTCTTCAATACCATTAGAGATACGTTAGACCCTTAATAAGAATATGTATGGTCTAAGCTTAGAGACCATAATATGGTTTCTACTAAATGATACCTGCTGCTTTTCTCTTTATAAAAATAAAATATGTACATGCATACAAATAAATTCTGGCAAGCAAGAATTACACACGTATGTACAATGTACAATAACTGCTTCGTTCAAATATGAACTGACGCCACTATTATTGTAATCTGCTTTACCATAGCGGTATCTTACAGCTAGCAGTTTGATCGTTTTGCCACTACGTGTAGTGGCGCTATACGGACCTAGATAATTCTTACCGGAATCTGCAATGTATCTTACAAGAAAAACTGTAAGAGTCATTCGTTGTCAAATAAAACTAATATTTCACTGTCTTCTCGTTAAAATATCTTAACTTCTGAGAGCTCGACGTGAAGCTGCTAGAATGCAGGTTACGGTAGACGCCTCAAGATTTGAAAACAATTGCGATAACAAACTAAAAATCTAAAAATAAGGACGAGCAGACAATCGTAGCGGTTGCTTTGTATTTTCTTCCGAAGAAAGAGGGAGCAGTCTCGTCCCGTGTCTGCAACTGGAGTTATCGGTAAGTCTATACAGTAGATTTTGTCTCGTATTCTTTTAAATTTATTCGACTGAAAAATTTAGTCGAACAGTGAGCAAGTTTGCAGCATAACTTAAAATAAGCAGATGAGATCAGTGAAATTGACCCGGTTCACTGTGAAGTTCACATTGTGAACACCAACCAACTTCTCGTGTTTGAGTATCGATCGTGGTCGATTCAACAGGGAACTGGTCTGGTACGAACAGATCGTGAATCGCGATTGGTCTTTGATACGTACATACATCTGTTTACAAAGCAGCGCACGCGTTTTAGGCTGGTTAACGGACGTAACAGATTCGTCACCGAAATTGTCGAACTTACACCGGTGTTGGACGCACGATAGTTAACCGTGCGTCGTATATTTGGAGGTTTTGAAAATTATGAGGGAGGAGAGAAAGAAAAGAGAGAAAGCATCTCGACCAAGGCCTGTTATAGTACTCGTAGCAGGTCCTATCTTCCACGCGGATCAATTGTGAGGAGGTTACGATATTCACACTGATCGGTGACAAATCGAATGCATACATAATCGCAGAAAAGGTGTCGAATAATCAGCCCTCTTGTGGTGAGCGCGGGAGGTGTCGCCACATTGTATATTTGTTCGCGGATGACAGTCTCGCACCGGTCTCATTAGAGCTTAACCTTTGGCGGTCATCGATTCGAGACGCAAAATTTCTGCCGTAGATAGGATGGATACTCTTGGTGGTGATGGTTGCGGTGACGGAGATATGGAACGACGAGGCGCAGGACGTGGTCGTGGTCGTGGACCATGGAATTCCACCACGCACGAGCCACTTCGGAGACCCCGTGCTGGCTCTGGAGCGCAAACAACAGGTATTTAAAATCCTCCGTGTCATTTCAGACATCCGTTAAAGTAAACATTTGATTGTAGCTTCCGCAGAGACCAAAGGCACGGAGCAAAGCAAAGTGGACAAGCCTGACTCGTTCGTTAATATAATACAAAACTCGACATTGTCTGTACACGCAGCAGAGTTTGTTCCAAAATCGTATCCCAGCAAACAGTCATCGGTTAGTATTCTGTATTCTGCGTTGTTGTACCTTGATTTTATTCGATTGCCGAAAAGTTTTTAATTTTTCTGTTGTGCAGCAGCAACAGCAACCATCTGTCAGACCTTTACATAAACATTCGGTTCAAGATAGATTACAAGTAGCAACTGAGAAATCATTGCAGGCGTATCAAAACCAAGTAGTACAAAGTCCTACAAGTAACTATGATATTCCACAACATTATCAACAAGTAGATCACGGACAGCAGGGTGATAACTTCTCCCAACAACAGAGAGCAAAACAGAATGTAAACACTCAGAATTATAGACCATTTGAAGAAGATACGGGAGGGTATAACCATGTGCAAATGTACGAGGTAAATACAAATGTATAGTATGTCTATAAATTTGTCATTTGAAATACCCGTTAAACGGACTTATCGTGAAAGTAAACAAACATGACATTCATTGATTTCTGGTTACAGATGAACTCTGAGGAGGAGAATTATTTCTTCGCATTGGCCTCCACAAAAGAAAAACTAACCAGCGCCATACACTCATTAATCTTAAATCCAGGCCGATTTACGTCGATTGTTCCATCGCTTATAAATGATATTAGTTCTTATCTAAAATCTCCTTGCGATTTTCAAGACATTATGAAAGTAATTATTCAGCAGGTAAGTTTTTTCGTTCCTTTACCTCAAACGATAGTAGAATATATATAATATTTATATTACACACACACACGTGGTTTTCAGTCTATAAACGAAGGCAACTTTCGGTACAGCGGCGCACGGCTGTGTGCTTCTTTGGACGGCGCGATAACGGCCACCCAACAGGCATTATTCAGAGAGACTTTGTATACTTTGTGAGTTGTCGCATCCAAAACTAACACTTGCAACATTTATTTCGAATTTCTCTGTTCTAAACTTTAAGTGTGTAACAGGTGTAAGGCTGAAACAGAGGGTCACTCCTCAGCATGGAAGGAAAAGGACGACCATACGGAAGAGGAGCAGAAGAAGTGCCATGGACTGATATTATTTTTAGCAGAGCTGGTAATTCAGATGGAACACACGACCACTTTCGGTTTGGGAGATCTGTTGATTCAACTTATCGTTAATATATTAAAGAAACCGGCACCGAACTCGGTAAAAAACATCTGTCAGGCCCTTAAAGTATGCAATTTCATTCTAAAGGTCACCATGCAATTGTATAGAACAATCGAATACACATCGATGTACAGTTGGCAGGTCACACTTTGGAGAAGGGTAAGGGAGGAAGCCGGAAAGAGATGGAGAACATGATGCGAGCGCTAACGGAGCTCGTAACAGCTGGTAGAGTAGACACGCATGTAGGACGTATGGTGCACAGTGTACACCAGTTAAGAAATGGCAATTGGGGTCATAGTTCTGCTGTAGAATCATCAACGATCGAAAACACTGAAACCACAGAGACAAACGAGGCCCTCGACGAGCCCGTATTGTACGGTCCCGACGGCAAAGTGTTAAGTCCAGAAGAGAATGAATTTTTAGACGATGTCACCGATTGTACAACAAATATCGAAGATTTACTGTACGTAGATTGATATCATCGATAACAATTGGATGATAATAACTGTTTCCTGTTCCTATAGAATACTCGATGAGCGTTTCGAAGATGAGGTAGAATGGACGTCACCGGAAGACGACGAGATAGACGCGGCGTACGAGGAATTCTTGAAAATCATACCGAATAAAATAAAAAATACAATCTCGGAATAATTGGGGACGTGATAACGGCCTCTTTCGTAACCATCGCAGCTGCCGCATCGATATTCAAGGCCCAGAAAACCTCATAGTTGGAAGCTATGAGTCCACTCGTGAAATTTCGATTTTCAGTTCTCTAATGCACCGATTACAATGATAATCAAACACAACGGGCAAACGGGACAATTTTTCGCGACCACATACATTTATACGAGTGATTAACTGTCTAGCGAGAGATTTCTTGTACCCACCTATACGAAATAAGGAAGGATCTATACCGTATCTTAGAGATTCGTTAAAAAAAGAAAAAAAAACAAACAGAAAAACGGTGTAGCTGAAATATTTCCGCTTTCATTTTTTTAAATAATGTACTCGCTATTTTTTACCGCGTACTTTTATAAAGCTGGGAAAAGAAAGTCTCACAATTTATTTCTAGGACGAAACAAGAATGTTTTATTATACAACGCATAATTACACTATTAATTAAATTATTATAATAAAACATCTAAAGGTATTAGGTAAATGTAGTTCGGCTTTCTCATTGCTGCAGGTGTTTGTTAAGTTCTAAGGCTTTTAAGTGAACCGGCCTCGCTCGATTTTCCCTGAATGTGTTATACAGTTTATGTGATCATTGCTGAACGATTACGTCCGGGATGACTATTCCGTCGATGATCGCGCGTATCATGCACTCTATAGCTTGCCAGCACCAGCAGGTCCATTTTTGGCGCGAAAGGTAATGCGGAACGACTGTCAGTTGACAGCGAATTTGGAGCTGCTTACTCACCGAGCTTCACTTTCAAAACCAACGAAAACTGGTCCATAAAGAGATAATCTATGCACATAAAAGTCGGCGTGCACGTTCACAATTTTGTTGAAAGGAAAGAAGAGACGTACTCTAATTAGGACATAGACTGGAAGAATTTTTATTTATCGTTTAGTACCAACGGGAATAAATTATTCTTGATTCTCACGATGATCTGATGAACTTGAAACTGGCTTACGTGCCCTTAGTAGTAAGACTTGTTCTGTTCAGAGAGAGAACTCCGTTTCCTGGCGTCATTTAAGTGAACGTGGTCGCCGTCGAGCGTAGGCGAGACCCATCGAAGGATAGTCAGGGGCACGCGTAGGCAAAATTTGAAGTGGGGTCGAAGGCTAAGAAAGGTGGGGCCCTCCTTGTGTTACAATCATGATCATCTCCGCGTTCACCGAGAACTCAGTCTGTTTGTTTTCGTTGCGGAGCACGGCCAGATTTCAATCGAGGTAAATTGATCAAAAAAATTGCTCGATATTCGTTGGTCTACAATCGTTTTCTTTTTAGGTCACTCAAAAAGTCATGGCTCACCAGCGAGCTGCAGTTCTGCTAATTTTCTCATTCGTTGCCATCGTCAATGGCGGATATTACCAGTCAAGAATATTGACATCTGGAGATGTCAGTGAGTAAACGATTACTTAAAAAGGATTCTATTACACGTTAACTACATGCTCGATTTCGTTTTCAGGCACTTGCGAGTCTTATACCTGTGGAGCGAATGCAAGATGCACACTCAGCGAGGGCAGGCCAGTTTGCTCCTGCATGAATCTACACATGGGAGATCCTCTTTCGCGTTGCATCAGAGTTGAATGTCAGAGTGAGTATCCCGAGTTCTTGGTTATTTCATAAATTAACAACTTATTGGGATTTTGTTTATTACCAGTAAACGAAGACTGCAGTGGCAGTAAGGTCTGCACGAACAATAGGTGCGTGAATCCTTGCGACAGTCTTTGCGGCGTGAACGCTGTCTGCGAAACAAGAGATCATGTGCCAACGTGTTATTGTCCACCTGGACAGACCGGTGATCCTTTCACAACTTGCCGCATAGCTGATCCACGTATGTATATCTGTACAGAAGGTTCAAGACTATACAGTTAGAAGAACGATACCTTTAACAGTCTCCTTGCAGAAGCTGCCTGTAAGCCGAATCCATGTGGACTGAATACGAAATGCGAGGTAGTAAACGAGGTGACAGTCTGCAGTTGCTTGCCAGGATACGTGGGATCTCCTTTAACCGGTTGTCGTCACGAATGCGAGAACGACAGCGAATGTCCAAGTCACCTTGCTTGCTCAGCCAACTTCCGGTGTGAGAGTCCGTGTAAGTGTGGCTCGAACGCTGAGTGTAAGGTGGTTAATCATCAGGCAGTGTGTAGCTGTCCGAAGGTAAATCGATGTGCACAGAGTTACAAAGTCCAGAACGCCGGTGAAACTCAGGAATTTTATTCTAGAATTGGTTGGGCAATCCTTTGCTGTCGTGCCGGCCGGAATGCACCTCGCATTCAGAGTGCCCGCCGAACAAACCTGCCTGTCTCTATCAGAGATGCATGAACCCCTGCGATGGAGTGTGCGGTGTGAACGCCGATTGCAATCTGAGAGGTATTACTCCAGTCTGCAGTTGTCCGAAACACATGACTGGCAATCCATTCGTCAGCTGCAGGCTATTCGAAGCAAGTAAGTCTTATTGCATCGGTGTACGTGACACTGAATATTTCTGGCGCTTAATCTTGGTTGTTATTAATACCTTCAGGAGACTTATGCGAACCGAATCCATGCGGAGCGAATGCTATTTGCACACCAGGACACGATAATACGGGAAAAGAAAGACCTGTGTGTACATGCCCCACTGGTTACATTGGCAACGCGTTGGTCAGCTGCCAAAGGGGCGAGTGCTTCACGGACAGCGAATGCTCCGACAGTAAAGCGTGCATAGATTTTACGTGCCAAAATCCTTGCACCGGTAAAGAGTGCGGGCCAACTGCATCCTGCACTCCCAGACGCCATATCGCTGTGTGTACCTGTCCGAGTGGCACGCGAGGGGATGCGCTCTATACCTGCAACCCCATAGACGGCAGATCTTTTTACAACTATGGTCGACAATACAGATACCGTCAGTACTAGTCAACAGGAAGACAATATATTAGACTATAATTAGACGTAATTAGTAAACTGCGTCCGCTTATTATTGCTTCCGTCAAGAGTCTATTTAATAAATGAAACCACATAAATGTTGGTACGCAGTCTTATCTCAGGCTAGTACCGCATTCGCATCGAGATAAACAAGCTCTCGTGATTAATCATTAACGGATCTTGCGTCATGTATGCGAACTTATTCCTGCGATCAAGTGTGCGGAATAGTTCTTATTCAGCGTACCTCCTTCCAATCGTATTTGTTATCGTGATAACGCAATACAAAGCGCCTTAATACTTCAATGTACGACTGGTTGCATTCTCGCGGGGTTCATCGATTCTCTGATATTAATTTTACGTTACCATCCCATGCATCGATACCTTAATGTACGAACTAGAATCCCCTTTCATTTTTATTTCGACAAACAATGTTTTACTCTGCCATAACATAATCCAATATAAATAAACGATCGTGTGCATAAGTGTCGTTCGGTAGGTGGCCGACAGAGTTCGCCACCGTGGTGAACGAAACACACACAGTCGAAATCGAACCGAAGGTAGATTGAACGCAGCCAAGTGTGAATCCTCCGCAGGGTCGTCTACGCAGTTGTCAGAAGAACAACAAGAAAAACGATTATCACATTGGTGAAGGGATTGCCTTCTGCGGCGAAGGCTTGTTTTCCTTGGGGAGTGGCCCGTTGGGCGCTCTCGGCCCGCAAACCTGGAGAGATGTCGATCCGGACGGTAGCCTACCGTCTCTTGCAAAATGGTCGAGCTTTACTGTACTCCGTTCGAAATACAGGGAGTCTATACGCTAATTGCCATCCAAGAATTAACCACGGCAACATACACGTTGTTCAAGTAGGTGAGTCTCGATCGATTTGATATTTATTCGTCGCGATTTGTCGCCTTGATCGGAAGACCTTGAAACAGATAATCGAGACCTTCGTCCATCGTGATGCATTTCGAATTCATTTAAAGAAATATAAATTTAGGTAGCATGACATCTGGTGCGGGTCTCGGTTAATCCGAGTATCGGTCCTTATGGTCAATTGTGCCATTTTTACGTATTTTTGAATTTGTCAGTTTACGACTTCTTTAGAAGTTCTTTACGTGTTTATATACTGGCAAGGTCACAAAGCTCAACAAGTTTCGTTGGATTCACGTAGTTAAACAATTATTAATTGTTTCGTATCGGTATATTAAAAATAGGCAAATCCCCGGGCTATCTGCCCCAGGGTAACAACAATGTCTCGGCCACAGGAAGACACCTTGGTTACTTGGGAGCCCATGCTAGACGACTCTTTGTTGATAATATTCTAAAAAGAGTTACCAATAGTTTGGCAGCAGATTTGAGACGACGAGCTGCTACCAGGCTGGTGTATGGAGACTCTGCACCTTTTTTTGCTTTGGTTGGAGTATCCCTGGCATCCGGAACTGGTATATTAACAAAGGATGATGAATTGGAGGGTGTCTGCTGGGAAATTAGGGTATATATTTTGCTTGAACTTGAACAAAATTGTTAGAGAGATACTATTTTATGTTTGTACTTGCAGGAAGCAGTATCAAAATTACAATGGAATACTCCCCAAAACGACACAAATTATGAGGTGATTAGAGACGAAGAAAAAGTTCTGTCATTGAAAGATTTTGTAATTGGACCTGCAATCGCTAAAGGATGCTCTGCTGTTGTTTATGCAACGAAATTTAAGGATGTTAAAGAGAAAGATGAAGCGAATATTGACGACAAAACCACAGCTGTTACTACATTTCCATTGGCATTGAAAATGATGTTTAATTATGATACCGAATCCAATGCACTCTCTATTTTGAGAGCTATGTACAGGGAAACTGTACCAGCTAGAAAACATATAAATAACGATGAACTAGCCGAATGGGAATCTAAGATGGCCGAGAGAAAGGCAGAGCTTCCACCGCATCCGAACATTGTAGCAGTGTATTATGCTTTCGCCGATAGAGTACCAGCATTGCCTGGCTCTTTAAAAATGTATCCTGACGCATTGCCTGCGCGTATCAATCCTCAGGGATCCGGCAGAAACATGAGTCTGTTTCTATTGATGAAAAGGTATAGTACGCGCTATACCAAGATATATGTACTTCAAACAAATGGGGCAATAGGAATTATCTGTTACAGGTATGATATTACATTAAAACAATACCTAGCCGATCGTAACGTGAATACTAGGGAATCGATACTATTACTTGCACAGTTATTGGAGGGTGTTGCTCACATGAATGCTCATGGTATTGTACATCGGTAAGTTAATATCCTAGTGGAACAAGCGGTAGTATCAAGTATCATTCGTACTACATGTATTCTCTTATGGTCACACATCAGGGATCTGAAGAGCGATAATATTCTGCTGGATCTATCCGAAGAAACTGACAACTGTCCGTCTCTGGTAATCACAGATTTTGGTTGTTGTCTCGCCGACAAAAGTCATGGCTTACACTTACCTTACAACACCCATGACATCGACAAGGGTGGCAATGTTGCTCTAATGGCACCAGAAGTAATCACAGCCGAGCCTGGTCCGTTCACCTACATCAATTATGCAAAAGCTGATCTATGGACCATAGGTACTATCGCGTACGAGATATTCGGTATGAAGAATCCATTCCATGGCGATACTAGGGATAAAACAACTCTGAAAAATCACAACTACAATGAGTCGGACCTTCCCTCCTTACCAAATGACGTGCCAACTATAGTATCTGCTCTAGTTAAAAATATATTATCCAGAAGCTTGTACAAGGTACACCATTGTTAACTCAGGCTGCTACCTATGTCTCTTGAATACTATATGATTCTGCTCATTTTAGAGACTTGATACAGAGACTGCAGCAACTGTGATGCAACTGCACTTGTGGGCACCAAGTTCTTGGTTTAGAAGCGAAGGAAAATTGCCGTCTAGCAACGAGGTGAGCAAACACATTATTATGTAAATTACGTTTGAATATTTGTCATCAACTATTGTGTTGTGTAGGTGATGCAATGGCTCTTGTGCTTAACAACGAAAATACTTTGCGAGGGACGTAACACTGCGCTACTGGTATCCAATGTCCTCGGCGAGGAAGCAGCGGAGAAAGTGATCCGACAAAATTCCTATTATAGGTCACTCTCGACTAGATCTTGCGGGAGGCGTACCATGCCAGAATATCAATTGATAGCGAGTTTCCTTGGTAGAGTTACTCTTGGCAATATTAGAAACGCCTTAAAATGGATACAGAAAAATGCATAATTTTCTAGTAAATGTTTTACGAGTTTCTCTGAAAGAAAACAGAATGGAACAACATAAAGAAAGTATTTTTCTTCTGCTCGCTAAAAATTGTTCACGTTAGATACAGGAAGCAGAGGTTGTTACGTTATTTTTGTATACCCATTGTTATCGTTAAAACTCCTGAGTTGGTTTCTTATTAATTTATTTTTCATACTGTAAGAAACTCACACAGCACTTTACACAATCGACATCCACTGGATAATTTATTATTTTATGATACGCGGAAGGCTTTCTTCAGCATCCGATGAAGATTGTTTCTTCTATGTCGATAAATGCTTGTTTGGACATCACCGTACGATGCAGCGTGTATCAGTCAACTGGTGATAGTCTGCTATTAATTTTAGTCGCTTCACCAAAATTGTTAATTCGTTCTTACTGGAGGCTTACTTCGCAACAAATGTAAATACCACAATTGATCGAGGGAAGATGCGTGCGAGCACTGTACTAGTGTTGATCAATAATAAAGTTTGTAATCAATAGCGTTAATTGAATATTAAGTGGCCTTCCTGGGCAACCCGGACGCTTGCAATTTCTGTTTTAGATTTTCGAAATCGAGATTACCGATGTCCGCTAAATCTTTTAAATATACCAAATACTCCTCGTATGACAGAGCTCTTTTGCGAAACTTGAAGAACGCAAGTCCTGTGTCGGTTGTCGTTAATGTTACCATGTCGAGTATCCGTGCAGAAATCAACCATTTGTCACTTTGCGTTAAAGGTAGAAGTTGTAATTTGTTTTCATAGGAAATTGGATCCATCTCACAGTACGCTGTGTAATCAGAAAAATCGATTAGCATTATTATAGCGTTCATTATTTGTTTAGCTTAACGTTATTAGTTACCACGGAAAATATCTTCCAAAGGAATAACTTCAGGCATCAGTTTCTTCTGGAACGCTTCTAACGACTCCATCCTAAAATTCGTGTGAACGTCCAATGAAATAGATTTAAAAAATCATCATGAAGTTTAATGAGCCTGAATGCTTGGATAAAAATGGTTTCTGCAAAAGAAATTGCGACAACGCAAGCTTAATTAACACCGTTGAACAATTGAAACCGCCGTACTTCTCAGAATTAGCCAATGAAGAGTTCTTCAAGTGCTTCTGCAAAGAAACTTGCACTGCTAGAAGAAGACTGGACATGCGTGGACCTACCATACATGAAAAAATCAAGTCAGCAGATGTGTTGCAACTTTGAAATTTTATACCCCTTTGGCAATAATTGCAGGCGACTTTTCGAAGATACGGATGTTCCAGCTCTGATCATTTTCTTGCGGAAGTATCAGGATATCGTTTATATTAATTTAGGCAGCAACAACATTACTGACAGTGGCTTTAAAAATTTAATTGATCATGCACTTGTAAGTGACAACACTTTTAAATAATAGCTTACTTTAATTCAATTACTTTCAACATCTTCGTTTGCATCAGACATACAAGCAGATAGAGGAGTTAGATCTTCAGAACAATAACATCACAGAACTGGGAACAAGATATTTACTGGAAGTAGGACACGACCTAAAGATTAAGAGTCTGAATCTAAAAACGAATAAATTAGGCGCCAGTGTAAGTGATTAATTCATTTTTATTTTCTTTTTCCGAAATTATTATATGAAATTTTTTCAGGCATCGATACATGTAGCTAATTTTTTATTAAAAAACATGCATCTCATCTGGTTGAATGTAGCAGAAATAGATCAGACTGCTTCCAGTTTAATATACTTTATAGCGGTGCTGAGTCAGGATCAGGACATTTGTAATGTGACTCTGAAACACTTAGACATAAGTCGGCCGAATCCGGGATGCATGCACTATTTTGATTCGGTTCATTTTGCCAGTGTCATTGGCCACATGCTCAAGGTAACATTGCGCCATGTGTTTCCTTATCCACACACACATATCATCGCATTTATACATTTCCTTTACTCAGCGCAATACTACTCTGTCAGCGTTGCATCTGCAAAAGTACAATTTTAGTTGCCACGATATTGAAACCATGATGTCCAATGCGATTCACAATAATACTTTGCTTTTGTTAAATCTCGGCTGTAACAATATAGGAGATCATGGTGTGGACCACCTGGCCAAGTGGCTTACAAAAAGACCCCAATTGAGAATCCTTGTACTATGTAGCAACATTATAACTGATCACGGTGCAAGGTACTATTATTGAGCAATGATTAATAACAGAAGGAATATGGAATAAGCAAGAAATTACATTTTCAGAAGTCTTAGTTTCACTCTTCCATTCTCAAGGCTCCTATCCTTGGATATCTCCTATAACAAGATCACAGATGTTGGTATGGTAGAGCTTTTGTACACTTTAAAGAAAAGTCCCCTTTTGCGACAATTGAGGATATTTGGCAACGCCATTGGTCATCCAGTTGGCAAGGTATTCGAGCAAAAGAAAAATAGGAAAGTACATCAATGCGTCCATTTGTTTGTAGATCATTGAACGAATGCTGATCTCGAAGGTGTTGAACCAAGAGAACATAGACATCAGACCATACAGAGTTGATCACAGATGGTACATTGCGAGATTCGAAGGCGACCGCTGCAAAAAGAAATACCAGGATGTTCCTTATGAACTTTTCTCGCGAGAATCGCTTCCTCCTATCAAAAAAACTCGTCTAAAGCGAACCTATTACAAATACATTTACAATAGGATAGACGACATTAATGTGCAACACGTACGTTAGTCTTAAAATTACTCTTGATCAAAAGACTATTAAGATGTGGTTTGTTTTAGTCAGTCGTCAGAATTATGTCAAGCGTATTAATAACGGATCATCGAAAAGACTGTAGATGTTGTTATTGTTTCAAATGCAAAGGTAATTCGAGATTTATTCTTTGCTTAAGTATTTTTATTTATTCATTCGATGTCGAATCTTTCAGCACCACATTATGACGATGGATGTAGAGATTTAGAGCATCCAGATACTTGCACTTGTTGCAAGTGCAAGGGAGATGATGAAAGCAGCGATTGGTCTGTGGATAAAGAAATTTTGAACAGGGTCAAGACTCCTCCAGATCCTGTGGAGAAAGTTGCATATATTTTAAAGCGTGTAGGTTCTGAAACTGCTAAGAACATCGCACGGTGGATAAACATTGACGAGGATGTTTTGGAGGAAGATTTGAAAGCAATTGCCAGTTAGAATCATTAAGATTATGTTTTTGATTGAAAGGTCACGAATAACGTTAATCTTCATATTAAAGGTGGTAGCGACACTGACAAAGATTCGTGCAATTGCTCATGGGCTCAATTGAGTATATCAAGCTTACAAAAGTACTTAGAGGAGACTTCTTCTAAAAATCTCCTGATCATACCTAAAAGTAATACTACTATGTTAAAAGATGTATACAAGGGATCCGACAATGAGTCCTGTGTAGCAGAAAGTAGTGCAAGTAGTTCATAAAAATACGTGAATTTGTATAAAAGGTAAATAGAGAACAAGCGTTATGACATCATCTATTTATTGATAACCTGACACAGTTTGATTCTCTTCTTTGTCAAATACAAAAATAAAAAAAGAACAATCGCTCGCATTTTAGATTTGAGTACTACAAGTCATTATTGATTTTATTTCTCTTTGGTTTCTTTCTTGGCATTCTTTTTCATGCTATCATCTTCTGGCTGTTCGATCTCTTCCATTTTCGCTGGCAATTGACTCGAGTCGATTTCCCTCGCTATCTTATTCGTTTGTACAAGATCATTGACTTCGAATGCCAGTGGACTGTTTTCAGCATTCTCCGCGTTTCTGAGAGAACCAACAACAGGTATCATTGGAGAAGCTGCCCTGAAGGTCGTGGGATAGCTATTGATTGTGATTCCCGAATTTCCATAGGCACTGTCCACCAATCCCCTGGTGGCATATGAATTGACTGGCAGGGTATTCATTCCAAGAGCGAGTGATTTTTGGTAAATGGCTGGATAACTTGATTCCATAATCTGACGCACGTGGGGCAGATCAGCGTTCACATTGATGTGACTGTGGACGTGGGTTCTTCCTTGAGCTCTGGCTTTCCCCATGTGATCCTGCAAGTAAATAGATATTAGTGAGAAATATCAAAATTGAAAAAAATGATTAATCGTTTTTTCCTTACATTTGGTACAATATGCATTTTGGAATCGTACGGCATCACAACTGGAGATCTTGCAAATTGGGTTGAGTAGGGCATTGCAGACAATACTTTAATGGCCATGGGTTCCACAGCAGATTCGCTCAATATTGCCATATTGTTCTGGCAAGGGCATGGGCTCAGAATTCCGTGAAGAGGATTACCGCAAGGAGACACCGATGGAACTTGAAGAAGACTGGCTACTTGCATCTGTTCTGGCTCAGTATGTATCATCATGGAAGTCGATGGAATAGCGTATAAATGTTCATGGTACGCGGGAGCGACTGGTAACACAGTTAAAGTCTCTTGCGGTACTGGAAGCGCTTCTGGAGCTTGTTCGATACGCATAAGCTTTGGTCGTTCCTTGGTCTCTACCGAGGGAGCTGGAGTTGGCTTAGCTTTTGGTTTCTCTACGGAAGTTTGCGGGACAACATTTGTCTGAGGAACTGATGGGATGATGTTCACAGATGGAGTGGGTTCAGCATAAGGCTGGGAAGATGATTGGACCACTTGAAGAGATTGGTAAGGTTGAACAAATTGTTGAGGCAGAGTTATACTTGCTTGAGGCACTGAATAAGATTGGACGTAAGAAGGTTGAACGAAGCTGTACGTTTGAACAGGTTGAGCAGCCGATTCACTCTGAACATCGAAAGTGGACTTCTGAACAACGGCTTGGTTAGACTTACAGGGAACTTGATTCGGATGGGAGGAACCAGGCTTGATCTCCACGCAGAAAGAAGCTGATTTCTTTGCTCTGTCCTTGTCCGAGCCCGGATCGTCGATCTTCAGAACTTCCTTCTCGGACTCAAGGTTGGAGTCTTCCGTCAATGACTTCTTCTCTATTGCCTTTACTGTTGGACCAGCCTGGGTCAAGGCAACCCCCAGAACCAAGATTGAAAAACATACGGTGAAACGCATCATTGACCATATGTACTCTGTCACTCACAAAACCGAATTGTTGCCTTGACTAATTCAATTCCGCTTTTTTATAGGGAATCATCAGTAATGTGAACCCGCCCCCAGCTCTCGAAGTAATTTTGAAACTGGGTGCGTGAATACCGTCCCACATGCCATCGCGGCCAGTGCTGATCACGCGTTTCATAACTGCTGCATTGTTTCAGCAACTTTTTTGTTGTACACGAGCGAATTCATATTTCAACTGATATTATCTTGTAGAAAGAGATGTAAGATTATTAAACATTGTTACTGCTATTCCATTTGTTACATTCGTTTGTAGAAATTCTCAACACTACTTTATACTACCAATAATATATGCGGTTCTATTTAATATTTGAGTAAATGATTATTGTCATATATTAGTGTTTAAAGTGATAACTTAATTATAATAATTAGTGTAGATACGGGTAATCAGTTTGTATAATGTACGAACGAAGAAGAACAATTTGAAACGGAATTTTAAATTAATTCTTTACGCGAGTTTCACAACCAGCTGCATTTTTCGTTTTGCTGGAACTGCAGCATTGCTATTCTGATATACAATTGCAACATGCCATGTCCATGTGCGGCCGCGCTTAACTTTGCTTAGTCTACACATTTTTTTCTGTACCGTTGTTATATAACGAATATAACGTTATATTATGAAATATATTCACGAATATACGTTATTCAAATAAAAAGTTTTTATCTATATTAGGAAATAAGAAGCCTATTTGTAAGGGGATCACAAGAAGCAGAGTGGCGCAGTGGAAGCGTGCTGGGCCCATAACCCAGAGGTCCGTGGATCGAAACCACGCTCTGCTAAGGTGTTTGAGATATCAACTCATTCTCGTTTTTTTTATGCTCTGTACTCTTTTTATTTAAAGCTTTTCATATCGATTGAAAATAACTACTGAAATGTGTGATTTTAATGTTAATAGAATTATTAACAAATACGGTTGATTCTCAGAAGTATACGACAACTTTTGAATCAGGTATAACAGAGTTATAACTTTTTTACTTAATAAATTTGAATAATTAAACAATTGAATAATCTTGTTTGTTGCAACGTTACAATAAAATATTATTTCTCAAAATTAACAATAAACAAAAATTTCGCCCAACGTGGGGCTCGAACCCACGACCCTGAGATTAAGAGTCTCATGCTCTACCGACTGAGCTAGTCGGGCAACGTGTCGAGGTTTTCATAAATATGGAAAAAAACGAAGAAAATTTATTAAAACAAATCGAAAGGAAATTAATGACGCTCTTTACTTATGCTATCTTTTATTTACGCAGTTTCTATAAATCACAATTATTCAAGAGCGATTCGAGACAATTACACAGCCGAATATTAAAGTTATTCACATGGGACAGATAGCAATGCAAAATTTTGTTTCACGACACATACCAGAACCACAACGGTTCCTGTCGAATCAGCGACTTCGTTATGTGCATTACTAAAGCCACGCTCTACCTAAATGGCACGCTAGTTTACGTAAGTATCCAATAAATATAAAAAAGATATCGATGAACACACGTGTATATTATTGTATTTGTGATTAAGTTACGACGGTTGGTCGTATGATCAATAGAACCGTACCGCCATTAGTGATAAAACGAAGAAGGGAATGAGGAGATTATGGAACAGAGCCTGATTAGCTGGCGAACAATCGGATGAACAAACGAACGAGCCATCGGTCTTGTTCTGCAGCAGGAGATTCCTAACCAGTTTCTTTCCTTCGCAGGAATTCTCGATTCTAACAAAACGAATCTTCCGAGCCTCCAGAAACTGTTCCAACTCCACTCTACATCTCCATTTCAGAGGATTCCCGGCGAACTCTACGATGTAGACCTCGGGTAATTCGTTTAAATCGCTAGTGAATATACACTTCAAATCGTTCCCTTCCAAATTTAAATATTCGAGCCGAGTCAACTGGCGGAATGCGTTCGGTGCGATATATTTAATCAAATTGCCGCGTAGATCCAACCTCTGGAGATTCTCGAGCGGGAACGAAGAAGATTCGATCATTTCCAACGGATTATCCTGAATCGTTATGTTCTGCAGCCTGTTCGCGCCGTCGAACGCGCCTTGTTCGATAGTGGTCAGGCCGGAGTTCGTTATCACGAGTTCTCGAAGATTTTGAAACTTCGAGAAGCATCCCGCCGGCAGTCGGGTCAGATGACCCTCGTGAAATTCGATCGCGGTGACATCCGCCGGCAAGGCCTGTAACATCTGCAGGTTCGCGCCGATACATCGGTAACGGATTCCTGCGTTATCGTCGACGATAACGCAGGTTGTTTCTGTGGTCTCGTTCCAAGGGATCGGGGTAGAGGTCACTGGCGGCGGTGTAGTGGTTATGGCGGGAAGATCCGTTGCGTAACAGTCCTCCTTCAACAGCAACGAATGTTTGTCGTAACGGATCCGACGAGCATCCAGGAATTTCGCCAATTTGGTCCCGCACAGACAAGTCCAGGGATTGTTCGCGACGTTCAATGAGGACAGGTATCGCAACCGTTCCGCCATGTACTCGACGCCGAAACAGTTCATCGAGTTTTCAGATACGTCCAAACTGGCCAGATACGGTATGTTGTCGAACGCGCCGTTTTCTATTCTATAGATGTTGTTGTGCGAAAGATCGAGGTGTTTGAGATTCCAAAGGCTCCGCAACAAGTTTTCGTCGACGGCTTCGAGTTGATTGTTTTTCAGCGACAAATATTCCAGGTTGTAGAGCTCGTGGAAAGCCCGAACATCGATCTCCTCGATACCGCAATCGCGTAGTTCGAGCTTCGATAGATGACCGTTGAAACGATTGAAAGCATCGCCGGGAATCTTTTTGATCTTGGATAATATCACGCGAATCGAGCGGACCGTTTCCGGTATCGCGTACAGCTCTTCTATCGAGGTGATAGCTCGACAGGTGTAGATCGTACTGGATTGATCGTTGCTTTTCTCGGGGTAGCATCGTCCGGTATAAACAACTGACGGAGGTGTAACGACAGGAATTTCCGTCGCTGGTGGAGGCGGTCGGGGCCTAGCGATTATTAAGCGCGATCGGTTGACACTCTCCTCGAAAGAGGTCCAGTGAACTCTTCCAGCGGTAACCGAAGTCTCTGGAGTGGTGGGCTGAAAAAACAACATTATAGTATGACCATTTTCTACGTTATTAAATTTTTAGTAAAAATACCTGAGGTTGGCGCCATCCACCGGCAGCTTCCGAAATATCATTCTCGTTCTCGTAACATCGACCCGCATCGATCTCGAATCCAATAGTCTGCAGCGTCAGGAAACTTTGGAGGTTCCCGCGGCAGTTGCACAACCATGGGTTTCCGGTCGCATCGAAGCGTTCGAGTTTCTTCAATTCAGCCAACTCTTCGATAGCGATGCAACGTAATCTATTGTTTCGGAGATCGAGGTGTCTCAAACTATTGCCAACACGCCACAGCGCAGTCCTATCGATCTGCTCGATCTCGTTCTTTTGTAGGATCAATTGTTGCAGGTTAAGGAGATCACGGAACCAGTCGACGCCAACCATCCGAAAATGGTTGCCGACCAGCGAGAGTCGTTCCAACCTGTGCAACCCAGCGAACGCTTCGCTTTCGATCTCACGGATACGACAGTCGTTAAGATCCAAACTCCTCAGGCTATTTCCAAACCGGAAGAACCCATAACGAGGTAGCTTCTCGATCGTCAGTCCGGAAATCTCGATCCAGCTGGTCTTATCCGGAAGACGGTCCAACGACGTGAAAACGTTCGTCTGAAATTCGCTGCCACGTATCGATGTCCAATCCTGCCGGCATAGTTGCAGCCGTTAAGGGGCGCACAGCTACCACATTTTTCTAAGTCTAACGAATCGCTTATGAATTTAAATTTCGATTTTGATTCAATGATAGGAAAAACTGATTACCCTTAAACGATTGTAATTATTCATATCGTGAGTCGTGAAGGTAACTGGCACTACAGGGAACTCTATTTGAGTCATGCACTGATATCTCTTGCACAGGTGGACTTCTCTGGAACAATCTGCCTCCAACCTAATGGACCTCTCGCGGAAATATCTATCCAATCTCTGTCGGCACTCGCAAAGCCATGGGTTCCCATCGATGCGGATGCTCTTCAAAGATCGCAGGTAGGATAGATCCTCTGTCGCCAAGCAATCTAGATCGTTATCGCGCAGTCCCAAAGTTTCGAGGTGCGGCAACATCCGGAAGACATCAGGTTCGATGTGCACCAAACCGCATCTGAAATGTTTACATTTGTACACACTATATATGATATACGATACACATCGATGGTCTGATTGCAGGCAACGTTCCCCTGGACGACTCGATTATAAAGCTTTACGTAATCTATGACTTTCTATGGAATCAACGGCGTCGCCGCGGTTCTGCAAACAAGGAAACGCTGCGCCTCTTCCGCGTCAGTGATGCAAATTCCGGCCCACGGAATTCTTCTAAGAAATCTTTATAAACGCAACCGACTCGTGATCTTCTCGCTTATCACGTTACACAACAAGAAGACTTAGTTTTAGTAATTAGGACTAAATTGCTAGAAATTATTAGCGTACCTGTCTAGGACCAGCTTTCTTAAGTTGGTCAGGTGGCGGAACCACGGAGTCCTAGCCACATGGATCTTGGTTCCATGGAATATCAGCCATTCCATGCGGTTCTCCGCACCGGCGAATGCGTCCGGGGCGATGAAGTTCACATGACAATTGTAGAAGGAGAGTCTTCGGAGATTCTTGAACCGCCAGAACGCGTAGTCCGGAATGTAATGGAACCGCGATACCGTGAACTCTATCCATTCCGCCTCACTAGAGATCTCTTCGAGGTCGTTCAGGTCGCCGTGTGTGCACGCGTAGGCGACCGACCGTTCGTTGTCCGCGATCGGTACTATGCTGCATTTACAGTGCACTTGGCCAATTAGGCCGACCAATGCCCAGAGCAGAATTAGATGCATCGTTTTTTCCTTTCTAGGTGCGCCAGCGACAAATGATCATCTGGTCTCTTCAATTCGCTAGATAGAACATCGTAAAATGAGAGGTACGGATGACGGTGGCCGCTAGTCTTGTTAATAAACAGCCTGCCTTGATTGGCTTCTCGTTAGTGTCATGTTTGGCGTTCGCGGAGAACGTATGTAGGTACAGCTATATAACTTTTAGTCTCTCAATGAATGTTATCGTACGAGCTTTGTTCGCCATAGTTTTAAAACGATTTGGTTTGACATGGTTTGCAGAATATTAGGTACAATGCAGCGTTAGTTGTCATTAATGTTTGCATTGCAGCAGCAGCAGCAGCAGCAGCAGCAGCAGCATATTTTTGTACTTGGCGCAGCAGAACTGACGCTTGTAGTCACTCACCATGGTGAAGCGGAACGGTCTTGTTGGCAAGATCCTTTTTGTGAGAGACACCTATCACTTTCAATACCGAGGGTATCACTTCAGGGTCGGGTTAAATACTGGGTTACAGTGGTGCACCGTGTTCACAGGACACCTATTGCGACCCTCATCGTCGTTTAAAGAAAAGACGACTGAGTATTCTACGCACCGATACTACGAACATCGAACAAGGAATGAGAACATGAAAAATCATCCAATGGGGACACTAGGAAGCGTCGGTCTCAGCGAGCTGTTATGGTCCGAGTCTCGCATCGGTGGATCGAAACCAGGCGACTCGACTGAGCTGACGATTCGCTCGCTTCCTCGTTATATAAACTTGTAAGGCCAAGGTCGCCCTTGTGCACCGCGCCGGTACTACGTGCACACCGCCGATCCCCGCGACCTATCTTTAGCACACGCCGCTCTACTTTGCCAGGGAAACCGCCTAGCGAATTAGACGCGATGCGCTGCGCTAGCCAGCTAGTCCAGAGACTAGCTGTCAGAACAGCACGCACACCTGCAGCCGCGAACGAGAATATAGTGACCGGAAGGTCTGGGCCAGTTGATAGAGATCCTCGCCCAGTCTCGTGACTACAGGCATGAATGGAGAGGCCTGCTGTGCAGATCTATGGTACTTTGTTTCATGATTATTAGAGACACTCGCACCTAGACTCACAATAGCATAATTGTATTCGCGGGGTCCGTGAGTAGTTGTATTATTATTAGAGCGAGTATTTCGAACGATGATTTACGCCACTGTTATGGTGTTAACGCGCGGTTCAATTCCGTGGGGTAATTCGGTCGACGCGCTTATTTATCCTGATGCCGAATAGCATATACTGGCCGACATAGTTCGGCAGATCGCAATACAATGTATGAATAGAACAAGGACGAAAATAATTCGTGATAATGCATCGGTGAGCACTTGGGATTTATCAATCGATCCTATTCCACTGAACAGGGCAGGACCCTTTCTTTTTAATGAGAATGTATAGGCGGCGAAGGTCGAAACGTGACAGTAAATTACATTTTCAGATTATACGTCGCGCACGGCCGTCCCTCATGGATTATATAGCTGTTCATCACGCCGACCATCTATCCATCCATTTTGCCCATCCAAGTCGAAGACGATGCGTCGTTCTTCGGCAGTCTCGCGCCGGCTGTCGTTCGCAGCGCCCGCTCTCCGATCTCTGTCCGCACCGCGAGTTCCCTCGGATGGTGACAGCAAAACCGTTTATTCTCTTCTCGCTAAATCGCGCACATGTGCCGTTGCACTGGCTGAGTCTGCCACTTTGTAAGTACCGTAAAACGGCAGTGGTTCCTATGATTCGAAATGCGAATCGACCTGGCAATCGCCAGCTGTTCCGGGCTGCATTCTAGAAATCACGCTTCACAGGTGTTTATACCGTTAATCTCGGCTGCATCACGCTTGTTCTTTCTATCAACTTGAACTCTCTAACGTCTGTCTTCGCTGTCAAATACTTCGTATTTTTGTATGCATAATGGATCAACAAATTATTTGAACAACTTGCATAGCTACCGCGAGCTTCGTAATTAACTCTAGCAACAAGATCGTGCATCCTCAGGACATGGAGGGTTTCTGAAGGTTAGGCCAAGGTCAACGCACAGAGCGAGACTAACTGTGTCTATTTATTTTGCAGAAATCAAGGAGAGGACCGATCGTCAACAGGTGTCAGGACCATGGATTCTCACGATGGAAAACCGAAGTCCACCGACAGTGGTCCACGGTTGGATCTACGTGGGACGCCACGAGCCATAATCACATCAGGTGGGCAGACTCAGACAAGTATTTGGAGCGCGACAGTGCTCTCTGAGACGCGGGCTGAACGTTTTGTGGCGTAGTCGGCGAGGATTCCCTCGTTACCTAATGGAACGCGAACGGCAAATCAAATTAGCGGCGATTAGGTCAGAAGGTTGGCTGTTGCGGTACGGAGCAAGGTCATCGCGGGCCACCTATCTACTGTCTAGCTTTGAATCTATGTCGCGATTCCTCTACTTTGACCTATTACTACTTCTACTTTGACTATTCTGCCTATTAGTCACTTAACCCTTTAACGTCCATTTAACATTTGGCATTATTGTAACAACATGATTAACAAAATTTTATCGAAAGGCGTACGGGTACCGGTCAAAATGCAACGGGCGTTAGCAGGTTAGGTGCGAATTTGAGAAAATGCGGCAGGGTGCGATGCGTATATCAAACTGTTTTCGCGACCATAGCGTGGGGAGGGTGAAACGCGACGAAATAGCGAGCGCGAGACGGTGGAGGGAAGAACGGAATGACGGCCAGGAGAGGTCACTCACGGGATAATGTGCCATGGAATGGCACGAACGTAGCCAGTTCGCATTGAACTGCCGAATCGCGCGGATCGAATCGAGTTGGATCAGAACACTCCGCTCACTTGTTTGCTTCCCAGTCCGTTCGCTGTTTCGCTCATTATCGAGGCTGTCTGGTCTCGAGGTACAGGCGTTTTACGGTTCGCCAATCGGGGATCAGCGGAGACTAACATTGGATACCTATGTGCAGGTGCGACCGCCGATTCTAGCTCCTTGTTCGCCCTAGAGGTGCCCAAAAAAATGGTCAGGATATAGAAATTAGCCTAGAATGTAGACCGGCTGGTTGGTGTTCTTAGCAGAAAGTGTAGATCGAGGAAAGAAGTCTATCACCGCCACACCCTGCGGCAAGAAATGAGAAGCATCTTACGGTGACTGTAATTCCGTCTGCACTGTCTAGTCCGAGTTTGGAAATTCGTCCAGTTCCTACAACAGTGTTTAATTAATACAGCGGCCAGTCGCTTCTTTCCAAGGTCTATTGCAAAGACAAAAAAATTAATATGTTTCCTCGGTCGGGTAAATGGATCAAGCGTTGGAGAATCGATTAGACTTTAACGAACATCGCATTGTTCTATAATGAACACAACTGATCGTATTCGATATCGACGTGTTTGGGAATCGCCGGGAATTTGTCAGTTCGCCAATTATGTAAGAGAGCGCGCGATTCGAGGAACGATCCACGCCAGGAGGAATTCCAGTTCCCTTCGCGCGCAGCTCAGCCGTGAGTAACCGGTCGTGTGTGCACGCGGTGTGCACAGGCTGCGTGCACAGATCTATGGAGTGGATATCTTGTATCGTTATGTATCACAGCATAAAGGTGCGAGCGGTTCTACGTGCACGTTTATTAATTCTTCTGCTCGCGCACGGTTCGTTTACCCGTTTGATTATGAATTACCGTTGCCTTCGACGCTTCCCTAGCCTGTGCACACCGTGCACTGGAAACCGTTCACCTCTGCCGCCGGAAAACATAGGCGTTCGCCGAGCATAACGACCATGCGCGAACCGTTAACGAAATTTTCTATCGTTAGAACCATTTTCTAAACCGCTTTCTGTACCTATGTACGGTGTATGGTTTCATTTCTTCGTTCTTAACCAGTTTTTAAACTTCATTGTGTGCCTATAGAAAGATAAAATTTGATCCTACTTTTAACAAAGTTAATAACATACGTATTATAAGGTGTAGGATTGAAAATGGTTCTGATGGGAATGTATAGATTATTCGAATCGGTTTTTCCCTGGCTAGGTTCTAATTTATGGAGGACTAGTTTATACGCACAGTTACAAGTTGATCCAGAACTCTACATTGACTGTCTCAGAAATTGTATCGATATTAGTAAGATTGCGTACTACAAGGAGCTCGGTAGTGTAACATTTAAAATCTATAATTTGACCGATCAATGTCCTGGGACATTATTACAAATCCTCATGGTATTCTCATTTCTATCACAAAGTTCTGTATCACACCTTGTGTATAATGCTGTTTGAGCGGACACGAGTGCAGGGTGGTACTTACGTACGTATGTGCAGAACGTAGTTACGTACCGGGCATGCATCTTTATTATTGGCCGAGAACCCGTACGAACGGCTAGGGTTCGATGAACCTTTACAACTACGTATACGGGTCTCGTACCCTTCTGATCGAAGTTCACTCGCTGAAAATCGCCCGTTCAGCGGTGCTGGTGCACGATCGCCCCGCACTTTTCGTGCCTGGAATTATTCAGTTGCTGGTTCCCATAATCGTCCAATAAGCGCCCTCGATAGAACATTGCGACATTTGATTAATTACAGCGCTCGGATAAGTTCGTATTAATCGGTAGGACTTTAGCTAGAAAAAAAGGTAGGAGGTGATTCTCGAAAGCGTTATCTGTCTTCTCCGCGAACGACATGTTTCAAGCACGTATCTATACATATATATTGGACTTATCACCAGCGATTCGTTTCTTATCGCTTCACCTGAAATTCCATAATCTTTGGCGCGAGCAGTAATGCTTAGACTGCGTCTGCGAACAATCGTGGTACTAGGATAATGATCGATCGCATTGAGATTGAGAGTAGCTAAGAGATATAGTGCAGTTCCTTAGTTTACGTGATTCACCGACGTGCCGTCACCGCTAAAATGATCCGGCAATTACTGGACGCTTTGGGAGGAGGATCCACGGTAGAGCCATATAGCCAAAATATGGGACCCTGTCCTTGTCACGATATTTCTAGCCGAGAACCGTCTATTCCCGTGATTCCGGCATAGGTGCACACCTCCACCTACATTGCAACGCACCGGTCTCGCGTTTCCGAGTGACGTCCTTCGTTTCTATAATTATTTGCCGCATGTTTCGTTTCTAGCCGCAAAAACAGATCGAATTATGTTCTAGTAAAAGAAGATATCCTCTCAAGGATGTTACGGTTGCGGTTTCGTCGTTTTTCTTATACACCATTCGCGCAGATTCTTTCGTATCCGCCGAGCAGAATTAGCGTTAGGATAAATACATGTCGATTTCATTAATTTTTATTTTGTTTTGGTACGCATCGATTCTATTTCATGGGATCTTGTTTCTTCCAGGCTCGAAGCGGAATGCCCGTGGGATCGGGCGGGCGGATATCCTCTAAACGCGAGACAGGTGGATCAGCACAGATCACGAACAAGTCCGCTAAGACTCGGTGAGAACTATTATTCTTTGATTACATGAAGTGTAAGAGTTTAGTGACAAAACGCTGGGAACGCGTCTGCGCCTATGAATATCATTGCGAAACCTTATGAATCGAAACGTATATCGGTCTTATCTCGTGTTTGTTTGTTTTGGTTGGCTAACGATGAGTAACAATTCTAATGACGCCTAAGCGTATTTTGTATGTACGTTATTTTCGTAATCAAATTTTTACTTTCGCACGAGGAAATACAACAAAAATCGTATCGTAGATACTATATCGAACGCTTCGTGAAATTTGGCCCAGAATTCTACTATGACATCGAGTGATAAAGTAGAATTTGAATATTACCATGGGTAACATGTTACCACGCGATAGGTGGCGCAACGATGACAATTCGGCACACTGTAAAGTTTCCATCAGTTTTTGCATCTCTAAACATCTTGCTATATTTGTAATTATTTCCTTTTTTATATTCTGTATTTTACTTGTAAAAGCAGGCAGGTGGGAATCGAACAGAGTTGAATAATTACGAGCACTTTAACTCTAACTTATATGCCTGAAGTCGATGGTTTGGCAACGTTGCAGCTGCCATCTTTGAAACTTTTGAATTTAGGAACAATCACGGGCGGGATCACGATTGCAATCGTACTTGGTTTACGCAAACAAAGTTCGTTTCGTCTGTCATGTGCCCAAGAAACCGGACGGACCATTATATTTTCAAAAATTCCAATATCTAATTGTTACTGTCATTGGTGTCGATTTTTTTACACGAAATTGTTGTCAACTTTTCCGTTGTATCTGTACCAGGTCAAACTTATATCTACTTCTATCGAATCCCGATTTACATTTGAACGTTGAAAACAATAAAGTAAGTTTTTAGTTTTATGATTGGGCAAATGTCATGAGAATTAGAGGATGATTTCAACATTGGGGATATAGCTCAGTGGTAGAGCATTCGACTGCAGATCGAGAGGTCCCCGGTTCAAACCCGGGTGTCCCCTAATTATTTTTTTCTTTCTTTTTTTCTACAAAATACGGTGATATATCGAATCAGAGTTATAAGAGATTACAATGGGTAAGAGTGTTTGGTTTTTGCTCAGCACAGGAATATTAAATTAGGTACAGCAAAATTAATGTTTGCTTATCGCAATAGTTAAAAAACAAGGCATTTGTAGAATATTGAGAATAATATTATCTACGCTATTTACGACGTGAAATCGATCCGATTCACGAGATCGTCTGTAATAGACGGATCGAATGACAGGGAGCATTGACCAGTGGTCAGCTGTTACGGTGACCTCATCAATTCGCACCTTTGCGATCAACACAGCGATCGTTTGATACGTTAAAACTGTTAAAACTGGTGATGCATGTTTTCGAACGAGCGTTTGGCTTAACCCAGTGCAACCGACAAAACTATCGTTGATGGTTTTATCGGTTGGCGTTGTCAAAAAGTCCGAACCAGTCGAATGACTGATAACGAACGATTGCCGCGTGCTCCTTAGCTTATGCAACCGCGAAACGCGTGTAGTGTCGCGTGCCCCTCGACTTATGCAACCGGGCAACGCGCTGTTAGAGCGGTTGGCCTGCTTAGAGACACACAATCTTGCATCGAATCGAGTCGTAGTTTTTCTTCAAGAACATAATGGCGTTGCATTTGTTTTCCATATCTCATGAATATTAAACGCAGCCTCTGTCTATGTGTTACTTGTACTATGCTTTTTTGTGTGGTATCTGCAGATTCCGACGCGGATTTAAAATGATAATTATTTTCTTTGTTCAAAGACTTTAACCCGTCTCTCGAGCTACTATTTTACGTTATTTACAACTACAACCACTTTATCTTCCGCGTTACGTCCTCGCTGCGCCAAGGATGTTACGCAATACAATACTAACTGCACCTACTAGGCTACCTACATGCCTACATTCAATATCTGCTATATTATTTACACCACTAATGTTTCATTATTTTTATGGCTCTCGCTATCGTACGTTCACTGTACTACTTCAACCGTATATACTACATTAATTTAACTGTACCTGTATTATGTTACTTCAATTGCGCGTACTGTATTAATTCTATTAGACCAATCATATTGCAGTGGAGGTATAAGGACATATTGACGATTTTATACAACACATAGTGGCGCAGGTGTGCATACCAGAGCAAAGCACGGCACGACCTTGAGCTGGCCACGAGTCCCAAGATTTNGTTACTGTCATTGGTGTCGATTTTTTTACACGAAATTGTTGTCAACTTTTCCGTTGTATCTGTACCAGGTCAAACTTATATCTACTTCTATCGAATCCCGATTTACATTTGAACGTTGAAAACAATAAAGTAAGTTTTTAGTTTTATGATTGGGCAAATGTCATGAGAATTAGAGGATGATTTCAACATTGGGGATATAGCTCAGTGGTAGAGCATTCGACTGCAGATCGAGAGGTCCCCGGTTCAAACCCGGGTGTCCCCTAATTATTTTTTTCTTTCTTTTTTTCTACAAAATACGGTGATATATCGAATCAGAGTTATAAGAGATTACAATGGGTAAGAGTGTTTGGTTTTTGCTCAGCACAGGAATATTAAATTAGGTACAGCAAAATTAATGTTTGCTTATCGCAATAGTTAAAAAACAAGGCATTTGTAGAATATTGAGAATAATATTATCTACGCTATTTACGACGTGAAATCGATCCGATTCACGAGATCGTCTGTAATAGACGGATCGAATGACAGGGAGCATTGACCAGTGGTCAGCTGTTACGGTGACCTCATCAATTCGCACCTTTGCGATCAACACAGCGATCGTTTGATACGTTAAAACTGTTAAAACTGGTGATGCATGTTTTCGAACGAGCGTTTGGCTTAACCCAGTGCAACCGACAAAACTATCGTTGATGGTTTTATCGGTTGGCGTTGTCAAAAAGTCCGAACCAGTCGAATGACTGATAACGAACGATTGCCGCGTGCTCCTTAGCTTATGCAACCGCGAAACGCGTGTAGTGTCGCGTGCCCCTCGACTTATGCAACCGGGCAACGCGCTGTTAGAGCGGTTGGCCTGCTTAGAGACACACAATCTTGCATCGAATCGAGTCGTAGTTTTTCTTCAAGAACATAATGGCGTTGCATTTGTTTTCCATATCTCATGAATATTAAACGCAGCCTCTGTCTATGTGTTACTTGTACTATGCTTTTTTGTGTGGTATCTGCAGATTCCGACGCGGATTTAAAATGATAATTATTTTCTTTGTTCAAAGACTTTAACCCGTCTCTCGAGCTACTATTTTACGTTATTTACAACTACAACCACTTTATCTTCCGCGTTACGTCCTCGCTGCGCCAAGGATGTTACGCAATACAATACTAACTGCACCTACTAGGCTACCTACATGCCTACATTCAATATCTGCTATATTATTTACACCACTAATGTTTCATTATTTTTATGGCTCTCGCTATCGTACGTTCACTGTACTACTTCAACCGTATATACTACATTAATTTAACTGTACCTGTATTATGTTACTTCAATTGCGCGTACTGTATTAATTCTATTAGACCAATCATATTGCAGTGGAGGTATAAGGACATATTGACGATTTTATACAACACATAGTGGCGCAGGTGTGCATACCAGAGCAAAGCACGGCACGACCTTGAGCTGGCCACGAGTCCCAAGATTTCTATTGAACGACGGCTAACGGTGATCTGTCTCGCCGTGGATTTCAGATCCAAGTCGGAATCAAGGCCAGCGTCCGGCGTTGGGAGAAAAAGGGACGCGATCACGTCGCTTTTCAGCCCGAAAAGGCCAGCGAGCAGGAAAGCGAAGTATGCTAGCGACGGACACCTGCCGAGGATAGAGGACCAGCTAATAAGGTGAGTGTGCCGGACTATGCTGACCGAATGACGCGATTCTCCAGAAAAATCGGTGAGTTAGCACAAAATTGTGGAAAACGAACTAGCAATTGATTCCCACGAGGGTACTGGACCAGCTCAACCGTTGCTAATTACCGTCGACATTAATTACAATCTCTCTCATGCCGGTCATCCGTTGCATTTTCTAGGTAACCGAACTCGGCTTGCTCGACCCAGAAAAGTGGAAGTCTATTAGCAACCACTTTCTCCCCGTGTCCAGAGTTGGTTCTATCGCCGGCGAACATGTGTCTGATTTTTCGAAAACTCACCTAATCGTCGTGAACGAGCCACCAGAAGATTAAACGACGTCAATTGGTCGGCGGGGAGAGAACCCGATGACTTCATCCACTGATTCGTTGCTCGTTAATCTAACTAACGCTGCTAGCTAAGGCTATTACCTCGAACCGTTCCGATGTAATGTTTCATTGATAAGCGCGCTGGTCTTTACGCCAATGCTACCTGATAAACCTTTAGCTAGAGCTTTAGACCCGAAGCATTCTCCTTTTTAACCTGTCAAATCAGGAGCACAGTTAGTTTTTTCTTGGTTTGCCAGCTTCATCGGTTCCCTCTTGTTTTAGGGACCTAGGACCTCCCTTCTCATCTCCGAAGATCCAAGCTATCTTCCGAAAACTTAGATCTTCTATGCGTTTCTGTGTCCGCATAGCGCGCACGTGTCTCCTCGGCTTAACGATGTCTGTTCTTCTTGTTACTTAATTAGAGGTCGAGCACGCCGGTTCTCGCGAAGCCCGGAGAGCTGGCGACCGCTCTGTCGACTCTCAGCAGACGACGACCCACTCTGACACTCTGACAATAAGACCGGCACTCGGCCGGCGTCGGACGACCTACATACCCAGTGAATCAGAAGTCAATGAGCGTTGCTTGAAACTTGGAACCGTCTTGGATCGGCTCCACGGGCGAAGCCGAGCTGCTACCGAATTTGATCCGTATCGTTCCGTCATCGAGACTGTCGTGATGTCTGTTATGGAACACGACTTCCTTTCTTAAGTTTTCGACATCATCGTCGCCTTACAACCAAAAATTGCCTTTACTCTTTAAACTGAGTGGCGTATAAACCCTAGCGTAATAGATTTCTGGGAGACAGTTTGTAAACCTAATAGTCGAAACTGTATGGAAAGCTTGGTATCATCCTACAGAAATTTGGGAACACAGAGGGAGCAGAGAAGAAGAGTTATTAAAATAGAGTGCGAAGAGGCTGTGAATGGGATCAAGGCTAACGCGAGAATACACTTTCGCCTCGCTGTCGTGACCGTCGAACATTCGGACCGACTTATCCAAATGTAGAGATCTCGGGAAACTCTCCCGAAGAGCTGCATTGCCACTATTATCTTCGAAGAAGTCGAGGAAGATACGGTTATCACCAGGTGTGCCGCCTAGCAATCGTAGATAAAGAATTCCTGCAAAAAAGTTTACTGCGAAGGATTTCGAATCTATAAAACGGCAAATCTGTGAACATTACTTCATAGAAAAATTATTCAGCTAAAATATGCTCCGATTCTGGCTTCTGTTTTAGAAGAGAATGCTACAATGTCTGTTTCTGGACGACGGTCTAATCGGTGTTTGCCTCGACGACGGTCACTGTTCAAACAATGATCGAGCAAACAGTTGTTTGCGCAAATGAAGCGCGGAAGGAGAGTCGCAACGCCTTGGCAAAGTTTTCGGCTAGATAAATTAATAAAGCTGCGTTAATCAGACAAGACTGCGCTCGAACGACCCAGCTGACGTCACGCTGCCCCGTTCTTTTAATCCCCATTTTCTCTGCGACCAACTCTCAATTGACTTTGCCCTTATTCAAAGGCCAATATGAGTCTCGCCTGACTTCTTAACGCGCTTTCATTCATCCGGGGACGGTGATCCCTGGAGTTTAGCCAATAGAAAAACGCGGAATTCTCCACGATACAGTGTCTTCGCTTCTCACAATGTTGTTAGTTTATATCACAAAATCATGGTCTATTGGTCAAAAGAAGCTATTATAAGCGTTTGTGTAGCTCAGATCTTGAAGAATATTTTAAAACGCGGTGGCTCGCACGCACTGTTGCATAGACGACCGCGTGGAATATTAATTGAGGTATCAATAACGCTGGTCAGACGTAAATACTTGGCTGCATCGATGAGTCTACGTGTCCACGAACATCTACCATTGATATTTATCCGGCGTGCCGCGAGTGCGCGCGCTCAGAAAATACTAACGTAATCATACGCTGCCCCGGACAATTAGGGGATCTGTAGTAGAGTGATTTGAGGGGACAGCGAGACGGCCTGCCTTGCATGCTGATTACCGAACCAAGAATATACTTGAGTGTAGCTAGAAGACTTGCATGGGAATGACTGGGTGCAGGCTACAATCTATCTGCGAGTTAGAACGTTCTTCAAGATGAACTTTCTTCATTGGTAAAACTGGAAGCTTCTCAACTAATCCAATAACCACTGTTCTAGCATAGAGCTCGGAGAGTGGCGACCTTGCTGCTCGGTTAGGTCCCTGATCCCATCCGGTAGTTAAAGGTAACCCTTATTCTCGTCCTAATCTGCAGCGGTCTCCTGGAACAGAGAGACGCTATTCTAACAGTTCTTGTTTTTAGGCTGATGAATCATCGAAGGCAGAAAAAAAAGAGGAGCATGCCGGCTGTGTAGGGACTTTCGCAACACCCAGTACAATGACTCCATTATGAACAGAGCTCCGTGGTCCCGTCCTGGGCTCCGGGTCTTGTCTCGGGCAGAACATTTCGGCGATATTTCGAACTCATATACTCAACCCGTATACATATAGACCGCGGTCTTGTTTCATTCTTGCTGTGGAACGGCGTTCCAAAGATATTCTCGATGACGAGGAACATCGCCATGGCCTCGCCGCCACCGGGCAGACTCATATTTCCGCTAAACCCGGGGAAAAAGCGCGACGCTGCATACCGGTTCCGTAAGCGGACACGTGCACCGCGACTGCACTGTGAACTGCAACGCGACTGTAACGATAGTGTCGCGGACACGGGCCCATTACGGCGAACAAGCCGGCTTTACGAGCTTGTTAGAGTTAGATTATGACGCGACGTGATCAGGTATATTGGCAGTTATTCGCGCCCGCAAGTTAGAGCTGGTGTCGTTTCCCTTCTCGTAGAATCGCGGACGATGTCCGGTTACACCACTGAGAATAAGATTTTGTCTATCCGGCGATTCCTCGGCTGTCCCCTCGGTCCGTACATCTGATCATATTGCCTCAAGTCACCCGGTACACTCGGCAGTTCCTCGAAGTCACGAGGATGCTAAAAAAATTGTAAATTAATTTCACGTTATACCGTCTAAATTCTCGACTGTTCTTTGAATCTAACGATCTTTGAATGATTTCAGATCAGGCATATTCTGTAGCATAACAGTGAATCAGTCTAACAAATCCACGTTCTCTGAAGCGATCCGGTCACAATCCAGCGAAGCTTGTAAATACAGAAACTCATGTATCTTATCGCATTCTTGATAGGTGCGTGGAAAAGATTGGACACTGATATCGGCGGGTAGTTCTGCGAGCGCTTAAACCTCCAACAGGATGCAAAGAAGGACTAAAGTATAAGGTCCCTTGAAACTATGGTCAAGCGATGAAGTTCCCTAAAATTCTGGATTAGAGTAGGAAGTATTTTAAAGTGTAGGGCCCCGGTTTGCTACCCCTAGAACTAGTCAGGAATGTGGTGTTAATGAAAGTCTGTTTGTAGGGGGTTGCAGCGACCGTGGGTCGTCCCTGAAATAGTGAGACTCGGCTCGTAGCAGGTAGTCCCGGAGAAGTTCTGGCCACCGGGTACATACCATATGTCGACCGTATGAGAAAACTGGTCGACGGTGAGACGTCTGCAGATTCCGTGGCCTCCTTAAGCAGCTTCTACTTCCCTTCCCCAGCCTCGGCGCTTGTCTGACCATCCTCCGCGGAGTATGTACTCGTTCCCAGAGTGCCAGGACCGGGGCCGGGGCGCACAGGCTGTCTTAAGCCCCACCAGTTCTCCCGCGGCAATTATCCCTCTTTCTCTTCGTCCTCCGCGTTTGTTCTTTCTCTTTCTCTCTGGCACTCTGCTTGGTCGGCTGAAAAATCGACCAACGAGACGAACGATCGAGCCGCATCACCGGCCCAATCGAATGCCCACCAACTTCACGAAACGCTAGCCTCTTGTCCGAGAACGGATCTCCGTGGATCTCCTCAGACTGTAGATTGAACAGCCTAGTGGTTCGTCGTTACTTTGTGGACATTTGGTCTTCTACGAAAGTACACTCCGGTGTAAAATGCTTTAAGTTCATTAACAAGTGTGCCACACATGTTCCTATGTAGGCTTTAGAAGCTAGCTACAGCTTTTAATTGATCAACCATCGAAAGACTGCAACTGGAACTCTTCCGAATGTTCCCTTATCGAGCAGATTGGAAAGAGTCTTTGCTCTAATTGGAGAAACCTGATAGAATCTTGCGCAAAAGAAATTTCACTTCCTCAACCGGATGAAAACTAGCCTCCCCAGATGGGCCCTGGTAGGGGCCCTTATGGGCTGTGGGCCCTTTCCTGGTAGGTCGATAACGATCCACGGGATCCCTTGGAATTCCGGAAATCCATCTCCCAAATGGACCTCGTTTAAAGTATCTTTAATTCAACTTGTATCATACAAGATTTTGTTCAGCAATGAACTTTCTCCTGTTCTGGGTGTTATACTCTAGGCATTAGCATGCCTATCGCATAGGCATTTTATTATCTTACATTCTCATATTATGACTGTTTGTTCAAAAGCAAATTTCTCATTAAATAATGATAAGTATGACAAACTCCTTTCAGAATCAGGAAGAGATACGCGGTAATACAAAGTTTAGAGGCGCTAAACTGTCAAACATGTTCTACAAAAATCTCTCAATTTATTCAGTCAGGAAACCCAAAACGGGCCTGATGCGCATACAGCCCTGCGCTGACTGTCACGACTAGCTGGTGGGGGTAGCGTCTATAGTGGGGGATAGTCTCGAGTTCGAGATTCGTGTTCAGTTACCGATGCATCCTCGGGGGGTGAGCGTCGTCCTCGATCATTCCTTTTTGCACCTTGTTCTCGGAAAGTGAAACAATCGTCTCGATCGCAGTGACGTTTTCCGCAGAGATTACGTCGAAGATGAAACGTTCGCGACGAGCTTTGTCGATCGCGATCCCATCCGATATCGCCGATGCATTCGAATGATTTGTGTGATCGTTTCAAGTGTCTTCTCCCCGTGACATGATCGTTTCAGGATTCGGTCAGAACAGTGTGAGAACGTTTCTCGAGCAAGCTTACGTCGGATCGAATACGTGACGAGTGTTGGTAGCGGCCGCGCGGCCGTCGAGTCGTCAACGAATGCAACAAGTGGTTGGTTTCGGAGGCTGAAGTGGAAACAGGATGGTGTCTGTTTTCCTTGATCTCAATGGATCATCCCGATGAACCAGCTTCTTCTAGCCAAAAATTCTGAGAGGATCCTCGTGGAGACGAAAGTGGCTCGAGGTCGCGGCTCGGCACGGCGTCTTGCGCATATCTTCTTCGAATTCTTCGGTGGACTCGTGTCACACGCTGCGGGGAGGATCCGATTATCTCCCCCCTCGCCGCACCCCGTGTAACTTCGGCTTCCACGAACCAGAGAGAAGATATTTCCTCGGTGTTTCTCTTCTCCGAATTGTGAAAGTGGTCTGTGACTCTCTCTCTCTCTCTCTCTCTCTCTCTCTCTCTCTCTCTCCTTCCTTCTACGCAGAGAGCATCCTGTACGATCACGTTAACTGTAACACGATAGTGATCGTCGTAGAACTAGTCCTGACTGTTATCGGCCGAGCGAACCAGTCGGGGTGGATTCTGAAATGAATTTCTTATCGACTGGGATCGCGTTTCGCGCGTCCTATCCCCGTGCACGAGGATCGAACGCGATCGAAGACTTTCTCGGATCGTGTCCGTGTCTGTGTCCCGAGACAATGTTCCCCAAACGAGCGTGATTCTATCGAGACGTGTCACAGGCGAAGCGGATCCCCTTAATCGATATCCCCCGTGGTTCGGAAATATGAATTTAAGATTGAGTGCCTAGTGAAACGGTGACGGTCGACCATGATGAAGTTCAAATCGCTGTTTCGCAGAGGACAACAGAACCAACCGGCGCAGCAACCGCAGCAGCAACCAACGCAGCCGCAGCAGCTACAACAGCAACAGGAGCAACAGCATATCCCGCTGCGCCAGGCTGCCAGCGCCTCCTCGCTCGAAGCCAAGAACGAGAATCCTACCGTGGGGAACTGGGGCTCCCTCGGTAAAGAAGGAGCCAAAGGGAACCCGAAGGGAAACTACAACTCGAAGGGACCCGCGAAGGGTTCCAGGATGCAGGAGCTTGAGCGTGAGATCGAGGTGTTGCGCAAGGAACGCGGTCGGCTCGAGTCCAGTCTTAGGGAGGCGTCTTGCGAGGCTCAGAATCTTCGCGAACTACAAGCTGAACTCGCTTCGATCAAGGTAAATTACAATTACATTCACAGACGTGGAGGACGGCCCCTCTCGCGAATCGGCTGCCCTCGATCCTGCGCCTACGTCGACCTAACCTAAATCGTGTAACTCTTTGTAACTGATATATCTCTTTACCTGTTTACCTTTCTGTTTTGTTGCTCTTGTAAGATCTTGCTTTAATCCATGATAATCATAATTGTTCCGAAGTTACACCACAGAGATTTCAATGCCAGTTTGCCTCTCGTTTAGATCCCCCTCTCTTGTTTGATCTCCGCGCGTGGTCCAGACTCGATCCTCCCACCTGAATCTTCTATCCCCGATGTCGCACGTCGTGTAATATCGTCGACCTTACAAGGAAAACAAACACGGGGGAGACACCGTCGATCGAGGGCGGTTTCGAACCGCCATCGAGCGGTTGCGATCCAAGGCGAACGTGGCCAGCGTGGGTGATCCGTTTTTTTTTCTTTATTTCATTTGTAGACTATATGTATTACGAAAAGCGGACATTGCATAATGTCATAGGCTCGGTCCGTGGTACCGATTAATTTTACAATCTATTCACTTCGCCATGCTGTATCTACAATTCTTCCTTTCCTTTTTTTCATTAACGATGCTTTCGTAACCTCACTTGTCGACTCACTTAGTGGCTCATTGTCAGACAGGAAATATGTAAGAATGCATTAAAACTGCTGTAAATACGCTTTATTGTAGTNTACGCAGAGAGCATCCTGTACGATCACGTTAACTGTAACACGATAGTGATCGTCGTAGAACTAGTCCTGACTGTTATCGGCCGAGCGAACCAGTCGGGGTGGATTCTGAAATGAATTTCTTATCGACTGGGATCGCGTTTCGCGCGTCCTATCCCCGTGCACGAGGATCGAACGCGATCGAAGACTTTCTCGGATCGTGTCCGTGTCTGTGTCCCGAGACAATGTTCCCCAAACGAGCGTGATTCTATCGAGACGTGTCACAGGCGAAGCGGATCCCCTTAATCGATATCCCCCGTGGTTCGGAAATATGAATTTAAGATTGAGTGCCTAGTGAAACGGTGACGGTCGACCATGATGAAGTTCAAATCGCTGTTTCGCAGAGGACAACAGAACCAACCGGCGCAGCAACCGCAGCAGCAACCAACGCAGCCGCAGCAGCTACAACAGCAACAGGAGCAACAGCATATCCCGCTGCGCCAGGCTGCCAGCGCCTCCTCGCTCGAAGCCAAGAACGAGAATCCTACCGTGGGGAACTGGGGCTCCCTCGGTAAAGAAGGAGCCAAAGGGAACCCGAAGGGAAACTACAACTCGAAGGGACCCGCGAAGGGTTCCAGGATGCAGGAGCTTGAGCGTGAGATCGAGGTGTTGCGCAAGGAACGCGGTCGGCTCGAGTCCAGTCTTAGGGAGGCGTCTTGCGAGGCTCAGAATCTTCGCGAACTACAAGCTGAACTCGCTTCGATCAAGGTAAATTACAATTACATTCACAGACGTGGAGGACGGCCCCTCTCGCGAATCGGCTGCCCTCGATCCTGCGCCTACGTCGACCTAACCTAAATCGTGTAACTCTTTGTAACTGATATATCTCTTTACCTGTTTACCTTTCTGTTTTGTTGCTCTTGTAAGATCTTGCTTTAATCCATGATAATCATAATTGTTCCGAAGTTACACCACAGAGATTTCAATGCCAGTTTGCCTCTCGTTTAGATCCCCCTCTCTTGTTTGATCTCCGCGCGTGGTCCAGACTCGATCCTCCCACCTGAATCTTCTATCCCCGATGTCGCACGTCGTGTAATATCGTCGACCTTACAAGGAAAACAAACACGGGGGAGACACCGTCGATCGAGGGCGGTTTCGAACCGCCATCGAGCGGTTGCGATCCAAGGCGAACGTGGCCAGCGTGGGTGATCCGTTTTTTTTTCTTTATTTCATTTGTAGACTATATGTATTACGAAAAGCGGACATTGCATAATGTCATAGGCTCGGTCCGTGGTACCGATTAATTTTACAATCTATTCACTTCGCCATGCTGTATCTACAATTCTTCCTTTCCTTTTTTTCATTAACGATGCTTTCGTAACCTCACTTGTCGACTCACTTAGTGGCTCATTGTCAGACAGGAAATATGTAAGAATGCATTAAAACTGCTGTAAATACGCTTTATTGTAGTCTTCCGCTAACGAAACATTTCATAATCGCAATCGTTCGCGGAACTGTTTGAATATCATTGATTACTCGATAAAATTTCGAGGAAACTTTCTTTTCCGTTTTGATTTCTTTATCGATTTAAATTTTACGCACTCCCCAGAAAAATGTTCATAGAATCTAAAGCACATTTTTAATGTGCACAATAGTATTTTTTAAATTCTTAATATGCTGCCAATGTGCCGGTATTTTGAAGGTTAACATTGAAGTCCCGCGTGTTTAAAGTTTAGGCAGAGGGCGCGAAGTGTGGGGATGTTTACGAAGGAAGGGAAAGTTTGTGAAGCGAAACGACCGCGAACGCTATGAAAAAACGTTGTCTCTCTTCGTCCACGGTAAACGACAAGAGTCACCCTGATTTCGAAATTGTTTACGTTCGCACGACGAATCGTGAATGCTGGGTTGTCTGTTTAGCCTTTTGAATATTTAGTGAAACGGTCGTTGTAACGGTTTGCAGACCTAACCTCGATCAATGACACTTATTGCCCGCGTTTCTGGTCGGGAACGTTGAAAAATCATTCGCCTTGAATCAGCGAACGATTTCTCGGTATTGTCACGGTACACCATGCGGCTAAGCGTATCGTGTTTCCTTGTATCGCTTGGCCCGAGTAATTAGAGTCTAGTCGGCCTCCATGTTCTCTTTTACATAAGCGATTCCGCCATCGTGTTTTCTTTTTATAAATAAAACCAAGAAGAGAAACATGTTCACGTTTTCGCCAAGAAACTTTGATATATTATATTCCGATAACATTACTAACTATTTGTATACCTTCTGCTTTAAAACATAGGAGCAGCACAGCTTGGAGTTAGAACGTTTGTCAGAGGAGAACGAGACTCTTCGTGCTAGGCTCAGAGACGTTGCTCACTCTCCACTATCCGATTCGGAGAAACAACAGCTGCTCTTGGATGCATCCAGACTACACAATTCTGCACCAGCGTCCATAGCTATACCTCAAGATGAAGCTTCTACCCCTGTCACATCTATATCCCACGATAGTACTCAGTGTACCACTCCAGATTGGGACAAACATTCTTCCAGTTCTGTATCAGAAGTTTCTGTCGCATGTCTGCAGGATAGAATATTGCAAATGGAGGAGACACATTACTCGACAAACGAGGAATTGCAAGCAACGATACAAGAATTAAGCGACTTACAAGTACGGTTTACGAGCTTACAAACGTTTATGTATGTGGTTCTAAGGTGCAGATAACAATTTGTTGCTTTCTACTCGCAGGCACAGCTTACCGAGCTGCAAGCTGATAATGAAAGGTTAACAGAGGAGAAGGATGTGCTTCTGGAATCGTTGTGCAGACAAACAGAGAAGTTGGAGGATTCCCGGTCAAAGGTGGACACGTTACAGGGTCTGCTTTTGAGAGAGGAGCAGCCTCAAGAGTCTTCTAAAGGATATAACACGGAGAGGGAACAGAAGCTAGTAGATCTCTTAAAAGTACAGACACTGACAGATGACATTATGTCAACACAATTGCATACAGAAGTATACTAACTAGATTCATTGATTACAGAGCGCTCAAGAAGAACGAGAGTCGTTACTGCAGAAGCAAGAAGAGCTGACCTCGGAGCTGAAGATTCTTCGAGCCTCTGCGGAAGTCAGTGCCACGGAAACGGAGCGGCTAACAAAGTGCGTTCACCTATTAGAGTCGACCGTGGAGGTGGCAAGCAATGAGCGAAAGCAATTGGATATGGAATTGGCAGAGGCTAGGCAGGAAGGAGCGAACAGGAGCATAGAAATTAGTAGGCTAGCTACGTTACTAGAGAATGCACGCGCGAAGATCGAAGAATTAGAACAGTCCAGGCAGGTGGAAAACAAAAGCGAGGCTGATGAACTGTTGGACGCTGCGAGGAGAGAGAAAGACACTTTGGAAACGCAGGCAGCTGCGCTTCAGGAGCAGTTAGCTCGCTCTCATTGTGACCATGATCGTCTTAGAGATCAATACTCGCAACTTCAAGAGGAGTACAAAGTATGAACCTTTAAATTAGAACAAACTCTTGGATAGGGAGAACTGATTTGGGTTATATATTTTAGGTAGCGCGAAATAACGCGAAATCGGCCATCGACGACTTAGAGTACCGATTAAATCAGTTGAAAGACGAACGATTGTCCGTGAGCACCGAGTTGCAGCTTGTTAGGGATTCCCTGGCGGAATTGCAGGCGCAATGCCAGAGGCATTTAGAGGACAAACGGGAGCTGAAAGCTGCCTTGAATGAGGCACAACGAAGGGAACGCGAAGCACAGACGAGACAATACGAACTGGAGAGAGCTCTGGCCGAGGAACGGAAGCTGAGGCAAGAGGAGGTCGTCGAGTGGGAGCAATTCCAAACAGATCTGTTGATGACCGTGAGAGTCGCGAATGACTTCAAGACCGAGGCTCAGAGCGAGTTGGAGCGGGTCGTGATGGAGAACAAGGCGCAGCGGGATAAGCTCAGAGCGTTGGAGGCTCAGCTCGATAAGCTCAATAAAGGTAAGTGAAACGCATAATCAAAGCGACACTTTGTTCCCAAACGGACAGACTTTATCAACATGCTCTTAGGAAAGCGTACAGCGTATTCCAGTTTATAATTTTCTTTTTGTTCGTCGCCGACGAGCCGGAGTATTATTAATGCAATATCTGTTGTCTGTTTTTTTCCAACTTTCATTCGGATGTCAGCCAGCACTCCAGTCCCCCAATGTAAGACATATGGTAGCATGACCAGAAGTAGTCGCAAGCCTGCGAGCAATATATTGAAACGTGGTCGTACTATCGTTAAGAAGCGGCACGACTCTAAGAAATGTACATTAAATTCTAATGTGTCGAATACTACAAATGATCCGTACTCATGTCACATAGATAACTCGAAGATCGAGGAACCCGAGGACCCGATGGTTCCCGAAGTAATTAATTTGAACACGGAACCACATGATAACTCTAGATTACAGGGTTCTAAAGAGCCTGTGCAATTGGACGACAAACTCATTTCTGGCGAAGAAATCGAATTTTGTCCTGTCTTCGATCTGGGCACGGTTCTGAATAGCCCAGATGATTCGCATGTCCTACAGAATCGTACGGATGACAGTAAGAGGTCCGACGAGTTGTTGAAAAGTTCAGAAGATTATCCGAAGTCGAATATTCCTGATGTAGCTACAGCTGAGAAAAGCGCTGTTACAAAATCATCCTTACTGAAAGATATCAAAGGTATTCAGAATGTGGGAAAGGATTCCTACGGCATCAGTATCTCGAATAGCAAATTTTATGTTCCTATGAATTACGTTTTCTCCGGTATGGAGAACGCGATGGACGACTTGAAGTTTGAGGCGGACCCAGGGATGAGGAAGGTGTTGCAGGAATGTACTCGAGGTGCCAATAGTATCATAGAACAAGAATCTCCTACATTGAGTACACCTACAGAGCTAGAAACGGACAAGGAGAATTTGTCCAAAGAATTTGACACCATATCTGAAGACGAGGATTTTCTCAATAAAAAGCGCAAGGTGCTTCCAAACAAGACTGAATCCAGCAGCGAAAACAGTTCGATTGTAGATACCGTTCAAAAGAACAATGTCTCCAAGGCTAATCTGTGGAATAAAAATTATTCGAGCTCTCTGGAAAACATCGATTTCCATAGGAAATCAAAAAGCGAGGAGGAATTGTTGCTCAGTGACTATGATGATATTAAAAGAAATACCATACATTACAGGGATAAAACAGACCAAACATATTTAAGGCCACGAAGTGTACCAGCTGAGCCTTACTTACACAGGAACTCTGATCATCTGTATCTCTCTAAAACTAACACAGAAATTACTAGGAAAGAGAAAACTCTATCATATCCTATTCTATCTTCCTTGGAAAATTTGCTTAGAGCTCCTGATTCGTTGAGTTTATCGCCAACACAGAAAATATCCAATGAGTTGCAAAAGACCAAGAGCTTGAGTCTGTGCGAAGCGAACAGGTTGAAACGTATACAGTTCATGAACACGAATCTGTCTGAATCGAATGAATCGACTACGGAACAGCAGACTGTGAGTAATCAGAAAGAATCGGCGAACGTAAGTTCGAATGCCAAAGACAGTCATAACGATTCCGCGTTCACCGGCAAGGATAAATCTCTGATAGGGAGGACCTCGTCTTTAAGAGAAAAATTTGAGACGATCATTGAGGACGTGGAACTGAGACCAGGCCGGCAAATAGGTACAAAACGCGACCGTAAGTCGGCCAGTAGTGTGAAAAACGTGGTTGCTTGCATCGCAGAATTCGATCCCATATATTGTCTGTCCTGGTTTCTTATATACTCTAGCAAAAGAACACAGAATTTCACCCATCTCGTTTTCTAGACTCAATAACTCTTCTAGGTCCTACCTCTTATCACTTCACGTTGTTTCAAATCAGTTACCACCACTACCACACACATGTTCTCTAGTGTCGTCTCTTATCCTGAACATATTATATATGTATACATATATATATATATATATATATATATATATATATATATATATATATATATATATATATATATATATATATTTGCTTTATGTTTTGTCCCTCGTCGTGTACCGTGTACATTGGTAATACAAGTCTTGTGTAAATACAGAACTGGTAAACTCTACGTTGACAATCAAGGACTCGATGAGTTTTACTAGCGTTTCTTTTCTGTTTTTTTTCCTTTTTCTTTTTTTATTTCGTTTATATTTGTGCTTTCTTTTGATTACATGTAAACATAGTGCTTATTGCTTTATTTTTTGTTTTCTCCGTCGTTGGTAGTGTTGTGTGGACGATGTCAATATACTGACAATGCTTTCAGCTAATCAGAAGGTGATGCAACAGCCGCCCCAGAGGCCTGCCAGCACTCCGACCGATACACAGCAATGCGTGCTGACCAGTGTGCAACAGGAAATAGCTGCTAGACGCAAGGCGAACATTTCAAGGCAGGATTCGAGGCTGTCAGTAAAGTGTTTGATAGAGAGCATTGAGAATGCCACCAAGCAGGCTAAAGCAGGTACGTAGAATTAAAGAGTTTATTCTGAAATCTACGTCGGCTTGTAATTAATAAACATGCGTTCTCAGGACCTGGAAGTCGTAGCAGTTCTACCTCCTCCCTTAATTCCATTGGAACAAACGACATAATGACGTTGAAAGCTCCGCTCAGGGATCAACAGCAGATCAATAACTTAATCTGCACGGCAAACTCAACCAATAACAATAAAACACAAGCGGTGATAACGAGAAAGCCGTTGTCAGGTAATTTTAATTATTAACTAGACACAGCTCGATGCTCTAGCGCCTACCTAGTCATCAGACAAACATCTTGCTACATCGATGGGTTTACATTGCAATCGTGCATTTCTATGACACACAAAACACGCTCGCACGCTGTCCACGCTTGATTAAACAAAACTATACGTTTGAATACGAATCGAAAGTATTACACGATATAACAACTCAGCCACGTTTTCTTCCAATGATTCCAAACGCAGAGACTAAGTCAACACCTGTGGTGTTAAGCCCTGGTGAGCTGCTGGACTCTGCCGCTTTGAATGCCAAGGCAATCGACTTTGTGCGTCGCAACAGCGTGACAGACTTGTCGGAGCGCAAAGACCCTCTTTGTGGACTGATAAAGAACGGAGGCTCGAAACGAAACGCATTGCTCAAATGGTGTCAGAACAAAACGTTAGGCTACCGGAATATCGATATCACGAATTTCAGTAGCTCGTGGAACGATGGCCTGGCGTTGTGCGCCATCCTCCACTCTTACCTCCCACAGAAGGTACCCTACGATACATTGACGCCAGTAGAGAAAAGAAGAAACTTCTCCATTGCTTTCTCCGCCGCTGAGAGCGTTGGTATACTCACCACTTTGGTAAGTTCGATTAGCGCAGTATAGGCAGCTATATCTTCATCATACGTTGCACAGACGAGACACAGTTGTGTCGTCCACTTATGAGGCAATTTGGGAAAATTTACTGATCTTTGTATACCATATTAAACTGAGCAGGTCCANTATGTATACATATATATATATATATATATATATATATATATATATATATATATATATATATATATATATTTGCTTTATGTTTTGTCCCTCGTCGTGTACCGTGTACATTGGTAATACAAGTCTTGTGTAAATACAGAACTGGTAAACTCTACGTTGACAATCAAGGACTCGATGAGTTTTACTAGCGTTTCTTTTCTGTTTTTTTTCCTTTTTCTTTTTTTATTTCGTTTATATTTGTGCTTTCTTTTGATTACATGTAAACATAGTGCTTATTGCTTTATTTTTTGTTTTCTCCGTCGTTGGTAGTGTTGTGTGGACGATGTCAATATACTGACAATGCTTTCAGCTAATCAGAAGGTGATGCAACAGCCGCCCCAGAGGCCTGCCAGCACTCCGACCGATACACAGCAATGCGTGCTGACCAGTGTGCAACAGGAAATAGCTGCTAGACGCAAGGCGAACATTTCAAGGCAGGATTCGAGGCTGTCAGTAAAGTGTTTGATAGAGAGCATTGAGAATGCCACCAAGCAGGCTAAAGCAGGTACGTAGAATTAAAGAGTTTATTCTGAAATCTACGTCGGCTTGTAATTAATAAACATGCGTTCTCAGGACCTGGAAGTCGTAGCAGTTCTACCTCCTCCCTTAATTCCATTGGAACAAACGACATAATGACGTTGAAAGCTCCGCTCAGGGATCAACAGCAGATCAATAACTTAATCTGCACGGCAAACTCAACCAATAACAATAAAACACAAGCGGTGATAACGAGAAAGCCGTTGTCAGGTAATTTTAATTATTAACTAGACACAGCTCGATGCTCTAGCGCCTACCTAGTCATCAGACAAACATCTTGCTACATCGATGGGTTTACATTGCAATCGTGCATTTCTATGACACACAAAACACGCTCGCACGCTGTCCACGCTTGATTAAACAAAACTATACGTTTGAATACGAATCGAAAGTATTACACGATATAACAACTCAGCCACGTTTTCTTCCAATGATTCCAAACGCAGAGACTAAGTCAACACCTGTGGTGTTAAGCCCTGGTGAGCTGCTGGACTCTGCCGCTTTGAATGCCAAGGCAATCGACTTTGTGCGTCGCAACAGCGTGACAGACTTGTCGGAGCGCAAAGACCCTCTTTGTGGACTGATAAAGAACGGAGGCTCGAAACGAAACGCATTGCTCAAATGGTGTCAGAACAAAACGTTAGGCTACCGGAATATCGATATCACGAATTTCAGTAGCTCGTGGAACGATGGCCTGGCGTTGTGCGCCATCCTCCACTCTTACCTCCCACAGAAGGTACCCTACGATACATTGACGCCAGTAGAGAAAAGAAGAAACTTCTCCATTGCTTTCTCCGCCGCTGAGAGCGTTGGTATACTCACCACTTTGGTAAGTTCGATTAGCGCAGTATAGGCAGCTATATCTTCATCATACGTTGCACAGACGAGACACAGTTGTGTCGTCCACTTATGAGGCAATTTGGGAAAATTTACTGATCTTTGTATACCATATTAAACTGAGCAGGTCCAAAGCACTGTTATAGTTTCTATAACTGCCGTCATTACTTGTAGATGTCGCCACTATTCCTTGTCTGTGCCGTTGCTGTTCCCCCATGGTGAATACTCTAGAATCCATTAATGAAAACCTGTTCTTTTCTATAGAACATAGGTGAAATGTGTCAATTGGAGCGACCTGACTGGCAACAAGTCATGACGTACGTGACCAGTATTTACAAACACTTTGAAACGTAATGTGTTAATGGTGTGTGGTCGGTGTTCCGTGTCACCGAGGCGGGTCCTCCTCTCCATTCAAATGAGAACAAGATCATCTAGTCAACCAAAAAGCAGAAGTAAAAATTTTCTATAGGTCAAAATTTCGCGAAGACTATTTTTGTGGATCTTTCCAAGGATCGCAGGATCAGCACTGCCTACATCCCGATTGCCGTTAAATAGCGATTGCGAGCGATTCGAAGCAGAGAGTACTCGTTTGAAGACTAAACACCAAATGGAATTGCTTTTCATTCTTTTATTATGAGACTGAGCATTTATATACATACGCATACATATATACATACATACATACATACATATATACATGTATATATGTATATATATATATATACTATATTCGCTGCACAGTATACTTGTAGTATAGACAGTACTACGATATCAGTGTACTGTATAGCGAGAACGAGGACAAAGAATTAGAGGCAGGGATTTTGTAGAAACCGTCGATTTGTCGGAGCAAAGAGGAAACAGATGAGAATTATAAGCTTTACCGATGTCTTCTGCGCGTGAAAATGCATGCTTCAGTGCCTCCTTGGCAGAGCCAACAATATTATTACATACTACTGTTGTGTGCAAAAGAATTTTTCTACGCCACCTGGTCTTTTGCATGCTTTCTAACGAAAAAGAAAAAACAAAAGCTAACGAGTGTGTCGAGTATTTCCGTTCCTCGTACCGTGAGTATTTTTGTACTTGTATTATTTTTCGAGAAACTTTTTTGTAAAGTTTACAAAACCAATGTACAGAACGAAGCGCCTTAATTTAAAAAAGCGACCTAATTTATTATATTAGTCAGGTTTAGTAGACTACGAGAAGAAGCCGGAGCAGCAAATTTTATTAGCATCGTTTATGTTTCTATACTCATTTTCGAGATATAGTAAGGAACGAACGAACGAAGATTAAGTTCTCTGTGATATAGCGAAGAAATAGCCCCAAAACAGAGATAAAAGAAACTTTATCGTTATTGCTCTTATTATTACTATTACGATTATTATTATAATTATTACTACTACTATTAATATCATCCTCATCGTCATTGTTGTACCATTGTAGACAATATGCTGTCTGACATAAAACAATAAACTTGCCTAATACTATCTAAAAATCCGCAAACAATTTAACTTTCAAAGGAACAGAATTTTATTTTACGAATAACCAGATAGAAGTAAGAAATAGTTTTAATGTTTCTCAAGGTATATTTACACAGTATTTACAATTATGAACTTAATATTATATCTCATGCTTTACTTCTCTACCTTAGTGTTCTAGGGCAACGTCATTTACGTCAATTACATTAGGTAGTTAATTCATTTCTTTATCACGATTCGCTCACGTCCATTTTATCCTGATCTTTCTCTCCTGAATAATACTCATTGGCTGGTTCAACCATCTTGTCAGTGTCCTGTGTATTCTGTCTAGAGTCCGGATCAGGCTCTGGCTGCCTCTCCTCTTCAGGTGGTAGAGCATCACAGGGGACATCCTGCATTTGAACGCTGGGAGAATGTTGTATCATTTTTAGATTATCATACACATGTCTCGTGATTGCTTCCAGGTATTGTTTACTGTTGGCGTTATCCTGTCTAGTGACAACATCGGGATGCAGGGTGAAATCAGGTGCAAAGTATTCTAAATACTCTGTGTAAGGCAACTCGTTGCTTATTTGTTCATCGACTAATAAAGAGGTCTCATACGTCCAACAACGTGCAACATTGCGCAGGGTATACCCACCCCCACCTACAGTGAGCAGAGGAACGTTCAAGTCTCTGACAAATTTCACACACTCCCCATGTCCTTTCGTACTTAAACTGAAGCAGCCAAGACGATCGTTTGCGAGGGAGTCTGCACCACATTGGAGCACAATTGCTGTAGGCTGAAAGAACTCCATTACATGAGATATCACAGGCTTGAACACCTGTACATAAGAGGTGTCATCGATTCCCTCCTTCAGTGGTACATTCACAGAGTAATATCTTCCACTTTCTGCACCGATTTCATACATGTCTCCAGTTCCAGGAAAGAAATAGTTTCCATACTTGTGGAATGATACAGTCATTACCCTGTCTGTGAGGTAGAATGCCTCCTGGACTCCATCACCATGATGAACGTCTATATCTATGTAAAGAACTCTTGCATGATATTTCAACAACTCCAAGATTGCTATCACAATGTCATTGATATAACAGAAACCGGATGCTTCAAACTTCTTTGCATGGTGTAATCCTCCACTCCAGTTGATGGCTATGTCACAGCAGTTGTTGTTCAGCTTCGTAGCCCCTTCTAAGGATGCTCCCGTGTACATGGAGCAGAAGTCAAACAGTCCTTCGAAGACAGGACAGTCATCTCCTACATTGAAGTGGCTAAGGTACTTCGTGTATCCTTGCAAATTCTGTGGTGTCACTCTTTGTAGAAACTCTACATACTCGTCAGAATGGAAACGACACATGTCATGAGTGCTGGCTCTATAGGGACGGTATATCTGCATCTTTTTATGCAAGCCATAATTAAGTACGAGACTGTGGATCACAGAAAGTCTATGAGGCTTCATTGGATGACCAGGGCCATAATGAAAGTTCCCAACGTCAGGATTATAAAAGTACGATACCTTTTTGTTGTAACTCATATTTGAGGTTACCGTAATCAAGTCAGGATATGTAAGAAATATAACGAATAAAAAGGATATCTTCGTCGTCAAGATATTTGCAGTGTCATCATAGAAGGCAGCTAATTCGAAGTTACGATTTTCCTCTTGATTTTTATTTAAAAAATTTTAGTTTACCGAAGATAGAAGTTATATCGTCCATATATTTTTCTTCTGATAGGTATTTGCCTTGCATGAAATTAAATGCGTTAAACTTCGCCTGGAATTCTTATCGGACAACAAGTTCACGATAACAACAATAAATTTTGTTCAGCAAGGATAACCAATATATACCTATTTTTTGACAGTTTTTAAACGCCATCTAGAAGGATGCTTCCGAAATAATTGATGCTCAGGAATTACGAACCACTTGCCTGGACATCAACTGTATTTTTTCAAGAAATATAAAACGATTTTAGTTAAACTTGCTCCATAGTAGTACAAATCGCTAAAATAATTTAATTAATATTTATAAAAAATCTTTTAAATATATATGAATAAAAATAATACCAGATCTTCGCTTTGGTGTAAAGTAGTTCTCATTACGTCAAAAATTTTAAAGGGTCCAGCGGTTGAGGAACGCTATTTGAAACATTAACTCGATTTACAATGAAATATTATCATCGAGTATAAAGATCTTTTTCAGATTTGAATGCAGTTAATAAATTGAGCAATCTGCGATCGTTTTCATAAAACATTTGTACATAAGTGGAAGTTGCGGTAAATTGATCAACTGTAACGCGGCCATTCTTATTTTCTGGACACTGGCGGTGACGGTTGGCAACGGGCAACCACGCTCATGTAACTGCTTGCAACGTACTCCGAGGGATGAACGCAATTTCGCTCGGTGTTCACTTTATTTATTTGCAATTCACAGTACAATTCTAATATAAGTCGAAGGCGTCCAAAGCATTCTAATCGATCTAGAGAAGAAGAGGAAAAGAATTGAAAACCATGAGACCGGATTCGCGAAGTGTTTCGTTCACGTTTCACCGGGAGGTGCTGAGCGTAAAAAATTCGCCAGAGATCACTAAGAACTCGAAGAATTTGAGGCGTCGGCTTCAGGATCGCTTTGAGAAGGATAAGTCCAGCGATTCGTGCAAGGAAAAGACGCCGAAAGACAAACAATCGAGTGACCGAGGCTGGAACAACTTGTCGCTCGGAAATATGTCAGCGGATTCTCGAAGGGCACTGCGGAGCGGAGCCGAGAAATTATCCAAGACGATATCTTCTGTACGCACAACCTTTGGAACTATTTCGCAGGTCTAACTAAATCAAATTTTAAACAATTCTATAGTTGCACAATGTCCTATTAAATCGTGACCACTATATTTTTAACAACTTGTTCCTGTTTTAGAAATTCAAAAGCTCAACACGCAGACGCCAAAGATTGGAAGAACAACAATCACCGAATAGTATGTGCAAAATACAAACACCTCAGACACGCACTCGTCAACTGTTGGGTAGAACCCCGACAAAGCTTTACAGCCCTTTTGGCATCGAGTCCCCCAGGCATGCATGGGATAAGGAAAACAGTGAAACACCGGTGCACACATCCCCAGGATCAAACAAACATTATATACAATGCAGGCCATTCCGTTTAACAAGAAAAGGATTCTCCATGCTGAGATAAAATTTTCTCCTGGTTTTAATAAGGTTTCCATAATGATCTCTTTACTCCCTAGCAACGCATTCGGAATTGCGTGCCTTGTGCAACTTATAATTGAATTATTTATTGGATTCTCCTGAAGGTAGCAATTTGTACCTACACACAATTATCATAATGTATTATCTATGATATTAAGCTGCTTTACATGTACATGTAAATGTATAATGTATAATTTATACCATTTTATACGTATTTATATTGATAATTATTACAGATGCAATATCAAATAAACATGCAGAATAAGAATATTGATCGAGTATAAAAGCAATTAAGATTTAATATTATTATCAGTATTATCTGGATTTTTTGATTTGTTCGATCTTCAATTCTTTATTCTCTGCTCGCATGGTAATTTAAAGTATGATTAGAGTGAATATTTATTAGATTCGTGTAGTTTCTAATTAATATTTAATTTACGGATTTTATGTATTATGCAGCGATACGAAAAACGTATAAAAATAAAAATGAAGCGCATATTATGTAAAAGATTTCTGTTCGGTTAGTAATACTATAATTTAAATCTTGATAAATGTTCTGTTATAGGAGAAAATTTCAAATCCAGATAAACATGGCGCCAAAGAGAAGATACGTTCCTGCATGAACCTAACCTATAAGAGTGATCGTTAACTGCAACCCGACTTACGCTCATGCATGTAGTACTATTTTGTTCGTTTAATTCGAGGACGACATGTGTACCTTTGCATATGTTAACTGGAAAAAAGTGAATGGATAGGAAACGTTCGGTTTTTATTATTTATCGTTCATTTGTTATATTGCAAAACATCAAGTGGCAGATGTACGTTGTACTTTCGATTTACCGCACAACAACTGAAGTGCAATGAGTTCTCGCGGTTCATTTTTCTTACATTCTTGTATCCGTCATCGGCAAGCCACTAATTAATCTGTGGCAGATCTAAATTCACGAAAGTATCGTTATTGCATATCTACAGGCACGTGCTCGCATTATTGTCGTCTCTGTATAAAGAAAGGAAAGTCGCGACTCGCGATAAAATGCGCCACCGGCTCGAAGAAGCAGCGTCTTGAGTGCGATAGGATTAATATGCAGAAATGAAAAATAGTGGAAGCGGGAAACGCGTTGACAGTTGGTGGTATGTTTCATGAGTGAGCGGGATGAATGTTGAAGAACGAACAGTTGCGCAAGATGCCTCTGACCTAAGGACAGGGTAAGTTTCATACGTATATGTGAAAAAATTTCATTTTCGTTTCTAATATTTTGTGTAAAGATGCAATACATTAATTCTACGATTGCGTCAGGTGCGAGCATTCAAATCAAGGTTAGAACGGATCCAAACAAAGTTTGCAGAGAATTTCGTATTTTGGATTCTTGTTGTTATACCGTTCTCTATTGCGCATAACATTTTCTATCGAAACTGTCACAGTTTGGACCGCAAACTGGCCACCGGTAGCGGCTGCGTAATAGCGCAATGCAGTGTGTCGGATGGTCTATAGTCTACAGTCTATAGAATTCGAGGGAAGTTAAATTCTCGAATAAAAGGTGAACCGAAAGAATGAAAAGGGAATAATGGCTTTTCAGTCTTTCTTCTCTTGCAACCTTTTATTCATTCAATACAGACAACACACTAGAAATTGTTTTTACGTTTTACGTGTTCTACAATATTTTACGGAATTCGGAATTTGTCAACGATTGATAGAGTAACCTCGTTTTACGAAACAAAATAGAGCATAAGAAATGACGAACGAATGCATCCGTTCATGCAGGAACCAGAAAGAGGAATCATTGTTTTCCGTTTCACATGAACAATTTCTAATTTAAACTCTTATTTTCTCATGTTATGTGTGATTTTGCTCTGAGACGAATTTACAATGTTCATGATACCCTACCGTGAGATGTTGCCAAGGTACGCTTAATCATTGTATCTAAAAAAAAAAAAGAAATACTGCAGTCGCAGAAGTACGCTATTCAAGGTTACATACAATATCAACAACAAAAACATAGGGTAAAATTTTTTGTGCAAGTTTCCGTTTCCGAGAAAATCGATTTTGAAAATATATAGGGCGCGCGCTTCATTGAGCTACTCCCCTCCCTTCTCTCCCCCTACTGCATGGTTCTCTTTGTGGATCTCTATTGTGTTTACGTTTACATATAAAGTGTGCAAGGTTATCTAATGGCTGTATGAAATTTATCTTTTGAATTGAGGTCTATTTAAAAATCGCCAGTCCGGGAGACAGGGAGAATAATAGGAGAGAAATTGGCATCGACTCCTAATTGACATAAACGAGTGCCAAAAACTTAACAGATCCAGGTATCATTCCAACAAAAATTTCTATTTGAAAATACGAAACATTATTCGATAATTCTATATTTGGATGTCTGATCAGCTGGCCATGAAGTAACTAATTCAATCTGAAATTTAATTTGCCTGATTTGTAGACAATTAACACTGGAAATCTATAAATAGAATTCTCAGTGACTATGCTGTATTATAATCAATGCAGAAAATTTTGCATAAAGCTCTGCAGTGAAAGTTTACTAGTTTCAAAGGTTAAAAAATTCAAACCTGATAATGTAGTAGAGAAAATTGTTTACAGAAAATTTGTTTGAAGCTACGAGAATAGCATTACAGGATAAAAAAAACTGTGGGTCCTGAGGGACCCAGGCATCGTCGGTGCTGTGAGGGTTAAATAATGGCCGGGTCTAAAATTTAGGCGGGACGGGTCGAGTGGATGACTGCGCATGCCTGTCACACATTTCCGCGGTGAAAATACTGGGTGGTGGGGATAGTGTGTACCGCGAGAGGGTGCCGCGCGCGAGGCAGGTCAGGGCTGGGGCTCAGTACGTTTGCGTACGTCGTGTAGATCGTGCCGGCCTCGGCGCAGTTCCTCCGCGATTCTTTTCTCGCTGCGTTCTTCGGTCCCGCGTGCATCGAAACACTCCCTCATTTGGTATCAACGTAACCGTGGAGACGAACGTTCCTCGGTGATAACAATAATCGTGAGTTCTCGCGATGCAGCCGCGGCTGGCTTACATAATTGTTAGCGTACAGTGAGCGTCGCATACGCGCGTGACACACGGGACAACTGCGAGTGCTGCCCTTTTCACCGATTTTCCTTAGGCTGTGCTTCTTTGACCGTAACGCACCCTCCTGCTTCGGTGCGTAAGTCTCTCTCTCTCTCTCTCTCTCTCTCTCTCTCTCTCNTCGCGATGCAGCCGCGGCTGGCTTACATAATTGTTAGCGTACAGTGAGCGTCGCATACGCGCGTGACACACGGGACAACTGCGAGTGCTGCCCTTTTCACCGATTTTCCTTAGGCTGTGCTTCTTTGACCGTAACGCACCCTCCTGCTTCGGTGCGTAAGTCTCTCTCTCTCTCTCTCTCTCTCTCTCTCTCTCTCTGCGTGTGTGTGTATGTTTCTNCTTTTATTCATTCAATACAGACAACACACTAGAAATTGTTTTTACGTTTTACGTGTTCTACAATATTTTACGGAATTCGGAATTTGTCAACGATTGATAGAGTAACCTCGTTTTACGAAACAAAATAGAGCATAAGAAATGACGAACGAATGCATCCGTTCATGCAGGAACCAGAAAGAGGAATCATTGTTTTCCGTTTCACATGAACAATTTCTAATTTAAACTCTTATTTTCTCATGTTATGTGTGATTTTGCTCTGAGACGAATTTACAATGTTCATGATACCCTACCGTGAGATGTTGCCAAGGTACGCTTAATCATTGTATCTAAAAAAAAAAAAGAAATACTGCAGTCGCAGAAGTACGCTATTCAAGGTTACATACAATATCAACAACAAAAACATAGGGTAAAATTTTTTGTGCAAGTTTCCGTTTCCGAGAAAATCGATTTTGAAAATATATAGGGCGCGCGCTTCATTGAGCTACTCCCCTCCCTTCTCTCCCCCTACTGCATGGTTCTCTTTGTGGATCTCTATTGTGTTTACGTTTACATATAAAGTGTGCAAGGTTATCTAATGGCTGTATGAAATTTATCTTTTGAATTGAGGTCTATTTAAAAATCGCCAGTCCGGGAGACAGGGAGAATAATAGGAGAGAAATTGGCATCGACTCCTAATTGACATAAACGAGTGCCAAAAACTTAACAGATCCAGGTATCATTCCAACAAAAATTTCTATTTGAAAATACGAAACATTATTCGATAATTCTATATTTGGATGTCTGATCAGCTGGCCATGAAGTAACTAATTCAATCTGAAATTTAATTTGCCTGATTTGTAGACAATTAACACTGGAAATCTATAAATAGAATTCTCAGTGACTATGCTGTATTATAATCAATGCAGAAAATTTTGCATAAAGCTCTGCAGTGAAAGTTTACTAGTTTCAAAGGTTAAAAAATTCAAACCTGATAATGTAGTAGAGAAAATTGTTTACAGAAAATTTGTTTGAAGCTACGAGAATAGCATTACAGGATAAAAAAAACTGTGGGTCCTGAGGGACCCAGGCATCGTCGGTGCTGTGAGGGTTAAATAATGGCCGGGTCTAAAATTTAGGCGGGACGGGTCGAGTGGATGACTGCGCATGCCTGTCACACATTTCCGCGGTGAAAATACTGGGTGGTGGGGATAGTGTGTACCGCGAGAGGGTGCCGCGCGCGAGGCAGGTCAGGGCTGGGGCTCAGTACGTTTGCGTACGTCGTGTAGATCGTGCCGGCCTCGGCGCAGTTCCTCCGCGATTCTTTTCTCGCTGCGTTCTTCGGTCCCGCGTGCATCGAAACACTCCCTCATTTGGTATCAACGTAACCGTGGAGACGAACGTTCCTCGGTGATAACAATAATCGTGAGTTCTCGCGATGCAGCCGCGGCTGGCTTACATAATTGTTAGCGTACAGTGAGCGTCGCATACGCGCGTGACACACGGGACAACTGCGAGTGCTGCCCTTTTCACCGATTTTCCTTAGGCTGTGCTTCTTTGACCGTAACGCACCCTCCTGCTTGCGTAAGTCTCTCTCTCTCTCTCTCTCTCTCTCTCTCTCTCTCTGCGTGTGTGTGTATGTTTCTTTCTCTCCCTCCCTCTCTCTCCCTCACCCGCTCTGTCTCTCTTTCCCGCTGGTTCTCTCTCGATACTCTCGATGCCCCAGCTCTCTCCGTCTCTGTCTCACTCGCACACGTCCCCGTGGCCTCTTTTCCTCTCGCTCCCTCCATAGTCTGACAGCTTGGTCGATTCACGAATCCGCCGGGCCATTCGCTTTTCCCCGGGCCTCTTCAAAATAAGGCCACACGGCTACACTCCCGTTCTTCCCGACGAAAAGTGTCAATTTCTTTTTCGTTCTTCTCTCTTACCATGGAGCGAGCGTTGAAATGGTTGATCGGGAAACGAGGGAATCATCGAGGGGGTTATTAATTTCGAGACGAATCTGAGTGTGTTGTATCGCATCCCCAGTAAAAATCACGGTGCTACTCATAAACAATAAACAAACATCCATTTCGGTACGTGTGGAATTGCTCTTGAATGAAGCTTACTATCTTTGTTTTCATTTTTATTTTTTTTTTATTTTTTTATTATATACGTAAATTAAGTTGCGACGAAATGTTCGGATCATTCTGAATTCTTGTTCGTGAACTGGAGGTTCTATGTTCATTGTTTGTTTAGCGATTTCACGTTGTTGAATTTGTACGTTAACAGGTTATGATGCAGGTGTTTTAGGTTCAGATTGGACCTAAATTATTCTGTATAGAAAACTAACTGAAACAGTGTTCTTATGCAGTATTTATTCATAAGATTATTATTTGGAGGTAAATCCATTGTGCTTTGTAACCTTTGTTGAATCTTTACTATCTCTTTTGCCAATTTTGCGCTTTGTTTGATTTTTAGCCTGCTTTATTCGTGGCTGTTCGCTGGTTCTGTTTTGTCCTTACTTGCCTTTGTTTGTTTGTTTCTGACACACAGGTCTGGCATCATATACAAATATTGTATATATGCAGATTTATTTTCTATTTATTTTCAATTGCTTAAGAAAGCGAGAGTATTTGAAAAAGCACACAGACCAAGCAACGATCATGGCGTCGCACGGGGAAGACGTAGTAATGATTTTGTTTATATTTTTTGTATTTGCTGACCCCATCCATGGTTTTGCTGGGATGTATCAGTTGGAGTACGCAGCAATCACAGCGACAGAACACTCAATTGGTTGAGCCTACTCAGGATCAGAATCAACTTGCAAACCAGCAAGTCGAACAAAATTCTGCGGAGTCTTCAAACATGACGGATCAGCGAGAACAGCAGCTTCAACCTCAGCAACAACAACAACAGTTACAGCCACAGCAACAGCAAAGCAAAAACATCGACGAGCCACGGACAAATTTGATTATTAATTATCTTCCACAGTGCATGACCGAAAAAGATCTTTATAGCTTATTCGTAACGATTGGACCTGTGGAGTCCTGTCGTGTAATGAGGGACTACAAAGTAAGTAAAAACTGTAACATACTTCTACCAAAACGTATTTCCTGATAAATCATCATACTTTGTTTTTTATGTAGTCTGGCTATAGCTATGGCTTTGGATTTGTCAACTATGCGAAAGCTGAAGATGCAGCAACTGCCATAAATACCTTAAATGGTCTGCAGGTTCAGAACAAAAGGCTAAAGGTATCTTTTGCACGACCATCAGGAGAGGAGATCAAAGAGACCAATCTTTATGTTACAAATTTACCAAGGTACTCGTTCGAGATGAAAATATTAGACTATTATTAGAGTTATGTAGGTATCTAACTTTTGTTCCTTTCTTCTCAGAAATATAACTGAGAGTCAGATTGACGACATATTCAGCAAATATGGAAACATCGTACAAAAGAACATTTTAAAGGACAAACTCACCGGACTCCCAAGAGGTGTGGCATTTGTCAGGTAAAAGCACTTATGTTTAGCATGATAGTTTGTTAAAAATCATTATACTAATAGAAGAAATATGTTAATGCCTTCTGGCAATGTACCATTGTTGTCATAATTGGTAATATGATGCAAAGACAGCAACGTATGAGAGAGTCATTAAATGTGTTTGTTGATCGGCGCCTAAGTCTCTAGAAAATTAGAACGCTCCTCAGGGTGATGAAGCAGTTGTTCCCAGTGGTAGAGAAATTGCTTTGTCATTATGCAATGATTTCGCGTCGTGTATATAATGTCATACGCGTATTTATTTCCCCGCGTGTATATCTTTGCTGCCAAATTATTTTTACACGTGTCTCTTGCCGGATTTCCACTTGCATAATTTTCGATTTTGCCCTACTCGACGACCCACCAACCTACTTAGATCACCTTAAAGCACAGATTGTGCGTTACGCACACCGGTTTGTTGTAGGAAATAGTATGAAAACTGTGTCAGCTGGCTGGAAATAGATGCGAATCTAGTTTGACAATTTCTATTAATTTTGGCAGATTTTAGGGATCCGTAACGAGACCACTTTTATAGCATGCTCTAGATCACTCTTGATAAATCTTGTATTAGATCTCAGAGAGCTGGCAGAAGATCGGTTATACCGTCATATCTCTGCCAACGGACCTCTTTACGAGTATCATGTTTTCTTCGATTCTCTCTTATGTCTGTTTCTTCTTGTAGATTTGATAAAAGAGAAGAGGCGCAAGAAGCGATCGCAAGACTACATGGCACGATACCAGAGGGTGGATCGGAGCCGCTCAGCGTAAAAATCGCGGAGGAACATGGCAAACAAAAGGCGGCATATTATGCAGGGTGGCAAGCCGGATATAATCAGAGTCGAGGTAAGTGGACTATAGTCTTCCACAGACCATTAGCCTTGCCCGTACCTCTTTATTCTACAACCTGACATTAAAAATTCTCACAATTAAAAACAACAGCTGTGTAATAACCCCTTATCTATTTTTTCTATTGCAAGGTCTTTATCTAAACATGGAAAGAAGTACGAGATAGATTTTTACTGTCAGGTGATACTTGCATTTTGGCTTCTTTTCTAAATCTTAACGGAATCGCAGTAAATCAGTGCGTTCGTTTCATTATTGCCATTGTTGGAATCGTAGAAGCACCAATATTTAAGGAATCTTTTGATCAATAGAGCGCATCCTATCTCTCTCTCTCTCTCTCTTTCTCTTTCTCTCTTTCTCTCCTCTTTAGTTCTCATAATTTTTAACTCTTGTCGTGTTAATCATTATTCTTTTCTCATGGTGACACATGTGCAAGTGAAACGTAATAGTGATATCATTTAAAGAAATTCTGTAACGTAGTTGCAAGGTGTACACGTGCACATTTTAAATAATTATGCTGTTTCTGGTGCGCGCCGTTAACGATGTAATCGATCTTTACGATGGGAGAGATCTAGCGCATTGTTGACGGTGCGTAGAAGATTTGAGAACATTGTCTAACATTTGAATTATTTGCCAGATATGGCTGCATCTAAATCAAAGTACAGCGAAGATTGAAAATGCTGTTTGCGTTCTAATGCGCGCAACGTTATACAGTAATGTTCTGCGAATATTGTGGAGAACACGTTTCTTTTCGCTACTGTTTGTTTCCTCCCTCCCAACCTCCTGTGTTTTCTGTTTTGTTGACAAGTTTTCTCCAAGTTGTGCGCATGAGATTGAGATTACATCACATGTGTGACGGAAGATTTTTTGGCAGTGAAATTCAGCCAAAGTTCCTTCGCAGAAGGACACCGAACGAAAGCAAACGTGTAGTGCTATTGTGATAGAAATATGTGTTGTTTTGTGTGCAATGATACTTTTAACGGACAAGCAGACAACCAAACGAAAAAAATGATATGTTATTATCCTGTGCTAGTCAGTGGCAGCTTGTGTTGAAAAGAAAAACAGAAAAAAGACGAAAAAAAAGAGACACTTTTGGCTAAGATGTATTTTGCACACACAAGGCTGGTTTAGAATATTTGTGTTTGAACATTGCCTGGATCAGTGAACTTGCAACTCTGTTGTTCTAGTTGCCGCCACTGCTATTATATTGATTTTGCCTAATCGTTTCTCGACTTTGTTCAAGCTACACTGGAACATCATTCTAGATCTCTTTTTCTGTGTCAGCAATTATGTATACTTACTTATATCTCATATTTGTATGTATTTTTTCTTTTTTTTTTTCGGTAAGGTACCTCATAACGTACTACATATGTGTTTCGTTACATATCATTTAAGAACACTTTGGAAATACATTTTCTGTTAAGAGAAGAAACTGTTAAATCGCTCGTTTTCATCATCCTCTAAAATTCTAAATGAATGTAAAACACTTAGGGGTTTCTTTATTTATTTATGTGTTTTTCTCTCTCGTCTAATTGTAATTGAATTACGACTGATTAACGCCTGTAGTGTTTTATGTTTTAAGAAAATCGTATCTTCTCTTTATGTGCTCTCAGTAGGATTCTGTGTAACACAACATTTTGCGAATTGTTTATTATGTACTTATATTACATGCATATGTATAGAAACGTATAGCTATTTATACCTTTCCATACATGTGTATATATTGCTAAAAGTAATCAGCAGATCACCTGCTGAAACGGTTTCATCTTCATCGAACATGTATAGAAAGATGTATTTAAATTGTGATCTTCTGATTGGTTTCAGCAATACATAGAACCCGCAGTTTGCCTGACACACCAACTTGTTGTATGCCTGCGAATAATTACTCTTTAGCGAGCGTCGTTGCTAATCCGTGGTTAGCTCTGGACAGATTGCATTTGCAGAAACGTGTGGCTTTAATGGAAAATTTGTTCCATGCATGGCTGTGTCCAGTATCAAGCAATTATTGCTACAGCGATGGACTAAACTGTTTGGACGTGTCGCCTAGTCGAATAGCGACCATACTCGAGGCTTCCTGCAAACTCGATTAAATCAAAGACTGCAATAAAATAGGTAGAGGAAGGACCGAACAATTTTGTCCATTACTGTGCATACATACTCTTCAATGTTTCGAATAATTCTTTAACATGCCATTTTCATTTCTATGCTCGCCAATCCACGAAGGAGAACGTCTGTATACGACCAGGATTAAATACCAACGTTATGTGCATTATCTTTATTAAAAAGAGAGAAAAATGCTTTCTAGTTCGGTTGTATCGTACGTTGTTAATCTTGCACTTATGATTACGAGTCTCCCACTGGGGTAACAATGAATATTGGCATGATTCAAGTGCGCTTAACACCAGCCACCGTTGTTTACCATTGTAACTCGATGAAATACTCAACGATATTAGAAAGGTGATAATTTCATTTCGCGAACGGAGGCATTCATGTTCGTTCGTTATGTTTTGTATGATAAGACGAAGCAGTGTAGGCGTACGACGTCAACCGGAAGTGTGTCCTCCGGGAGCGTTCGTCGAATCGCGATAAATCGTACGGGTTCCTAAGGCTTGAATTTCATTTCACGATTCGCCGGATGATATATAAAGAGAGTACAGTATTCCTGTTTGTAATTCGAGATTAACGACACAATTTGCTCAAACGATTGTAACCGAAACAAACCGAGAAAGAGAGGCCAGTCTGTGTGTGGTTGAACGCGTAGACCCGAAAGCAGAGAAACACCAACTAAATCTATTCTATAAAACGAAAAGATTTTGAAGCTCAACGTTCTCGTTTCGTCTGTTCAGTTTCTCTTTGTTCGCTGTACGTGGTCCATGCGTTGAACCCTCTCTGTGCAATGAGAAAAACCCTCGGACGTGTTCAGAGACTGATCCTGTGGACACACGAGGCAGTCTGTTTTTAGGAATAGACTAAGATGTTCCCCAGTTTTGACAGTGATTTTAAGTAGTCGAAACGTTGCACAATTTTTACGATCGTCGACGCGACAGTCAAAAGTTCGTCATGATGTGTCCGTCGAAAATGGACGCGTACGTAGTTAGCGAAACTATTCAAAAAATGAAAGAGAGAGAGAGAGAGAGAGAGAAAGAGTTCTGTTGACGTACAAGCTTCGCGCGTCAGCTTCGAGTCGAATCGAATCGAAATCAAAAAGAAAAATCCTGATCGACCGGCTAAGCGAACAGTGGCGATTCTTCTTAGAGAGATGTTAAACACGATCTCCGCTGTTACTAAAACTTTCGTCCTTTTGATCCTAATATATTACATATAGATAAAAAAAAGATCGGTCGAAACGTTTCCGCAGGAGAGATTATAGGTCCTGATTAGATAGAGAAATGATCGTATCTCCCACGAACAGACCCTGACAATCGTTCCTTTTTTTTTATCGAATTTTCGCGACTATTGCGCGTATATTTATCTCTCGTATAAAATGTAGATCATATTATGATTCCATTCGGACGTTGCGACGTAGGAGGCACGACTTGTCATCGAGACCTCACTCGATTACCGATAATAGACAGCGTTTCAGATACGCTTAATCGAGAACGGGTATGTACAACTCTTATGGGTTCGTTCCGAATTGCATTTCTCATCGGTAGTTGCATTTTAAGAATGGATATTACCGATGTTACCTGCATTCTTGTCACCCGGGACAACCACCGTCCAGCAATAAGCGGCACGAATTCGAACACAGTGTAATTACGAAAGCAATACTAACGAAACTAAAAGTGTTATACTAACGAGACCACTGTGGCCGAGCGATTAGAGTCCTCGACCGCTCACTAGAAACGGTTGTTGTTCGAATCCTCCTGGAGGGTGTGTGAAAATCATTTTCATTAAAATTTGCCATTTTTCTTACGATACGTTCGCTTGTATATTTAATTCAACCTACGTATGATAATATATTATCTAAACAAATATAAAACTAACGAAGTAATTGGTTGTGCATCCCCGGTCGAAAAGTATCGATATCTAATTATATTGGTTGAAATCTCTTAGGAATTTAATATTGCGAATGCGCCGGTATTTGAACTGTGTTTCACCTAAAAGGGAATACTCTCTCAATAAGAAAATTTGCGCGATTGCTGTGAATTTCTTTCTATATCCTTCACACACGCGCGCGCGCGCGCACCACACACACACACACATATACACATACATACGCGCACACACACGTGTCAAGGAAGGCGAATCATCTTCATTCAAAAAAGAATAACACGAAAGCGTGTGTTTATATGGAAGGGATATAAAGAAATGATAAAGAAAGGCGAGGCTGGATATTTAAAAAATGATTATTGAATACTTGAGAAATTTAATTAGCAGTTAAGTTAGAACACGGTCTTAATGAGTAAGGTTTTTCGAACATATTTCTTCAGAATATAATTATTATATTCATGCTGCGGAAACGAACTCGCATCGTTTTTCCCATATACATAGAAAGAATTATTATTAAAAAAATAGAATATTACAAATGTGCATTTACCTATATCAGTATTTCCTGAAAATTGCACAACTCACTTGGGGAAAGCCTGAAACTGAAGTGAGAGAGGATACTTTTAACGAACTTGTGTTAACTCTTGATTGTTTCTGGAGGAACGACGCGAGACGTTGTAACGACGTCGAGAAGACACGCATTGTAAATACGCCCGAAGAGTTCTCTAATTTTAAAAACGTGTTAAGTAGTAAAACTAAAGGAAAACCGTGAAGTTTTTAAAAAACGGATCGTTGCGAAATGGTTAATTCTGAAGTCCAGTAGTGCTAACGATGGCTGTGATACGGATAAGGAAAAATAAAATGCAAAAATCGTCAAACGAGAGAAAGAAAGGGAAAACCGACAAAAAAAGCAAAAAAAGAATCAACGAGAAAAATCGTGTGAATTCTGAGAGTTCGCGCATCATACGGATATTTGTGAGAAAAGACAAAAAAAAGAGAAAAATAAAAACTTGCGGCGCTCTCTCTTCCTCGCTCTCTTCCTGCTTCTCTCCCCCTCTCTCGCTCTGTTTCTCTCGATCGAAAAGTAGCATTATCGACAGACCTCGAACATGTAAAGTGTCGTACACACCGTGTTCCTTCCGTGGTTGCCTCGCGACAACCATAATCGATGAGAGCGACGAAATTGAGAGGCATCGAAAATACCTGCGACATTCCCAATAATAACACTCATCGTGCTTTCCTTCTTCTCCTCGAGGAAGATGTCGCTAATTAGCTCGTTCAGAGAAGGAAGAACGAGCCACGTTTTAATTTTTAATTCGAATCTGAATGTAGTGCGAGGCGGAAGCCGTGGTGTCTCCACTTCTGGGTCATCGAGTACTCTGGATGACCATAAATGAAAGATTCTAATTGCTTTCGACCTCAACTATGGACTGACGAACATTCCATAGATCTATTCGAAGTTTCAGTAGAATTGATCTAACTTCAGATAAACTTCCACGCCTCCGGAATCGTCCAGATTTCTGGATGACCATTCCACAGCTTCCAGTAGCTTCGTCTAGTTATAAATGACTTACGAACACGATACATAATACACACGCATACATACACACAGCCAAGAACCGCTATTTACATCGATATTAGAAGACTATGATAGCTAGAGTGAACGGCAAAAACGCGTAAAACTTGTTGTGCGTATATATACATTTATTAAATGTGTTGTACATCCGAGCGCGAACCACCCGATTCGCTGTACCTTTTGTACTAAAACAACTACAATATAAACGCCATCATCTTCTTGCCAACAAAAACCCTCGGAGCTTCCAACGAAATCTCAGCAAAAGCCCTAAGTCTCCTCCGGTTGCACAACGAAGAACCCGAAAACCAGAAAAAAAAACCCTGAAGAATGTTTGAGTACACGTCTCGAGAGACCTCGACATCACCGTCCGAAGAATCATCAGGACAAATCGCGCCAGTCCGAGAAAGAGAGAGAGAGAATTAACACCGGCGTGCACTATTCAACACTCGTTCTTTCAGTCCTTCTACCACATAAGTATCTTATACCTTTCTTATCCTCGTTGCTACGGGTCCGCGTGATGCTGTAGTCGCTCGTTAAATTTGATTAAAACACTAGAAACTGAAACAATCAGCCTATTTCCATTTTATTCAACACCTTCTCTCTGATGCCCCACGCACCCCTATCGAAAATCGATCCTCTACAGGGAGTGACTAGTTGACAAATTATTGGAGGATCCTTTCACTAATTATTTGGGAATTTTTCAGGTTCTGGTGGCGGCATCGGCGGGGGTGGAGGAGGAGGAGGAGGAGGAGGACGCGGCAGAGGCATCAGTGGCCCGCCCGGAATTGGCGGGATGGGCGTAGGTGGTGCCGGGCCTGGCATGCTAGGTAGAGCAGGGGGGTTCGGACCCCGTGGCGGTCCTCACGGCGGTTTCATCGGTGGCAGCGGTGGTCCCGGCGCCATGAGAATGGAGAAGATCCACCCTCACCGTTTCAATCCTATCGGCATGGGGGGCGGCTACGTTCAATCCCACTTCTGGTGACCTAGCAGCGAGAAGCCGGCGACAAAGACACCATCGGCCACGTACCTTTCTCCGTTGCAGCGGAGGCAAACTGCAGCGACGGATGTCGTTCGTAATCGTTGATCCAGGGATCACAGCAACCCGTTGTTCAGGCGTGGGCAACCATCAGGGTTCTAGATTTGCTAGGAGAAATAGACAGAGACGTGGTCTCCTTGCCCCGCGAGGCAATCGATCGTCCATGTCTGGTCCGAGGGGTCCAGTTGCCTCCGAGAAGGAGGGCTGAGTTAGAACCGTTCGGAACGGTTTGCCCACCGCGTCTAGCCAATTTCAAACGACCGGGAACTGACTGACCACCACGTGTATAAATTATTCTGCGCGTATTAGTATTTAATATGTTTCTACGTGCCTGTACCAAAGCTCGCAACACCTAGTATTGTACGTCCAACGATGGGCAGATTCCCTCCCTAGAGCGTAGAGCGCTTCGAACGTTGTCCAAGCTAGCTGAAGGAGTCAGACTCCTGGACTTGCAATTCCTCTGAAAATAGCGCTGAAGGTCTTGAAACTGTTAGGAGATAATAGCCGTGCGATAATGTTCACCTTTAGATTTTAACCATCGTCTTTGTAAGTTATTGTACTCTTCTGTCTCTTTCTCTCTCTCTCTCTCTTTCTCTCTTTTTCTGTCATTTAGTCACCTCTGCTCTCACGTTAATGTAACCCTAAGGTAGTTCAAGGCTTTCAGCGTGCGATTAATACGTTGAACCGAGTTCTTGAGGTTCGCAGTGCGTTTCGAGCCCACCATTGTGTACCAGGCAGGGGGCAACAAGCTTTCTGCTCCGGATTGCTCCCGGAACGAGGATGGTGGATCCCTAAGGGCAATCCGGACCCCTGCCTGCTGTTTATAACGCGCGTCGCTTCTTATATCATTAACGAGCTCGATTCTCTTTCGTTGTAGCTTTAATACCGTGCCGTTCGACTAGGCTCGTTAATGGCCGAGACCGGGTTACACGTGATCCGTAATCAAATTTTAGTCACAGACAAATGTTTATTCTAGAATATAAAATCTCGTTCGTTGTTTTATTTATCTAGATAATTTGATTGAATTTATTCGTGAGTAGAACTCTTTCGTTATTGTAAATGAAAATAATCTAAAACCAGATTGCAGCATCTATGAAGCAACTTCATATTGTCGGAATTTATTTAAATCTGGAATGGTTGAATGCTGATTAAAAAGGCAGTCGCTACACTGCCATATAACTGAAAGAAAAGCGAACGTGAATAAATGTATATAATTTTTGTATTTTAGACACTCGTTATAGGGTTTCAAAATGACCCGGAATCTGCGGATAGAAAAGGTTCAGGTGGAGCTATATAGATGGAATTTACTCTGCGAGAGAAACGGTGTCTTTATCTCCTGAATCAAGCGATCAACTTTTTGTAACATACCGAGGAGAAATCTATAACATGAAATATTTATTGACCCTCGGACGGTGCCTGGGTCTGTTTAGACTCGCCCAATTTCTCAGCTTCGGCGTATAACTCGTCGATTATTTATAATAGATTTAATAAACAAAGTGTATCATCCGAGGGTTTAAACGAAGATAAAATGAGACCCTTTGCAAATTGGTGGAGTAGTAGATGTGTGTTTTCACGTCAGAATCTGAAGAGTTCTACACGTTGTTGTACATTTCCTTTTTAATGGTTCTAACTTGAAAATTTATCGAATGTTTAACGTTAAGAAAAAGGATGTATGTGTGCGCGTATGTACGTGTGAATGTCAGTGTATAAAAAAAAGAGAGAAAAAGAATTTTATCGGAGTCAGCGTTCACGGAGAGATCGTGTTTTCCATACCATCATCGGGCACCGATGGTGTTAGGGAAAGAAAGAAAATAGACAGCAAAACGGGAAATCACAAACTGATATGTAATTGCGAGTTTTAATTTGCGCGTGGTTCGGGAACCGTTCATTTCAGATGATTATTCGCGTGTACTTAAAACAGAATTGCACACTCGGTGCAGGTGACGATGCGCTAATACAGCGAACCCACAAGGCTGTGAACAAAAAGAAAATGGCGCTCTCTCTCTCTCTCTCTCTCTCTCTCTAATTAGAATTCATTTTCCACTTAGAGTAATTTTAAATTTATTTAATGCTACCTACCAGCGATGTCTTCTTCAAGGAATCTTTCTCAAATTAAAAATTAACAACGAAGAGCTTATAATTTCTTTTAGTTTGAAGAAAATTGTTAAGCTTCTTCTAGATGTAGCCATTAAGAAACCGAGTAGGTTTTTGATAAACGAAGTGTTAAAATTGTGAAAACTGTCCTGGGTTTGCTGTATCGTTGTAGCTTCAATGTTCAGCTAAAACCTGAAATGTTTGTAGAAGAGCTGTGTATTGCGTCCAGGAACGTATGCGAATAATTCTATAGTTGTAAATTCGAAGACAAGTTGGTAGTTCAGGATTCAAGTATTTTTATTGCGTTTTAGCTGAGTTTGGACGATGATCGTCACCGCATAGTGTGCGAGGATCATGCGTACCGTCGGGGTCCGGGACACGGCGAAGAATTATTGTACATAGATTGCAAGCGGGAACACGCTGTCGTCGCGTCTAGGTACGTCTAAGGATGAAAAAATGAGACTGACTTTTTATAGTGGATAAAATTTGTCACGCGAGCTCCGTGTTTCTTCATTTTCTGAGTCGTATTTATGGTACTTTTTTAAGCAGAAACAAGAATATCGAAATTGCCTTATTATATTAAAGACACATGCGTATATATATTTATGGGGTGCTGTCGCGTAACTGGAAATCCCGCCGTTACAGCATAAGCAATTTTCTGTAAACAAGTACTAGGCCACTTATGACTAAAACTATTTAATTCAAAGAATAACATTTCAATTAAAATATCTGCTGAATAAATGACTTAGCTATAAGTGACTGGTTCCTTTTTATAGAGAATTAAACCACTGCTATGCAGTAATTGCAATGGTCCCAGTTGCATACTGCACCCTGTACGAAAATATAAATAATTCGTGATAAGCTGCAAGCTTCGAACTTACCCTTTATTAATTGAGAATAATCGTTAGCTTGACAGACGTGAAAACAAAGAAACACAGGCGTTTCCGATCCCTTCGACAGACGGATCTAGGAAATGAAACGAAGTAGAAAAATGAAAACCGCGATGAAATTGTGATGACAAAAGATATAAGTCGCGAGCACGCGCCGTAATTTACTAATAAATTCTTTCGTTCCGTTTGACGTTTCTTTTCCCTTGTTCGTTTGACGCAACATCGTTTGCACGGTCACACGCTACCGACAGATAATTATAGTTCGTAAGACTCTTAATTGTTTAAGACGAAATAAATATCTGCAAACCGAGCCGCGTTTTGCTTTTGTTGAGGGCATCGTATTCCAACACATTCGCCGTCTTCCGTATCGTATTAACGCAACAATATTTTAAACAGTAATGCGTAAAGATTGCGTTAGAGACAGCTGGGAGAACGTTAATCGGACAGCGAGCGTGTTAGAGAGACAATACGATGCGAGAATGCGAGAAAAGAAGACACAGAGGAGTTTTGCGTGAACGATTTATTCCAGCAGCACGATGCACCCTCTCCCCGTCTATACAAACAGTCTCTCTTTCACAACCGATACACATGTACAAACTCACGCATACGCCTGCACGCAACCGTACGTAATAGTAAACGATGTAGTGAACTAGCGATGCACTGCCGCTGCATTCTACCGAGCACGATGTTGCCCTTCAGAGGGCAGCTTGCATTTAAAAGAAAGCAAAGTTGCCCGATGATGAGCCGCAACGTGCCCCGAATAAAAATCCTTCCTGATCGCAGACAGCACAGAGTCTCTGGAACTATGGTTGGTTGGTTGGTTGGTACACACTCTTCTAATCTCTTCCACGCACTCTTCTTCTCTACGTTTTCCCTTCTTCAGGAACGTGGACCGTTTGCGATGAGGCACACCGAACGTTTGAAGTTCCTTGAGCCTTGTTCAGAAACTTTATAACTGGCTCCGCATCTCCACCCACAGGAAACTCTGCGGTGTAGAGATTAGCCGGGGAACTCGCAAAGAGGAAACAGGAAGGGGCGGATAGCTGGTGCACCAACCGAGATATTACCTTGCCAGATTTGGCTTTAGCTGTGGCCCACCGTCCTTCAAGTGATCGTTTTCCTCGGCATGCATTTGCCCCTAGAATACAAACGTTTGAATCGATTGCGCGAAGTCTGACCGCTAGCGTAAAATTCATTTTAGAAACATGGTAATATTTTCTAGACAATTCTCAATCCCCTTTATGGTTTTTAATACTGGTTATCGCTATCGATCACTAATATAGGGTCCTTCTGGTACGTTAGCGGCCACTGGCTTCAACCCTTGATGCTTTCCTTCCCCTCGCCGAGACTCGACCCCCTTGAGCGAGGAGTTCCCTTCAGAAGCGCAGCCAGCGTTTCTGACGTCAAGTGAAACGCGAACATCTGCTGCACATCAGCCGACGACAAAGATGTCCTCAGGTTTCATAGTGTTTCAGCTGTCCCAGAGGGTTGGCAGACGACGACCAAGGACCTAGGCCAGCTCGTACAAATCTGTTTTGCGCAATCTTGCCAGACTTTGGACCCCTCGCAGTCAGAAAATAATTTAGAGCCAGGAGATCCAAAGAGTAGCTTCGAAAAGTCAGAACTTATCTTTGAATAGCTCGAGAAAAATGAAGGATTTGTCAATTAATTAGAATTAATCTGTTTAGAGCAATCGTACATGATTAAATTTTAATATTATTAAATCATTAAATTATTGCATTTTGTAGGGTCAGAAGTGATTATCTTCGAGTAATTTAGCAAGGAGAATAAAGGATTCATTGGTTTTCCTCTACGATGATACGAGATTAATGGGATCCGAGTAGCATAGGCAGTCCATCGAACAATTACAGAGAACCCTCTATTATCGGCAAACAAGAGCAGATTGTGATCGCCAGCATCATCATTCGTTGCTCCGTTCACAAAGCGAACGTTGTGATAGTAGGATCCTTGAAATGGAGTCAGACACCGCCTGGTTTTCAGACTCTGATAACAGTTTACAGCTGCTTTAGGGGGCCAGCTAGATGAACCACAAGGTCGCATGTAGCTCAGAAAAAGAAGCTGAATGCCAGGAAACAAGGATTCTTAAACTGGAGTGGGAATCTCTCCCACTTAGTGTCACTGTTGTGACCCAGGATGAGTCACATGAGACTCATTTTTCTCTCAACGAAACAGCGTCGCCTGCATTGCGATTCCGGTAACTTTTCCAGTAAACCATTCGTCCCACAGATCAGTCTGTTGATTAGTAAAGTCAGACCCGTGCTTGATTCGAATAGCAGCGATCCATTTGAAGCGGATTCAAAACGAGATACAGTCGCTTAAAATCGAATCGCGTACCGGGTCTTGACCCGTCTAGGATCTTTATTCTAGCGCCATAATTAAAATGCCAAGACAGCTGCCGTATCCAGAACCGTTTTCAATGATAACCGAACTGAACACCGACTGGAATGATCATTATGCGTTTCATTAAGAAACAAATACTTTAGAGACACGCATCGAAGACAATTTCTATGAGCGTTTCCAATACTTCAATTTACTCGATGTTTGTTGAATGAAAACTGCAGCAGCATGATCCAGAAAAACTCTAGACAACAAGCTTAAAATATTGTACCGATTATAACTCTAATCTCAAATGATATCTTGTTAACAATGATCCTTTCTTTCAGGGAAGCAGATTCGATAGAAGAAGGGAGTTTGAGATGTCCGATACTAAAAGAGCTGTTTATAAGATATATGAATGCAGAACTGTGGGAGAAGAAAGATGCTTAGAATTCGGTGAAAGATCTGATACAGAAATGTTAATGAGAATGTTATCTTGTAAGGACACGAGGGTGAACATCCCCGACCGGAGGCAACGAAGGCAGGGCCAGCAACAGTTGGCTGTCGAAGATAGCGCACATCGCAGATGGATATATCCATTTCTTGCGGAGCACCCGATAGATTGGCTTACCGAACACGCATGGCCTACAGAAAGATATTTGTTTCCGCCCAGCTTGATATCAACCGGAACCCAGGAAAATTGTGCAGCTCTTTGTGCTCGATAGCTTGCTGCGTTTTCCTCTTTCGAGACACCGTTGACGTCGCTCCCGGCATATCCGGCGCAAACGTTCAGAATTCTCCGATTTGAACGAGTTAAATCGACCAATATAAAGAGAGTTTTAATTACGATACATCCGCACACTGTACATCATCGATTCTTCTATTCGATTTTGATCTTCTATCCATCGAACGCGCGCGTGAAGATACGAGCATAACACCCCGTGACACCTCCAGACGCAGAGGGCGACTGAACACTGAACTTGATTTGCGGAACAGCTCGAGAAGAAGGGAGGATTCCGAGAGAAAGAGAGGAACACGTGGTGCGATACTCCGTGAAAGAGGGGACCTTGCTAGCTCTAAACTGTGATGCGCGAGCGACCGGCAACCGATCAGTCGCTGGAGGGCTCAAAAATCCTACTTTTGGCACCTCCGACACGCCAAAAACATCGCAGTAATTATTACTGCCACGGGAACATCGTTGTCAACAGTCCTGGTACTGCCAGTGTTGCAGTACAATGGTAATTTACATAAAAATCCGCGGTTCAACGATGGGTCAGGGTCATGGGCTACAATTTATTCCTACGAAAAGAGAATTATAATATACTACAGTATTACATAATCTTTAAAATAATTTCTATTCGAAGGGTACGGGAAAATGCAGTGAACTCTTTGTCGAAGGTGTCCTAATCTACTAAACATTATACGGTTTCTCTGGTAATCGTGGAATGTGTTATCTGATCTACTAGAGGTCTAGTTGGAAAGAAAGGCGACGCGATGGAGAAAAAAGAAGGAGGCCGGCCAGATAAATTCAACGTTGCTCGAGTTGGATCGACTGGAAGGAGAAAGACGGGCGGGAGGACCGGGGGAATGGGAAAGGGTCAGAGGGCAGTGTCCCGAGGCAAGGGGCCGCAGCCAGGGCCACAGAAAAATTTGCATTTCCTGTTCGCGACGAATAATGCCGGCCGTCGTCGAATCAGCCCAGTCCGATCCTCAGAATTTCCGCCTGATATCATGGCAAACGGTTACACGCGTGCCTGACCCTACGACGAACAAGGAAACACCTTTCCATTGCTTTTTCATTCTAAAAGAACACCAAACTCTATTTGTTAATAGATTTATTCGGTATTACCAAAAACCTCTCTGAATTTTTCTCTTCTTTTGTTCGTTACGAAATTTCGGGTTCAAGAACATTGATTAATTTATTTTTATTTTCTCTGTAAAGGGAAAGATTTTGATCATTTTCTGATAAAGTTCCTCATTTCTAGGAAGCCACTGTGGTCTCTTTGTGAGCTTTTTCGTGTTTCCGAATAACTGTGGAGAATAGTTTCTCGTCAGGGGTTGGAGGGATTCAAGCGAACGATGAAGAGGAGGGAGAAGAGATGTTTATGGGAACAGCTGTTCTTCGACTGGGGTTGTTGACCATGCACACCTACTTCTACTCGGAAGCCTTTATGGGGGCTTTTCTGACCTCCAGGTATATTAACACGTGACCGACTTCCATGGGGGAAGATCTTTCTGCTTCTCGTTCCGTCCTGGCGTGTTGCACACCAATAGGCGGCCGGAATGAATTTGAATGCAGTTGATGTGCAATGTTTTTTGTATGCATTCATTCCTATCGTTTATTTTGATAAGTTGTCGACAATTGTCGCAGAATAATTTCTGTTTAGGAACGATTTTACCGTGAGTGGAGGACTGTTCCATCGTGTCGACTAAAAAAAAAAATAGTCTAACGCAAGGGGAAAGAAAGTTTCTAGAGGAAGGCTGAATGGCGTAACGGTCCGGCGGGAGAAAAACGGAGCACACACTTGTCTCCGGACAAAAAATCATGTAGAAACATCTGGAGCTTTGAAACGATCCTACGGTGGCCCACGAAAAAAAAACCGTTTGTGTAGCTTGTAGCATATACGCGTGGGAGCATGATCTTGCGTTCATCCGCAACGGTACACGCAGTGTGTATAGAAAAAAAGTTTCCAATTTATTTGTATAAATAGAACGATGTACAAAAATGTCACATAAATGAGTAAATAGTATGATAACTGGAGATTCCATGCTAATGCTATGCAATTTTAGGTATAATTCTCTTTTGGATATCGATTCGCACGAGTCTCGGCAGTCTGAATAGCGAATGACGTGAGTAATACAGTGTCGAAGTTACATCAGTACTCGATGGTGATGGTCTTCGTCTTTAAGTACTCGTTCAAAGCTTCCTGGCCAAGATCCTTGCCAAAACCGGACATCTTGAAGCCACCGAACGGCGCGGCGACGTCGGTTTTATTATACGTATTGATAAAGACCGTGCCAGCTTCGATCTTCTCGGCGAATTTTAGGGCTCTACCGATGTCCTTGGTCAAGATGCCAGACGCCAGTCCGTACTCGGTATCGTTCGCTCTTCTAATCACTTCGTCTACATTGTTGGAGCTGAATTTCGAGATCACCATCACTGGACCGAACGACTCTTCCTTGGCTATATACATGTCGTCCTTGACGTCCGTGAATATCGTCGGCTCGAGGTACCATCCTGGACGGTTTAGCCTCTTGCCGCCGTAAACCAACGTCGCTCCCTCTTCAACTCCACGTCGAACAAAGTCCAGAAGTTTGTTTAGATGGGCCTTGTGATTTTGGGGGCCGTGGCTTGTGCTCCTGTCCAGAGGATCACCCACCTTAATCTTTTTCGTCTCCTGCACTACTCTCTTCAGGAACTCGTCGTGTATGGATTGCTCCACAAACAGTCGACCTGTCATAGAAACCATAAGCATCGACACGTTACATAAAATCATCGTCGCAAACATTTACTGTTAATTACACGATTGAAACCTACCGGCAGCGATGCAATTCTCTCCCTTGTTGAAGAACACACTGTTCATCCCGACCCTGACTGCGTGCTGAATGTCGACGTCCTCGAAGATGACCAGAGGACTCTTGCCCCCGAGCTCCAGCGAGACCTTCTTCAGGTTGCTGGTCGCACAGCACTTCATGATCGTTTGTCCGACCGGCGTGGATCCGGTGAATCCGAGTTTTCTGATCAAAGGGTGTTCACAGATCGCATTCCCAGTCTCTGTACCGCTTCCTGGTACTATGTTCACAACGCCGGGAGGGAATCCAGCCTTGACGGTGAGCTCAGCGAATTTCAAGGCCGTCAGAGGTGAAGTCTGAGCTGGTTTCATTACTACAGTGTTCCCTGCTGCTAAACAGGTTGCCATTTTCCAGGAGAGCATCATCAGAGGATAGTTCCAGGGCGTAACTAGACCACAGACACCGATTGGCTCCTTGCGGGTGATGGTCAAGTTGCGATTAGGCCTGGCGTGAGTGATGGGTATCGTGGAGCCTTGGATCTTATCGCACCAGCCGGCAAAATAGCGCCAGGTCTCTATGGACATACCTATGTGAGTCTTCAGAGCTAGAGTATAGACTGCGCCAGAATCCAATGTCTCTATCGTAGCCAGCTCTTCCTTGTGCTCCTCCATCAAGTCTGCTAGTCTGATTTCAAGAATCTATTTAGTAAATTGATGAATCGAAGCGATTAGTATTTGGTCACGGACATAATAGCTTACTTGAAGAGTAGAGCTGCGCGTTCCCTGGCACTTATTTTGCTCCATTCGCCCGCCTCGAACGCTTTCTTGGCAGCCTTAACCGCTTTGTCCACGTCCTCCACAGATCCGGACTCCACCGAGCAGATGACGCTCTCGTCGTGAGGGTTGATAGTGTCCAGAGGTACACCCCGCCCGTTCACGAACTCACCATTGATGAACAGTTGCTTGGGGAACTTGATCTGTCTGTTGTTCGCCTGAATCTCCACGGCGTCGTATTTTACCTCCTTGGACCCGGAGTTACCGCGCGCAGCTAGGATCACTGTACTCGCGAACTGACTAAATACCGGGGCCATGAAGACGTCTATGTTCTGCAAGGTGACCCCCAGGTTGTCTTTCACCTCTTCCACCATCCTCACCACGTCCATGCTTCCAGCACCTGTGATCAACAGCCGCATAGAATTCTAATCTTACCAATTCCTCGACTACTGGATCTAAACGCTTACCGCATGCGAAGAAGTCAGTGTCATTCTCTATGTCCAGATTCAGGACGCCTTTCCAGATCTTCTTCAGGACTTCGACAGACTTCATTTCGTCCTCTGTGAACTCCAGTGCCGTCTCCTCGCTCTGTTGGCCAAACTTCTGTGCTGGAATCGTTCTGGTTCCGATCTTGATTCTCTTCACGTTCACCAGATTGCCGTCGACAGCGCTGATCAGCAAACCATCATCGTGGAGGAAACCTGAACGTCCCTCCACGTCCACCTTGGACAGCTCCTCCGGTAGCTGTCCGGTCCACAAAGAGGACCCGAATAAACGGACTTCTTCCCCGTTGATCATCGTCCAGGCACCCGGAGTACTGTCCAATCCACGAATGAAGTCGTGAACCTGTTTCGCAGACTTGGTCCAGTCTATTTTCTGAAGCTCCTTTTTGTTCATCATAGGATCATAAGTTGCCCCTTCCGCTGGCTGGGGAATCATCGGCGCTATTCCCTTCGCCACAAGATCCACTGCCTCTCCCATCGCTAGAATTCCTTCAGGGTAGAGAAAGTTGTTGTACAGACTGTCAACGGTGTCATCAGGTTTCACCTTGCAGGACTTCTGCAACAAAACTGGTCCAGTGTCTAGGCCATCGTCGGCCCAGAATACAGAGAAGCCCGCTGTGTCGTCTCCCTCTATCAGGGTCCTAAACATGAAACAGGTCAGTCGTTATTTTCGCTTTCAAACTAAGATCCTAACTAATACAATTGATATCGCTTATATATTTAAGCACATCATCGGGATAGTACGAGAATTCATTCAAGTGCGTCTACAGATCAGTCCTGAGGTTGGTTCTGATATCGCCGAGATAACGCTTAATTTGGCTTGATTACGCTTTAATAGTTAACCTCCCGTTATCCGTTATCGGCTATTAGTACCGTCATTCGGAATGCAGAAACTTGATACCTCGAGAAGCGGATCCGGTTTAAGATTGCACGCATACACAAACGATTGATTCTCGCTTACTTATCAGTTACGCTCACGCATAATCACAGTGACACAGTGTCCAAATGACCACTGAACTCATGGGCTCTTTTATTATTAGATTACTGATATTGCTTTCTGATTTTAGACTACTAACCAATTTATAGCGCTCGCTCCTCGGTGTCTGGGCAGTATGGAAGGGTGGTAGCATATGGTTTTATGGCGAGGGTGGTTGATGACTTCCATAGGAATAAATTGGCTGCAGAATGGTAACACGTTCAAGTCCACCTCGATGCTCCTGTACAAGTTCCAGATCTCCGACAACATCGCACCTTTGCTCCGCCAGGATTTGATCTTGAACACCGGTATATTGTCCGCTTTGGCTGTCATCGCTGCATGTGGAAGTATAAAAAATGGTCACCAGTTGCCCTAAAAGCTGTCGTGAACGAAATGATAATTAATTATTTCACCTAACGGATCCTCCCGGTTTCCCTTGTCGGGGATCGTGAAGACTCCGGTGACCTGGTGTCCATTTTGCCTTAGTAGCTTGTAAACTTCCGCCGCGAACGGGCTCTGACCGATAACTGCCACTTTAAGCTGTGCCATCGCCGTCTGCGATTCAAATTAGTATCAATAACTTACAATTGAGTAAAGCTGGTAGGCCCTTTCAAAACGAATGGCACCCGGCATGTTAGTTATTCGTGCCTCTATCTATACGTACCTAAAGCGGTACGTAATATGTACGCTGGCAAATTTTGTTTGTGCTGTATTCGTTAAATAAGCCTCTAACTCATGCGGTTCTGTTGTCTCTGCAGTGTGTAATCTTTCATCGATTAGTAGTCGGCGACTAATGGTGTGCCGTATGTAGTCTTTCACCAATTAGTATGGGCGCTAATGGTGTGCCCATATGGTACATCAAGCCTATTACAAATGTTTACAAACACCATTTGCGTTAGAGGATTAGAATGAAATTGAGAGTAGAGCCTTACAGATGCTACGACGTACGGGCGCCAGGAGAGAAAGTTTTTAAGCAACAGCATCAGACTGTACCACGTTCACTTTCTCAGTTACCGTCTTCTTTGCTGACCGTTCACTTGAACACTTGATTATCCTGTAACACCTCGACGTGCTCTTGGCTGGCGACTGAACCGGGCTACATCCAGTGCGTTTATATAAGCTAACTATATCGCGTGGCCGGGGGTCAATCATTCATGCGATAATTGTCGAATCGGCACGCGTAATTTTTCGGTGCTTCCCCCCCAGCGAATGTGGCAGCTTTATATTTAAGATTATACATATTATACAAAAATCCAAAATTCGAATACGGTACATTTTTTATTTAAGCATCGATTCAGGACCAGTCTTTCGGTGTCTCTTACCCTTAAAGAAACGTTTTCTGATTTTAAATATCATTACGAGCAGAATAACTACAATTACTCTATATAATATATAAAAGATGTAAAAAGAAAAGAACATGAATTATGTAAACATTTTGTATTTTTCGGACTACAAAAGTTGCACGCAATTCTTGTTTACATTTTGTAACGTAGTTGTACATTGCAATAGATTTTCGCAAGTTCGAACCAGTACGAACGGGTTCTAATGAAAGATTCCCCTTATCGTGGGTCATTGGTCACTGACAAGCTGTTTACAAGACCAGTCGTGAAACCAGTTCGGATCAGTTTTCGGTCTGGAAGCTAAACATCTTTGTGACGATAATCCACGTAAACGTAATTTCTGGAAATGAGGTGATAAGAACGTGATACGACAAAAATATATAGCTTTTATCGTGTTGCCAGATTATATAAGAACGGGAATTTCGTTAAAAACGATTAATTGCACTTTTGTACTACAACATATACATTTAATGACATTAAACAAGATTAACATTAAATAAGCGTCACAGAACGGAGCGCTTTAATATCTGGGCACTTTGAATTCAGATCCGCCATCCAATACGGTACTCGGTTTTCTCTTGTTCATGATATTTTGAATCTTCTGCCATTCTCTGTCCAGCTCTGCTTTCTCGTTCTTCTCTTTGTTATATTTTCTAGTTCTTCGGCCATCAGCCATTTTCACACCATACTGAAATGCTGCTTTCGGCAGGGCCTCCTTATTGTTCATGTATTCGCTGTACTCTTCCGGTGTATCAAAGTCCCATCTACCGATAGGGCCCTTTTTGTTGCCCAAGTCCATTTTAGTGTAATCGACTTCATCATCGGAGTCGTCTATCGCATCCTGCATCTCGTCCAAGCCAGGATAACATTCTGCGTATCCTTCAGGCTCGGCTGCTAGCTTGTTCAGCAAGGCTCCTTTTTTCGGTGCATTGTTATCCACGGTGGGTGGCGCAACGCTTGGTAATTGAGGAGCATTTGCATTGTCATCGGTGTCCAGATTACTCTCCGGTTTATCGAAATACGATCCTTTCTTCTTTTCCCTAGATTGGCTCAAGTCCTTCTTACCGATCGTAGGAACATAGTCCCCGATGTCCCCGTAGATGCTTTCATCCTGTGGTCTCGGAGCAATGTCCATATCGTTCATGTCGTCCGGCCTGGATCTACCATCCTTATTCTTCTTGCCCTTTTTTCCGTGACGATTACCTTGCCGTAAATAAGACAATATCTGTGCCAGTTTATTTATCACAATGTCATTGGTCGTTAAGGTAGGAGTATTGTCAACCGTGGGCACATCTGCTTTGCTTCTGATCAGCGTGGTCGGTATGTCCACATCAGCGTTCTCGTCGTCCAGTTCTATTATATAAGCCATACGACCTGGCGTGAACAGCTCGTTTCTCTCTATCACCTTCGATTTCATAGTCATCACAGTTTTGTAAACGTTACGACCAATTTTGGTCTTGAACTGCATCTCGTCATCCTTCTTCTCCGGTTCTTTTTTCTCCTTCACTTTGTCCTTTGGCTTCACCAGCTTTTCCATTTCCTGTTCCTGTTCGTGCTCTTTCGCCTCGATTTCACTCCGCACCTGTTAACAAGATTTACTTCGACAACTTGTGCAACAAACATATAGATTCTTTGTTCGAAATTCGTACCTTCTGTAGAAGAGCATAATCCAATCCTTTCACCAAGTGAGTATGCTCCATGTCACCACCCAAGAATTTGGACTGTTGAATCATTTGCCTCCTACGCTCAGCCGCGTCCATTCCCGATTTCAGATCTGGTGCTACAGCTCTGTACGCACTGGCACTGTTCATAGGGTCTTCCGTTTGATAATCCTGATTTGTACCATCTCTACGTTCTCTAGCTCTGTCTCTGTACTTCTCAGCCAGTTCTGCCATTTTATCTTCCTCTTGCTTCTTAAGTTTGGCATAGAAGCTCTTCTTTTTCCTCCTGAGCTCTGCTCGACTACCACCACTGACATTTGGAGTCTGTGCAGTCTTGGCACTGGCGTCTCTAGCAGTCCCAGGTACAGACGCAGGTGTAGCTGATGGTACCGATGCCCTTGGAGTCATCAGCAATTTACGAAAGTCGTCGTTTGTTAAACGGACGGACATCCCCATGTCTTCCTCCGTTGTCTCTGGCATCTTTGCGGTTGTAGTTTGGTTTCTTTAATAGGATTGAGGTTATGTTAACAGAGCATTAAAACAACCAGGAGTAAACCACGGGTAAACTTTCTTTTCTGAATTCTAATTTAAAGTTAGAATGTAATAATTACGATTATTATTGTCAAATACACAGTAATCGCTTGATAGAATCGTCGATGAGTATATCATCGAATTGCTTAATATCAATATCAATCCAAGGAGGAAAATGTCAAATATGTCAACACAACGAAGAAATCAGTAGCCATCTATCAGTAACTACTTGAAACAAATTCTCTTAACCCATCGCTGATAACTACAAAGTTATCGATAATTTTTTGAAATAGAAAGGCTTTGAAAGAATATATGAAATAACACATTTATGCCAGTTATGAAAATGCAATTTATTCAACAAGTCTTACAGACAATATATTACAACATATTAGAAGAACCATGACTTTGCACGACGTAATAATGAGCGTCTATGCAGTCCACATATTTCATCGTTGCTTTTCCTAATTCAGGATTAGCAACATAATGTTCGAAACGAGTGAGACCATTGCATGCAGCTCCGTACTCCCCATCTTTATTCAATGCAATTATTGCACCTCTGAAGGTCGGGTAGTGTTCGGCAATTCTTCGAACTGCTGTGGTTGCAGCTGCAGTCGGACTGGCACCTCGTCTCATTTCTTCCACAGCTAGGAAACTACAAACGAATTTGTACTTTCAATATTGCAAGTTCGGATAATCCGTTTTGTATTTTTTTTAACTTTTTACCTCGGCAAAAAGCGCATCATTACGTCTCCGTCTCCTGTACCAGCGGCTGCACCAACTTTTTGATCAGCATATGCACCTGCACCTGCGATCGGAGAATCACCGATGCGGCCAGGAATTTTGTTTTTGGCACCGTTTGTCGAGGTACCACCAGCTATATGCCCATTCGAATCTATCGCGATAACTCCAATAGTGTCGTGGTTATCCTCGTTTACGTATGATTCATATTCCTCTATGGTGCATTCTGTTTTATCCATGGAACGATACGGACCGCAACTTTTTCTGGGATCGGGATTTACGTCCTTGAAATAGCAACATTTTTTACAACTTGATATTAGTATCGAGAGTTTAGGTGGAGAAATTACCTTCCAGAAGTTAGGTTGACAATTATTGGCTTTCCAATCTGTCCACATTTTTTTGGACTCCTCTGTCTGTAGAGACTCTTCTTTAAAACCCATCTCTAAAGCAAAATCTTTTGCCAACTCTCCACCAAGCAGGGAATGTTTAGTATTATGGAGAACTTTACGGGCTACACCAATAGCATTCTTTACATTTCTTAGAAGACCCACACCACCCACATCCATTGTGACTCTGTTAGCATAACAATTCAATAAAGGTTATCCAGTTTTAATGTTTTAATGAGAAAACATAATAATGTATTACCCATCCATGATTAATGCATCCAATGTAGTTTCTCCAGATTCATCTGGACTGCCTCCGTATCCAACAGTTTTTCTGCATCTCTGCTCTTCGCACAGACTGCAACTTTCTTCTATCGCATCTAAAGCACTCCTTTTTTCATTCTGTAGAACATTCCATGCTGAAAAGTATTTCAAATTTGATACATTTTTACAGTGCTATTTTTTCCAAGATGATCGATAAAGATAAAGATAACCTTGACATACCTTTTTGTGTGGCATCATAATAGTCCCATGTAATTACAACTAAAGGTATGCTACTATTTGAGGCGACTGTTGAGCCACAGATCGATAGACAGATAATTGCAGCAAGACAAATGGCTAATTGGAACTTCATGTTGACCTCTGATGAAAGACTACCGAATGACATTGAGTATCAAGAAGAAAACTTTGTCATCGTGGACTGTATAGGTGGGGATGTATTATCTCTGTTCTTTTCCATTATAATATTGTTTTATCGTACCGTCTGCATTGACCACACTGTGTTCTGATAACATGTAAATATTATTACATTCTCAAGACATTCGTATCATTCTGACTTATTTATACGAAACATGAATGTATGTGATTTTCATTGTATATTCACGGGTTATAATATTGCCAGCCATCTGTACACAAAATTAATTATACCGATTAATAAAACATAAGGATATCAATATAGATTGAGTTAATTAGATTAAATTTTACCTTAATATTAACGATATCGTATCTAACTCGTGGAAAAATTTCAAGTGATAACAGCTACATATATATAAAATGTTTATGTCAGCAAAAACAGTTTATCTCCGAGTGAGATTGGGGTAGAATATCAATTACCGAATTGTTTATTTTAATCCGAATTGGACAAATTGGTTAAATTAATTAAAGAACGCGATTGCAATAATTTTTTGCATATTGGAACCAGAATTATATTTTACAAACAATTTTTAAATTTTATGAGATAATACTTGGGCGCCTCTCGTGACGAAATTACGAAGCTTGTTTAAAGGTCCGTACAGCGCCAATTAGTACGTGGCAAAACGCTCAAACTGTTAGCCAAATTATCGACGGTCGATTTTGGCTTAGAGTTTGGGCGTTTTGCCACGTACTAATTGGCGCTGTACGGTGGCGCTTGCATTGTGCTGCCTCTCGTGGAGAAAAAGTGAAGCTTGGTTCGAGGTTCGTACAGCGCCAATTAGTACGTGGTAAAACGCTCAAACTGTTAGCCAAATTATCGACAGTCGATTTTGGCTAAGCGTTTGAGCGTTTCGCTACTAACTCGATTGGCGCTGTGTACGGGCATTAAACGTAGCTTCATTTTTTTCTACGCAAAAGGCGCCACAGTCGTTTAGCACAGCTACCCAACGCAAGATCACCGAAAAATGTGACAGAGACTTCAGCGGTGTGTGCTGTCTATTGGAAACAAAACAGGCTCTCCCCCCTCACGCGCCTCCCATTTCTCGAACAGGACAAATATCTCTAACAATATCTATAAACCATTTAATAATAAGATATACACGATAGCAAGTTTCTCTGTAGATGTTGCACTTTCGTGGAGAAAATAACGCGCGAAATTACGAAAACGAGTAAAGCATACGCAATCAACGACAAGCTAATGACTGTAATTTTACATTGAATTTAATTTTTAAACGATTCTTCAGAATTGTCATTTTNAGCCAAATTATCGACAGTCGATTTTGGCTAAGAGTTTGAGCGTTTTGCCACGTACTAATTGGCGCTGTACGAACCTCGAACCAAGCTTCTCTTTTTCTCCACGAGAGGCAGCACAATGCAGGCGCCATTTGTCTTTGTATACGATATTAATTCTGTAATTTTGATTTATTTTTTATGCACATGTCCGTGATGTCACAAGACAACAGTTTAGCCATTTTTACGCACCGTTATAACAAATGTAAGTACCATCTATCCTACTTAATTTGTTGTAATGGGGAAATGAACAAAACTACGTTTAGTTTCTTAAATAATATTAATTATTATTTTAAAATATATGCGCAACAGCTTAGGTGTTATTCACAATTAGGTATCTCATCTTTACACTTCTTTTTGTTTGATTTACAAGTATATGTAATACAAGATATATAGATATATAGATACATATTCATATCTGTGTAACATAAATATATATCTTTGTATATCTATACAATTCGCAATGAGGTAAATCTAAATTATCAAAGATATTACGACCGACGAAAGTCCGTAAGAATTGAATCCGAAATTGCCTAACTAATCGGCCTTCCGGTTTATCGTTAAGAATCTAACACGAGTAGATCACAGATCGTAGAACGTCGATTTGATTTGTTTCAACTGCGGGGATGAGGGGCGAGAAATGCCTAGTTTAATTAATCTATTATTTGTATCATTATACCGGTAATCCTTTATCTTTCGTTTAAATTACATTTCGTAATTTCGTTTAGATGACAATATTAAACGGTCGATCCACAGAAGTGAAACTTAATTCTGTCTTCTAATCAAACATGCTCGATGATCGTTCACGTTTGACACGTTAACACGTTCTATGCGGATTTTTCTTTTACCTGTCCTTTATGTTCCTTTTACGTTTCGAGTGAATTAATTCTCAATACATTCGCTATAATAACGAACGACTTCTCAACGAGTCAAATGTTATATTAATTTTATAAAAGGGAAATACAATAAGCCGAGAAAGTACTTGTAAAAATATTCAGCACAAGAACCGCAACGAACGTGTTAAGAGGGTCCCCTTTGTTCAGTTATTCGTGAAATATATATTTACAAATACAGATTATTCCCTTGATTTCTCTCCTCTGTTCTTTTTGTGCGATCGCGTAACCATCTCATCTCGAGTTAAGTCTGCCGCAAACGAATGGTCGTAACATGTGGATAATGGCCACCCCGCGAATAAACGTCGAAATTCCGTTGCTTTTACATTTTATTTCTAAAAAGAGCATGATTTAACACGTTGGTTACCACCGTATGGCCAAGTGATCGAAGAGGAGCAGTGCCTCTTGTCAAAAAATCTTTTTTGTGTTAAAGTAGTCAACGTGTTAAATATCGTGCACGATCTCTGCGCGGAAAGTACGTATTGCATAGTGATCGAAAATATACGTTAGCTGCTAACGGGTCACCTCCGGCGGCGGTCATGGAATGTTTAAACGGAAGAGTGTTCGCTAGCTGATCATGATCTCCACGCTTTTAGGCCGGACAAGTAAACAATCGTTCGAGAACGAAAAAGAAAGAAATTCCTCCTTCTTGTTCGAATATCTCTATTCCCTTCTCACCCTTCCTTCCCACAATCCGCCTGTGTAGAACAAGATCGATACTCGACAGACATTATCCAATAGCAACATTAAAAATCTGTGACGACAACAATTAATGAGGATAGTTTGTGATGCACGAGTAATAGTTATAAAAATCAAAGTGTATTGAGCTGCGAATGCCCACGACGGATTCCTGAATGTTTCTCATAATTTCTATGCACCTGGACAGCAACGACGGACACCAGTGCAAGGCTATTTATATTCGACTGCAATTATATCATCGAGAAATCTCCGAGAATATACTGATACACGGTGGATCGGTAGAATACAACGTTCAGTCGACTATAATAACAGCCTTTTCTGGTGTTTGCACGCTTGCCAGAGGCGCATGTATATATACACACAAGCTAATTATATTACATATACAACGTATGTATGTACATTAAACTATGATTAGGATGGTTGAATTGATATTTTCGGCCAGGACGCAGGCCATAGACGCCTGTGTCTCGTTGTCCGTCGACGATGCGCGAAGCTTCAGGGTCTGCTGTGACCTTCGGCTTTATTTTTCGGAGCAAGGAAAACCGTGGATTTTGCCTAGGCGCCTACAAAATATTTCAGAAGTAGGGTCGTCAAGAATTAGTACACAGTTTTAGCAACTTGACAACCACGAAAACTGAAAGTAGAATGGACCCTGAATGCCTCGAACAGGCTCGCACGCCTTTACATCTCTCTGATTTATATACACGATAAACCGTTCTCCGCGGACAGAGAAAGCTTAACATCGCGACTATACAACCGGTACGTTGTCTTTCCCCTTGTTTCCCCGCCTGTCTCGCTCCCTTTATTACAAAAATATATTGACCATTTGAACCGGCTATTGGCAGCGTGTCAGGTCATCATCATGAGACAATACGTGATCGCTTTGTACGCTGATAATCGCTTCTCGCTGACGATATGCATAATGAAACAAAACGTTCTCGACGCGCGAACGGATTCGAATATGGGTAGACAATTAATTAAGCGTGGCAGGCAGGCGTTCTGTAGTTTGTGTGCAGCAATTCTATCGAAGTTCGAGGCGCGCGTAATCGTTCAATTTCAACATGGAACACAATACGTTCGCAGAGGCATAAAACAACGGATCTAAATCGTGTACTGTACAATAGAGAAACGAATGGCAGTCGCGACTAGAAGAAGAATTCGGAAACCGAGCGTCGGTTGACTCTAGAAACATGGTAATTGTCTCTGTCCGTTAAGACCGACAAAAGTATCTCTTTCACTGTGTAATAGAAAAATAGTAGAACTCTTGGAAAGAAGCATAGTATCGTTCCCGAAGATTCAAGGCGTGATATAAAAAGTAGAAAAAATAAGATGCAAGGGGCTTGAAACACGAACCGGTTCTCCCTTTGATCAGAAATATTTTTCAGCCATTTTTGATTTGAATCCGGCAGGGACCACCCTTTGCGCCTTCTTAATTTCATTACAGTTTGTAATCGAACAGTCTATATGGAAATTCAACGTTCTCAGAAGCGAAATACTATTGCAAAAACGATTGCAAATGTGGGTGAAACGCGAACAAGAAGAAGGAGCTGCGCAAGGTATCCCATAACCCCGGTGACTGCCGCGATTACTGGGACACCTTGAGATCAACGAAAGACAGGATAAGATCTGCTTCTTCGCATCGCCAATCCATTCGAGCTCCATACACGGTAATGATCGATAATCGTAAAAGGATCGATGAAGAACGGCCAACGCAGTGGTCTTTAGGCTAAACCGTTTCGTATGTTTGGACTTCGTCCAGAGTAATGATCATCCTCAGCAACGATCACCGATGATCTTGTGCGCGTTGAATCTCCGCTAAAGGAATCCTAACGGTCGCTACCTTGTCTCCTCAATTCGGATACCGAAGGAGCTCGCGCGTGTCTCTCGTGGTCCTTCGTTATCGCCCTGTGATCTTCTCCTAAACTGAAGCGCGACTCGCTGGATCGATCAACGACAGATCTCTCTCTCTCTCTCTCTCTCTCTCTCTCTCTCTCTCTCTCTCTCTCTCTCTCTCGAAAAACACTCGGATCGACTCGACTCGGTTTCTCGTGGATACTATGGAGCTCTCTGTATTATTCTTTGCTTCCCTAACAACGACGATCTCTCGATTTTCCTACAACCTTATTACTTTAATTGTTTCCCTGGTGTAACCGTCTGGAACCTCGGCAGACAAAGACCGAACTTGGTCTCGATGCCAGTGAAGATCGGCAAAGCTATCTGGTAGCCGCCTATATGATCCGGGTTCGTCGATCGGATCGCTTGCGCCACTCCCGTAGCCGGTATCTTAAGCTCTGATCCAGCAGGTCGCCTAAAACATAACATTGTTGGTATACCAGGCTGTTTCGAAGTCTCGCGCTACGACTGTTCAATCTTCCGATCCAACTTACGATCCTCCAAAGTCGACCACGAACAACCTTTGCAGCAGTTCGTAAGTGAACAGGGTGACGCCAAACTGGGGTGACGATCTGAACACTCGTGCTGCAAAATAGAAACGAAATGGAACTAGAATCGTTGGGAGATAGAGACGAATTGTGAAACGCCGTATACCATTAAAAACTGTGCTTGATGAATGTTAATGATTGTCTTCTCCACACAATGTTCTTTGCGATCGTGACGGGACACGATCCTTCGGACGTCTGACTGAATCACATGAGTATCAACGGTAATCGTGCGACGATCATACGACGAACAAACTCATTGTCGAGGGTTAGAAATTATGAGAGACGGTGAGAGAAACGAGAAAACGGAAAAGATGGGAGAACTCGAACGAAGCCGGGGGTGGTAACTGAACAAAATAAACTTGGAAAACCACGAGAGACTGGCAGGCACAGAGAAAAATCAAGTACTCACTTAGAAGCAAGTTGCCAGGTCATATCGGAGGGGGGAAGAATAGTCGAAAGATGCAACAGGGCCAATCCCCGCGCATGCAATCGACCAAAATCAAAACATATTACCAACTGTCTTCGCATAGAATGTAAAATAAAATTTCCTGCACTTTCTAACTCGCTATCTCGTGCCGTATCCGCAACGATCGATTGTCGAACGCCGGGTTTAAATAGAATCTCGTACCTGATGCTCCTTTCCAGAAAGCTCTGGCCCCTTCCTCCCTGAAAATTTTCCTAGCGCAGTCTAGCAGGCCGTTATACGTTGTTTGACCCTCTCTGGCTACCACCTATCCAATAAAAAGTCGTGCAAGTTGCAATCGAATCCTACGTATTGCTAAAATATATATATATATATATATATATAAAGTGTATCTTGTTAAGGCGAACGCTCTCGAAGACCCACTTGTAATCTCGTCTTGATCACATCGGCGGGGGTGACTAAAGCTGCAGCAGGCACGCCTGCCAATGCACCTGCGAACAGGAGGGAAAGGGGTGTGTTGTACCCTCCCTCGTCCGCCAGTTTAGTTTTCGTATGGGCGTACATGGGGAAGTAGATAGCGCTGAAGGGAATATCCCGGAGGAAGCAAGCTCTGCTACCCTGAAACCGAGGAAAGACACGATGGAGAATCACGTACTATTCAAATTCCATTCTCGCATTGGCACCCACTTTGTACAATCCAAAAAGACCCAACTCTTTGACGACGGACCAAGCTCTCACTTTCGAACCTCCGGCTATCTCTCCAGCCACCTGAAGTCTGATCTTTACGATCTCCAATGGATTGGTGAATATCACTTGCGACCCTCCGGCCTGAAAATGGAAAAATAGGACGTGTTAGCAGCGAAACGCGTCATCATTTTTTTGGCAGGAACGAACGAAAGAGCGAACGCGAAATCATAATGTGTCTTTCCAAGAGAAAGTGTATGACCACTTACGCAGGCGCCGGACAATATCTCCCCGTAAAGGGGCAAATTGCCATTCTTATCCATGAACTTATCTCTGACGAAGTCGTTGACGGTCAGCTTGATCGCCTTTTCGGGCGCGACGCCCATCAGCTGCGGAAGCAGACCTCTGTAAAGCCCGAAGAAACCCTCGTGCCGGATTACCTGTCAAACGCGAGACACCAGCTTCATGATTAACAATGCAGGCGGTGTGTCGTAGCGAGACTTTTCGATTCCAACCTTTTTCAAGCAATCAAAGCTGTTTCGGTACATCAGCTCGCCGACCAGAGATCCAGTCCTCTGGTTCTGCAACCTCGTCTTTACCAGGTCGATGGGGTACACAGCTGTCGCGCCCACCGCTGTACAGAATAGTCCCCGTCTAGTTCTTTATCGCTTGCTATACCAGAGAGACTATCGAGTGCCATCTTCGCAACAGCTCGACTAAATCACACCTCGACGTGTTCTACACGGTCGACAGGCTTGACACGCGAGACTGAGACTATTTTCTTGTCGTACTTGTGTAAGATTTGCTTCCGCTTTCGTTTACAACAAACTTGAAATATCGAATACCGTTTAACGGTGTTCCCTCCGTAACGTCGCAACGAACAACAAGGGTGCAACGCCTCAGGAGGGAACACACGTTGTTCGGCTCATTCTCGCGCGACCTGTTGGAGCGAATCGAATCTCCGGGTCCCTGTAAACCGGGGTTTACACGGCTGCTGCAAGGTAAAGGTAATTCGATCAGATTCGAACAGACGTACCTCCTCCGATCGAGCCGAGCACGAACCGATATCCGCTCTCGAGAATCTGCACGATCACGCCCCGCTCTTCCGGGCTCTGAAATAGAACAACGCCGTGAATAGTAAAACGTTGCGCAGACGTCCGCACGATTCTCGGCCGATTTTCTACAACGGTTCTTTTTCCCGGGATGATTATCTGACTGGCATCCATGAGACCCGGCGTGAATAAACACGGCGCTTCTAGAATTCCCGTCGCACACTTACCGACACCGCCTTGATCTCGGCTAGGCGTTTTGTAATTTGCTTGAAATACTGCTCAGGTGTCATAGCCACGAGATCATTGTATACAATTTTCCTGAAACCCGAGAAAATGCCTGCTCAATATAGGTGAGGTGTGGCTTCCGGGCAGCGTGAAAGCGATACTTTTTTCGACTTTTCAGAGAGAGAGAGAGAGTGGGGGGGGGGGGGGAAAAGGGG